ATACATAAGAATCATCTAAAAATATTGAATATACAAAATAATAATAATAATAATAATAATAATAATAATAATTTCATTAATAACATCTATTAAAATAAAGATACAAGGTTAAGAAATTCCTTACTATAAAGAAAATAAATTTTAATAAAGATAGCATTCTATTTTTTATCTTTCTTTGTGGATTTTATATATTTGTAGTACTAAAAAAATAAAGAATTAATAATTGATAAATTTAAGCCAACAGCTATCATTATTGAATTAGTAAATAAAGCATTGAGATTGTCATATCTTTCAAGATAATATAATAAAAATAAAGACTCTTTAAATTAATATACTCTTCTTTAAATAAATGGTGAAATATAATATATTTGCTATCATGACTATGGAAGAAATTCTTAATATTTTGTGATATTATTAGAGATAGAAACCACCTCTAAAGATATTTCAAATGATTTATTTGAAGGAAGTTACAAAGAACTTAACAATAATCAAATAATAGGGTGTTCTAGTATGAGATATCATCAATAGCTAAGAGGACCTATCAACTACCTCCAAAGGGAGCAAAGACTAGAATATGTAGTAAATATAGCTTATTGCATCTTAAACTTTCTTAACATGTGATTACCACTCTTTAAGGAATTTCTATCTAAAAATAAGATAATATTATAAACATACATATTTACTAATATTAAATAAATTAAATAAAAATAAATATAAGTAATTAAATTTTATAATATTTAAAAAAAATAAAAATAAAAATAAAAATAAATCTTAGAAGCTTAATAGAGACAAGTTTGGCTTTGTATATGCTTGTAGTTAATTAATAGGTTGAAAACTTAGCCAACTAATTTGCCATGTCTTATATATGTTGGTAATTTGTGATAGAAGTATCAAAAATATATATATATATATATATATATATATATTATAATTATTATTTAAGTATATAAATAGATAAAAGTTAATAAAAATAGATTAATTTTATAATATCTTCTAAGAAAGCTTCTTAAAAGCTTTATAGATACTACTTTGACTTTACATGTATTTATAGCTGTTTGGTAGGTTAGAAACTTGGTCAACTAGTTAACCACATACCACACATATTAATAGCTTACAGAACAAGCTAACTATTTGGCACCCATATTAAAAAATTACTTTGCAAGTCAAGATATTTGTTATAAAAATTCAATATATTTTAGAGGTCCTATAGAATGTCGCCTTGTAGCTCCTAGATAGATAGTATATATATCTCTTGTCAATTCTTTTCTTACTTTTAATCTAATTTCAAGAAATCTCTAATTTTTTTGTCTTTCAGCAATAGTCATTTTAATTTCTTTTTAATATATTTACTTCCTTATTTCTATTTTGTTATACTTATTTGAAAAAAATTCACTTATTTATTTAATTTCATCAAGTTCTTGCTATTAACAACAAATTAATTATATGGCAGAGATATAAGAAACTTATCTTACAAGTTAAACATGTAACTTGCAAGTTGAATACATGTCAAAGGTCTTATAAAACATTGCTACATAGCTCTTAGTTAGATAATATATATAGAAGCAAGAATGAATCTTACTTTACTCTTATCAATGCTTTTTTTTTTCAAAGTTTTACTTCAAGAGTTTTCAGTATTTTTAGCTTTGGCAATAGTCATTTTAGACTTAATATTATATTATCTTTGAATGAATAGCTATTCTTTTCTAATGACAAAATAGTATATTAAACTTTTGATTTTTGTAATTCATATCTTTAACAAGTTGCTTCCAATATTTTTTTTTTAATCTTTAATTACCACTCTACTATATTACATTATTTGTTAATTTTTCTACTTAAAATCTTCTAAATATCAATTATTTTTTATTATTTTAACACTCAACTATTCAATACTTCAAGTCATTTTAAATCTATTAATATTTGCAATCAATTATCTTTGTTTTTTTTGTCCCTACTTGAGTAAATATTTCTTTGACCATTCTTTCAAATCAAACTTAATATAGGCATCATTAACAAATCTAGAATTTTAAAGAAATGGATTACACATAGATTATACCTCATTTTGCCAACTTAGTCATTTATCACCTCGCAGCACTTTAATTCTATCTAAATACATATTTTTCACTTTGTTTTATTTCAATCTATACATATATTTGATGCCATTACAATTTATCTTATTAAATATTATCAAGAGTGAACATATAGTTAAGACTTCTTATTACCAAATATTACTTGGTATACAAGTTTGTTCAATGTCAAATCAAACTTTTGTCTTAATTCTAATAAGTTATATCTATTAATTGATTGTCATTTTTTAAGTATTATTGACACATATATTTATTTAAATAAGAAGTATTAGATAGAAAATAAATATAGGTAGATTTGATAATATCTTGTAGCTTAATTCTTAGAAATTTTATAAACAAGGCTTTGATTTTATATGTATTTGCAGTTGATTAGTAGGTTAAAAACTTTGCCAAAAAATTATGTACGTGTCACATATATTAATAGCTTGTAATACAAATTAATTATATAACACACATAAAAAAAGCTTATCTTGTAAGTTGGACATGTGTCAAAAGTCCTATAAAACATTGCCATATAGCTTCTAATTACATAATATATATAAAAATAAAAATAAAGCCTTCATCATTCTTATCAACATCTTTTTAATCCTTATTTTTTAAGTAAAAATAGATTTATAACTATTACGAATCTTCACAAGCTTCTTAATACTCTTAAAGTATAAATCTCATATATTTCTAATATCAACCATGGAGGTATTATTTCTATGCTTATAGAAGAAGTCAACAATGAAGTTAAAAGTCTATACTAAAAAGTTGTGCAACTGAAAGAAGCAAGTACATTAAGTTCACTAAAGAATCCAAGAAGTCTTCCTATAATAAATATAAATAAAGCAAGGATAAGTATGTTGGAGAAGTTTAATGGAATAAGTTTAAAGTTTGAAGATTTCTACAATAAGTGAAGCTCTATCTATAGTTGCATCTTTTTCCATACTTTGATGGATTTGCTCAAGTTGAATTCATAGATGCACTTCTATTTAGAAGTTTTATTTTTTAGTTTGTATCTTTAATAAAATATATATATATATATATATATATTCACAACTCCTCTATAATTTGAATTCATTTTTAAAAGTATTTATGGCCATATCCAAAAAAATATGATTGAAAAAGGATAGCAAAAATCAAGCTCTTATTTTTATAATAAGAATTACATTCAACTAGCATATATACTATTGAATTCCAAAACCTTGCTTATAACATAGATTGAAATGACAAAGCTTTAATCAATTAATTTTGATATGAGTTAAAAGTTAATATTAAAGATTTATTGTTGACAATGTTAAGAATAGACTCAATCAAATAATTTATTACTCAAGCTATTACATATAACAATAACTTAACTAAACCTAATATGCATTAAAGAAAGAGATGAATATAAGATTACATTTTAAACCAAGTATAGATATTTTGAATGTAATGTCATGCCTTTTGGACTTACAAATTCACCATCTACATTTTAACATCTAATGAATGATATTTTTTGAGATTTTTTTGATAATTTTATTATTTATTATTTAAATAATATTTCAATCTACTCTAAAAATATAAAAAAAACATGAATTTCATGTTTGTCATATATTACAAAAATTTAGAGATATATGATTATATACTAAGATAGAAAAGTGAGTATTTTATACTATTCAAGTTAACTTCTTAGGATATATTATTTCAAATGATGGCCTTATGATGGATTCTAAAAATATTTAGACTATCATAAGATTAAAAGATTGGAAGATTTTAAGATCAATAAAAGATTGGAAGATTCTAAAAATAATAAAACATGTACAATATTTTTTAGGATTTACTAATTATTATTGCATCTATATTAAAAATATTTTTTAAGTTGTAGCTCTACTTACACGTTTGACTTGTAAAGACAAACTTGAGTAGAATAAAAAAGCAAAAGCATTGTTTGAAGCTTTAAAATACAATATTTATTTTTACACCAATTTCTTATTTTGTCAATTTCTTGAAGGCATTCTTTATAAAAATAGATGCATCAGAGTTTACATTTGATGCAATACTGTTACAAATGGAAGCAAATAACAAACTCTACTTAGTTATTTTTTATTTTAGAAAGTTTTCAACAGCCAAGGTCAACTATGAAATCCACCACAAAGAATTTTTTGCAATCATGGATTCATTTTAAGAATGGCATCATCATCTAAAATGTGCTTCTAGTCCAATCATTGTATATACAAATCAAGAAAACCTTGAGTATTTCATGTTGGCATGTGTTTTGAATTATTGCCAAGGCCATTGGAGTATGTCTTTATCAAGATTTGATTTTAAGATCACTTATTGACTAAAAAAACAACAAGGTTTGTTAAACCTCTTTTTTAGACATTCTTATCTTGTACCATACATTAAAGCAATAACCACTTTAATAATTATAAAAATATATATATTTAAAATCACTTAAAAGTTTAGCTAATCACAAGTTGTTATTAAATGTTGTATTATATGGATCACATAAATCTCTTCTTATCTCATATAATATATATTTTTAAATCCAATATTATTATAAAAAATTAAAAATCATTGGAATTTTTTTATATTATGTAAATGCATTCATGAAATTATATGAAACTTTAAATGAAATATTCAATCATGTATTTGTATTGTGATAGTTTTACAAAACAAAAACAAAGAAAAACCAAATTCCTTTCAAATATTGACTAACTCTTCATGTTCCAAAAAATATGTAATAATTTATATACACAAATACATATATTGATATATGTATACATGACATACAACCAATGGAATTCATTCATCCTACACCATACATTCATCCAAACGGATGATGCGAGGCGCCATCGACGAAGACGAACGAATATTCAACGAAGGCGAATTCGACGAGGCAAGAGCGTGGTCCGGAGTCGGCAGCGAGGGAGCGTGGAGAAGCTCTCGCAACATCGCTTCCAGGGAAGAGGAGAGGGATGGATGGGGGGCCTTATCCGGATCGTAGCGTGATTGTTGTTGCCTTGGTTGCGAACCCCACACCCTTCGACCCTCTTCACCATTTTGCTGTTAGCTCTTCGAGCATTCTCCCCCCTTGTTGTCTCTCTCCCCTCGTACCCCCTTCCCTCGTCTCGGTAGGGTTTTGTTGCCTCAGTTTCAGCTATGGCGTGTGTTGCTGATGTGAGTCGCGCTGCAGTGTGCGCCTCGGGGGCCTCTGTTTCCAGCAGCATTGTCAAGGCCAACGCCACCCCCCGTGTGTCCATCTCGGCATCGCCCTTCTTTTGTCCGGGAGTGAAGTCGCTGTCTGCTTCCGCCTCCCCTGCTCGTGGCGTCGTGCGAACTGGAGCACCCCTGGTTGTGGAGATGGCGAAGCGCGAGGAGGAGCTCGTGGCCATTCGGAATATGAGCGACGAGGACATTAACCAGACGGTGGTAGACTTGAAGGGAGAGATGTTCTTGTTGAGAACCAAGCAAGCTACCCCGACAGGAGTACAAGAGCAGCGAGTTCCGCCGCATTCGTAAATATGTACGTGATGGGACAGCACATCTTGCTTCTGAATTTGATTGTGAATTGTTGGTTTGAGACTTTGCAGAATTCGTTTTGCACTCCACGTATATGTAGTGGGTAGTGGGTAATTGAGTTCGGCTGGTGAGCATTGCGTCAGATTCCGACTGTCTGTCGGATTACTAATTCATGTATGCACATTGTTACCTCAGTGACAGCTAGCAAGTTCCTTGCTTGCCATATTAATATTCCCGGCAGCAGGTCTGTCACGACTTGTGCTATTACGTAGTGGGTTTTCGTGTAGCCTGATTATACAGTAATGTGTAGGTTGATATTTTTGCTTAATTTGGTGATGACAGATTGCAAGGATGTTGACCGTAAAGCGTGAGAGGGAAATCGAAAGAGGCGTTTCAATTAGGGAGTCGAGGAAACTCGACAGGGAATGGAAGAGGAACATTGTTATCAGGCCTCCTCCATCGTACGCTGCCAGCTTAGCTGAGCAAGAGAAAAAGTAAATTTTTTCATCTGATGGGCGCAAGGCCTGCATAGCTGTATTAGTTGACATTCATTAGTCACGTGTTTCAGAATCCATGACGCGAAGCATTCTCATATTTCAGTTGATTGAATCCTGTACTACTTGTATTCTTGGAGAATTCTTCATTATCCGAAGATGATGCTATTGCATAATAGCCCATTGCTTACGATCTCTTTTAGGTCGAAATCCTTTTTGCAATGTATCTGATGTCATACAGTGTGTTTCCCAAAAAGCATTCATGAATTCCGGTTATTGGCGGTTTCCTACATGGCTCAGCGTTCGATATGGTTTTTCATGTTCCTAGCGACAGCGTGAAGAGTCTGCTTTAAATTTGTACGTTGGCTCAAGGGATGTGTATCTGCTTAGACTGTGGGTACAGAAGGAAGTTCATTGACTAAGATGCATGAGTTTTCGCTTTGGAAACGAGGTTACCATTGTTCTACGGTATATTATATTGCTACGTATGCCAAAGTCTATTTGGAACATGGGTGATAATCCTCAATGAGTTTGGAGGTTTACGAGGTCCGACCTCCTGCTCCAAATCTTTCTGAATACCCATGAGTAATACGCATCGACTGTGCTGGTCAACGAAAAACCCCGCCAGTGATTATTATTTTGCCTTTGTATATGTAATTTAAGTTGCAGATATTAGAACTGCGTCTCGGAAGCGGGGCAAATACACATCTCCGGGACCTGGTGAGAAACTTGCAACGAACTAGCAAAATCATGGAAATGAAACGGCGAACTACGTCAGCAGACCTCTCAAAAACTTGCTCTAAAACCGTGCAATCCAGGGTAGTTGGCAATGCCGCCGCAATCACTGTTCTTCTATAGGATTTGTGTCAGGCGAAGAACTTCCAGTGCAATTATACAAATAATTAGGTTCTAGCCTTTCTAGCTTTTCACTTGCAAATAACAGACACAACACCTCTTTCTGAAAACAGACTGGAAAATGGATAGTTAAACATCCTCATGATAGACCAACCAGTGTTACTTGACAGTACCACCGCATTTACTGCATTCAAAGTGTGCACATACGTCCCCAGAACATAATTATGCGAGCAGAATCAGTTCTTATGAATACGATTAATTGGGGTAACAAACAAGTCCATCGGCTCTCTTAAGAAAAACAACAGTATGTAAGTTAAGTTTAGAGTACACAGAATATTTTTGTTTATCAAATGCAAGGACAGTAGGCAAGATTGTTCGACCAATATTGCTTTGAATATATATTCAACGTATAAGAAATATTGCTGCTACAAAAATGTGGTGCTCTATGCAATCTTATGACGTGTCTCCATTAGGAAGAGATTCAGTGAACTTGTCGAATGTTCACATTAATTCGTGAGCTTTCAAGATACTTCACGATTGATCTCGGTTGAATTCCGTCCACATCTGACATAGATGTAAAGTCTGGCAACTCTGATTCCTTCGCTTCACTAAATATACGAGGTACACCTAGACAGAGAAAGAAATAGGTATTTATGTTCAGACAAGGTCAACATACCACCACGTACTGCATCTTCTTCTGTTGCTCATGAAGTTTCTGCAAGAGCACTCAATAAGACAAGGGCATAGACGTACCGTGAAAACAGTGTCGTGCGGGACCAGCCATGAGCACAACATCTCCACTTCTTACGAACATGGCTGCTGGAGGTTCATCCCGTGTTGTACCTCCTAGTAGAAATATAGCTTTGCATCCCAAGCTGTAAGCTCCCAGGAGTTTACAAATCTCAGCATCAGTACGAAAAAATACATGGATACAAAATCGAATTTAATATTTTGTTCACCAGTTCCTGCAACCGCAAGATGGAATCTAAATGGCGGAGGCTAACAAAACTCTCAAATTACACCAAGGCGAATTAATCGAATAAGCAAGTATTCAAGACATGCCGCTCATTGCGATTACGAAACTCGAGTTGGGAGTCACCTGATACTGACGATGGGCTTACTCATGTCTGCCTCCATATCGTCAACATGCCCCCCCAACATATCATCTGCCATCCACGTCCAGCATCACTCATGAAATGCTGTGCAGACAATCAAGCTGTACATTCTCAACCATTCAACCAATACACCAATTGCTCGAAGTGTACTTAAAGCTCAAGGAGCTCTCATTCCTACAAGAACCCTTCTCCAGATGAACCAATGCTACAGAAACTCTCGAGCGCACCCTTGGAAGGCTATAATATTTTGCATAAACAGTCGAAGCAGGCAAAAAAGAATGTGGGTTCTTATTGTCATTGCATTTCCTAACATGATTCTATAATGTTCATTATTTAATGTACAAATCCAGCGAAATTTCAGATGATCATTCAAAAAGTCTACAAATACCAACACATACCAGGACCATAAAAATTTACGATAGCTGCTTCTGCTTTGAAGTCTTCATTCTCCATAGCTGGCTTGGCAAGCCGCCTCGCTAAGTCTGCCAGTTTGGGAGGAATTTCTTGAAACGGAAGAGCTTCGTTGTATGCTCGCTGCCACAGTACGAAACCAGTTAGTTGAAAGTATCCAGACGCATCATAGACACTACACTGTCCTCATACGACTGTTTCTTGATTCACAACGCGTGTAAATCCAAATCTATAGATGTGCTTCAAAAGAAGCTTAGCAAATAATTCCATATTAGAAGCGAAGTGCAAAACAAAAAGTTTGCACATAACACTCATGTTCTTAAGCTTACGTGCAAGTAAGACCACCCTATCTCCTCATCTGTCTAAGCACAGAAATAAACAAAATGCGGTTCTCCACTAGTTTGAACCGTATAATTGCAATAGGAACAGTTGGAAATACTTTGGACCAATCGAACTGGATGCCGACTGTAGCCCATCTCAACTTCCTCACAAGAGTTTCCGATGAAACCGTTTTTGCTGATGACGTTTTCAGAAAATCTGTGGAACAATCACGAAACTCCCAGCTATTTCCACCATCTGGCACAACATTCATATTGTAATCATTAGATGCTATGCAATTAGAACATCCAACTATAACCAGAAAGCATTGCAAATTTCAATTTGAAGAGACAGAAGTATCTAAGTATTAAGAAAGCACAAAAAACACATAATCTGAGCAGTCACACACATATGTCCTGATTTATAACATTTGAGCGCATTACCTCCTCCTGAAGTTGTGATTCCATTATCGTGAAATCTATTCTTTTCAACTACCGTGATGTCATCAGAGACTTCTGCTCTAACACTTTCAATACTGTCGGATATCTTCTCGTCAACACTACGAGTTTCTGCTGAGTTGGAAATTAAATCGCGTTCTTGTTTTCCAGAAGCAACCTCCACAAGTATTTTGTTCTCTTGAAAAGCCGCCCATAGATTAGCGATTGGACCATACATGGCATTGTGGTTGGTACGATTTGGGGGTTGTGGAAATGTTGTCAAGCATTCAGTAGCCCAATAAAGTTGTTCAGCCTTGTTTAGAGCTTCAGGGATGAAGTAAAATCCTGCAATTCCATGAATGAGATTGACGAAAACAGTCAGAATTAAAATCAAAATAACACATTAAAAAATTAAAACTGCCACCTCCAGTAGAAATCCGTGAAAGCGAAATGTCAGACACCAGAGCCCTAACAGACGGAGAATTCGGCATCACTCACCAGGATGCTTATCAATAGTATAGACAGGCCATCCAGATCCTTCCACACGCGACACTCCTTCAATGTTGTACTCCCCATCTTCGCCAAGCTTCTTAAAATCTAAAACCTTCGAAACATCCGTTGCAGGAACTTGTGCCCTATTAACATCCTATCGTCAGCATCTAACAAGTGGCATCTAATGCGCTGAATTCCATTCAAGAGACACATAAACTACTGGGAAAAAAGAAAAAAAACTAAAACTAAAACTAAAACTAAAAAAAACTAAAAACTAAAAAATTGAAAAAACACAAACCAAGCTCACAAACCTAAATACCAGGGACCTGCGCTTGCAACAAAACAGTACATATTACAGGAACAAGTCGAGGCGTAAGAAGAATACCGGCGAGAGTGCTGGTTGCGAGACTTGGCAGACGAGACATGCGTGTAGCGTTTGTAGGCCTTTTCGGTGGAGCGGAAGGCAGTTCGAGAAAACGCGCCTTCCTGGGCGTCAGCGTAGCCCATCACTCGAAAAACTTGCCAATAATCAAAACCCAATTCAATATTCAATAAAATAAGATGGAAAATCTCAAATCACCACCTTCAGCGAGGAGAGACAGCAGCAACCCCAAAGCACCAGTGCAAGTGACGACGAGGCTGGAACATCACACCCACCACACAATGGTAGACATTGAATTGACTGAGTTTTACATGGAGGGACTGAAGCAATTGCAGCTCCGCAGTTGAGCATCGCTTCCGACGCTCAAGCCTCACCAGTCCAGATGCGATGCGACGAAGCATAAGCGGTTATGGGGTTCCTCGGTCAAGGGTTCCTCGGTCAAGGGTTCCTCGGTCATGGATCACACGGTCATTATCGGTGTTGTGCAGGGACACCTTTAATTAATGTGGCTTATAGTTAATTAAAACTTCAGACATTCCACTCCACTGACCCTCAAGCGTGTGGAAGTCATCCATTATGGAACCTCAATAGCTATTCACACCACTTTCATAGTTTTTTTTAGTGCATCCTGTTGTGACTTTTTGGAAGTAAAACACTTAGATTTACATTTTGGGGAATTTTATTTTGTGGTTTTTATCTACCTCTTTTTTATTCTCTCAAATTTAAAGATGTCAATGAGTAAATAAATGAAAAACACACTTCTTTTCTTCTTTATTTTCTGTGATAACATTTCTGTGTAGTTTTTTTGTGTAAGAAATCCAAAATCGTAATTTATCTGATATTGCTTCAAATGACACAAGTAATGTATTTGTTGTAATTCTGTACTTTTCAAATGAGTCTTATTAAATGATTGTTTAAAATCATCATCAACTTTGTGGCTTGTGCTTTGACTAAGACTTCTAAGTAATGCCGCATTGGCATTCTAAACTTTTGTGTTTATTACAATTTAAATTAGTAACACTCTTAATATTTTGCAAAAATAATAAGAAATAAAAAAATTATTAAATATATATAAATATATATATAATAATAGAAATATTATTTCATGGCTAATGGAGTGTTAAGAGTTTTACAACTAAAAACTTGAAAATTGAAATTCAATTGTCTTGTATCATAAATTATTATTATTACAAAATTTGTTGATCTTATCACTCTTTTTCTGTTTAAATTATATGTTTTTAATAACTTTTTCTTGTCCTCCACGTTTATCAATATATATATGTATATATATATTCTCTGTAAGTAATATTAAAATACAACTGTAAATACATCCATTTTTTATTTTAAAAAATACATTGATAAGTTTTGTATGGGAAGATCCATCTTGTTAAATATTCCCTCATTGTAACAAGTATTTTTTAAAAGATTAATATGAATACAATTTAATGATGAATGTTAAGCATGAAATCACAGTATATAACATTTATTTTGAAATTCATTGTTAAAAGATAGAAATTACAAATATGAGAAATATACTGATATATTCGAACATTCAATTGTAAACTAGAGTTCTCCTGCCATAGCGCTTGTTTGTTTCATGTTTATATTTACTGGATCTGAAATCAAAACCCTTCACCTTTTACACATAATACTTGTAGTGAATGATGGGCTTGTTTAATACCACAGGCAATTTTTTAAGCATCAAAATGTACATTCATGGTAATAAGTGAAGTCTCCAATGCATTTGTAAAAAATGACGAAATATGCAAACAATGAGTAAACATCATGATATTTCATCCTTGGTAATAATAAACTTATTAAGAGCTTCAATTGTTAATAAAACATAAGGAAAATTCAAGATTTTCAAAAAGTGTTGTGTGTTAAAGGGATTGGTCATGCTTTTAGAAACTAGAAGTGGAATCTTAAATACACATAATTTTTGGTGCTTACAATGTAAAAAAATAAAAGATAACATTATTAATTTTTATATAATTTTATTAGAAAAATAAATAAGAAAAAAAAACAAAATTTAATTTGTGCTTATACAAGATTGTCAATTTTAACATGACAATTGTTAAAACAATCTTAAAATCAACGTAGCTACTTCACCATGCAACAATTCCAAGACTCACAACAAATTACACTACTATTATACAAATAAAATCTTGGTAAAAAAGTCCAAATCCACATCCAACTGAACATAAATAATAACAAACATTTATGAATTGAAAATAAATAACTAACAAACACAAACACCACCCCTACCCTCCTCCCTTTTCTTAAGATTTCAATACAAACATTCCAAACAAATCAAATTCACATCAACTCCACGACAAAAAAGAAAAGCAACCCCAGAATCACAACATTCACTCACAACCCACAAATTTCAATGTATCTTGTTGTGCAAAATCATACACACCTACATACATCATAATAATACTAATAACAATAATACCACCACAATAAGAGCAGCAGTCCGACCCCAATCACACCACCAATTAATACGCAACCGCATACATAGAAAAGAAGATACACATACACAATGACGACGAAAGACAGAGACGTACGAGTACGTAGCTCCCCCGATATTGGTACGCGTATGGAAGAAAGGAAGGAAGGGAGGGCCCATGCAGGGCAAGGAAGGGCCAGAGGAAGAAGAAAAGCGAGCGAGAGAGCGAGGGAGGGATCGAGTGAGGCATATACACAGAGAGACTGCAACGCAGAGCGAAAGGAAAGGCAAGGGAGGGAGTGAGGGACCAAGTGTGGGAGAAGAAGAAGCAGAAGAGCAAGAGCAAGAGTAAGTGCGAGAGCAAGAGCGAGAGCGAGAGGGGTTTCTTTCTCTTCACAGTGGCAGTGGAGTAGAGTAGAGGAGCATCACTCACTCACTCTCTCAGGCAACGCAACGCACCGGACAGTTCTCGTCCTCGGCCTCGTCCTCGATCTTACACACACACTCGCGAGTCATGTTCATGTCGTGAGGGAAACAGAGTGCGAGTGCGAGAGAGAGAGAGAAGTTGGTTACTCGACCGCATCGATTCCTCGCTGAATCGATTACCACTACTTCTGCCTCCCTCCACAGGCAGTTTCTCTATCGCCTACAACGCGGCCAACTTGCTTCAGGTTTCTCACTCTCTACCGTAAGACTGGTAGTTGGTTGCCTCGGGTGCTGCTAGTGGGTGTTGATTGGTGTTGTGTGCATCGAGAGAGAGATGGGTCGCGCGTTTGTTGTAAATTTCACTTGATTGGGGATTTTTGTTTTTGTTTTTGTTTTTTTGGGTAGGAGTGGTGTGACGGTTTTTGGCGAATTCGATTGTTGGTTTTTGGAAGGTTTGTGTAAGGGAATTGATGCTGGAATGGTTTTGAGCTGTCTGGTCGATGTGTGAAGTGGGGTTGTTTTGATTGGTTGATTGGTAGGGGAGACTGTATCTGGAGGGATGAGAGATAGGTGGGGTGGAGCATTTGCTAATTGGTTAGGTGGCTTTGAGTTATCTATTTAGTACTGTTGTTATAGTTATTATCGTTTTTGGAGGGGTGACGATTGGAGTAGAGTGGTTGCGCGAAGATTGGTTGATTGCTGTATGCAGGTGATTGTGTGGGGTGTGTTTTCATGTGCGATTCAGAGATGTGGAGATGGGTTGGTTTGCTCTTGCCTAATTCTGGTGTTTCTAGTTTTAGGGTTGCTGTGGGTTTTTAGGGCAAAAGTTCAGGTCACTTTGCGCTATTGAGTCATTTCAAAGCTGGAAATGGCGTGAATTAGGGACATGGAATGCAGTTGAGCGCATGAAACAGCGGCGTTTGTCTTTGCCGTAATGATCGTTTTATTTGCACGTTTGTTATGATATGATCGAAATGTTACTTTTGTTTGTCTTTCTTGTCTGAGGTTGATTGGCGAGCTGGACGTCAATCAATTGAAGTTCAATTTTGGAAAGGTCTTCAGGGTTTCAGTGGTTCTACTCCATAGAGGAAATTTAATATGGGATATGAGGACACAACCCTTATTTTTATTGAAAGAGTTTGAGCAATGAGTATGTCTCAGCTAAGCAGGCTGTATTGTGTCTGGTGTAATGTTGGTTGGTAACCTGTCGTCGAGCTTGTTTGTGTAACTTTAAAATTCAACAGGCTCACAGTCATGCTTCTTTCCTCTTGTAGATATGGCGTATCTGTTATCTGAGCCTGGTTATAGGTAACACGCATCGAATCCTTTCTCAGTAAAGCATAAGGTCAATTTCCACTCAGGCTCCTCTCAAGTTAGAGATTGAGCAAGCAAGTGGTGTCTGGCGTTGGCTGGTGGTGGTTGTGCATGCGGCTGAAGCCATTAGAAACATGGCACAGCCCAGGGCAGGAAGGAGTTTGGCGGATCTCGAAGATGCAGTTCTGCGACGGGTGTTGCTAGTCACAGTAAGACCTGGAAGCGAAGAGGGCTCTGGTTTACCAGTTTACTTGGAACAGCTTTCTGCGGAGCTGATGAGCGAAGGGCGTCAAACTCTTCTCTCTCGAGATGTTCTTGAGAGGGTGTTGATGGAAAGATTGAGCACTCTATACGAGGGTTCCGAACCGCCCTTTCTGTATCTTGTCAACTGTTATCGTCGAGCATTTGGAGAGAGCCGCAAGGCACAGACAATGAAGGATAAAGCAGCTCTTGCCGTGATCCAGGACGCTTTGCAACAAGTAAAAGACTTGTCAGTGTCTTACTCTGTGCTCATGTTGGTGCATGCCAAGGACAACATGTTCCCCCAGCCTCCTGATGCATCATTTTCTCCAAACGCGCTGTTACTTGCTTCGTTGCTTGCTGACGGATCTTCAAGTGCTGGATATTACGCCACCAGCAGTGGCGTAGAACCATTGCCTCCTGGATTTTTTGAAGGTCTTCTGATGAGGTTCGAAGATGAACCGGAAGGTTTCAGGAGCACTTTTGAACACTTATACAAAGATTTGCAAAGCATGGTGATGAAGATGTCTCCGTTGGGTCCGTTTCAGCGATGTGTGAGGACTCTGGTCATGTTGGTTTCGTATCCTCGTCTAGCGAAAATACTGGTGGAGCATCCAATGTGGAGTCCCAAGGGTAATCATGTCAATGGACGGGTTTTAGAAGTTAGCAGTATTCTGGGACCTTTCTTTCACATCAGCGTCATACCCGATCATCCGGTGTTTGGAAATGGAGAACCCAACGCGAGGTAATACTTAATTTCTTTTCAGTCCGTCAAATAAAGTGTGCTCTGGAATATGTATACTTAACTTTTGATTTTCTTTATCTTTCTTGTGCAGTTTACTTGATCGAGTGGTTGGTGGATAGGTTGCAGCTTCGGCTGAATACTCGTGGTAGATCTTGAGGCAGATACTTACTGGGTTGTCTGGTGGCTATGGGTTGCTTCAGGCAACAGTGTTTTTCTGATGTTTCAAGCCGCCGGGACTTGGCGTCTTCATACACTACGATAAAAACTGTTTTGCATCAGCTTTACGATGGTATGCACGAGGTCTTACTGAAGCTTCTTCGAACATCTGAGACACGAGAGTCTGTGCTTCAGTACTTAGCGGATGTCATACAGAAGAACGTCAACCGGAGTCAACTTCAGGTTCACTCTTGATGTTCATTTGTGTTCAGTAAGCTTTCTCCTGCGATCTTTCATAGGTGGAATCTTATAGTTTTACTAGTATCTTGCTTCTTGACCATGACAACTTGATGAACATTTCTGGATGCTTATTGCTAGATAAGCTCCTCATATACTGCAGTGCAAGGCCGAGAATGAGTATTTGACGATCTGCATTTAAATTTGTGTATTCAGTCGAATCCATTTGCAGTTGCGAGTAGTGGAATGTTTGTAAGCTTGAGTGCAGTCATGCTCAAACTTTGTGAACCATTTCTGGATGCTTCTTTAAGCAAGAGAGATAAACTCGATCCGCGTTACGTTCTTCAAGGAGGTCGGCTTGACTTCAGGTTTGGAATACCTTAATATTTAAAAAAAAAATATGGATGTGCTATGTATGTTGTGGTTTTCAGTCTTCTTTTATTTCGATGAAACTAATTGCACTGAGCAGCTACAGGATCTTCTTTAGGAACGATATCTGTTGTATTTGAAGAGTAATTTTAACGGAGTTCTACTGATAATTGTGCATCTGACACAATATTATTGGCAGTGGATTGACAGCAGTTTTTGCCACATCTGAGGAGTTGGGGAAATGGGTGGATAGCCGCAATCACTCCCGCGCTGAAGGTTATCGTCAAATACAGCAGTTCGGGGAACAGGAAGAGATGCGGCGTTTACAAGCTGAGGAGGCTTCCACTTCCATGATGAACAGTTCGCAATCTCATCCACTGAGGAATATTGCATCTGCAATAGACAGTATGAAGTTTACATTCATCTGCGAATGCTTTTTCCTGACAGCAAGAGTACTTAATTTGGGACTCATCAAGGCATTATCAGATTTCAAGTCTTTGTTACAAGTAAGCACTTCATACAAGAATCGCTGCTTTTTACATGACGATGTTGACAAAGGATTTAGAGTTTGGTACCATTTCAACTGTAATTTTGCAATACATAATGCTATGGATAAAGATGCATATTAATACGTGTGCTCTTTACATTATAAGTTTTAGAGGACTGTGTAATGTATTCGGAGTGTTCTTGTTGCTACATCGTTTTTTAGATTTTTTTCCTGTTCTGATTTAAGATGTCCATGCTCTGACTCGAAATACAAAAATTATCTTTGACGTTTGGTTCGACTCTCTGATGCTCGCGTTCATATGCTACTTGATCGTAGAAACTTTCTAGGCGGAAGGATGACCTCGCGGCATTGAAGAACATGCGTGGTAATGGAGCTCCACCAAGTATAGAACAAGACATTATTCAAGCGGAGGCAGTTGTTGAGCAGCTATCACAGGATCGTCTCTGTTATGATTCCCAGCTCCTCAAAGTATGATTAATCTTTCCTTGACATTTTTTCATATTTTAAGTTGAAAGGCTCATATATTTAATCTACTTACAAATTCTCCTTTTGGACAATAACTGCAGTTTGCAATGCGATAGGAATTTTATCTTGAAATCTCTGATAATGCATAGACAATATCTTCCTTGACATGGTAACTGTCCATCTCTGCTCAACCTTTGGTATGATTTGTATCTTATACATATGGTCGTGTTGATGCAGGATTTGGACCTGCTGCAAGAAGCTTTATCTTACTACAGGCTCATGGTAGTGTGGCTCACAGGCTTAGTCGGTGGTTTTCATATGCCGCTTCCGGTACCGTGCCCAATGGAGTTTGCTTCCATGCCCGAACATTTTGTAGAAGACGCTATGGAGCTGCTATTATTTGCTTGTCGTATTCCAAAAGCTCTCGATGGTGTGAATTTGGTGAGCTAAAATCTCTTTGCATGATGTAGGATACAGTTGATTTGGTGTCTGTTACTTTTATTTCTTCTAGTTTAGTGGGTGGACAGAAAATGGCATGGAATCATGTAGCCGTGGAACGTACGCAGCTCTGTGATCGATTGCTGGTGCATGTTATTCCTTCTGCAGGACGAGTTTATGAGTTTCATAGTGATGTTTATGGGAAGCCCACATCACATTAGAAATCCGTATTTACGAGCAAAAATGGTTGAAGTGTTGAACGGGTGGATGCCTTCAAAATGGTGGGTCCTGTTTCTCGCATGATTTTCCCAAAATATATCTATATGTAAATGTGTGTTTGCTGTGGTAAGGATCTACTCATGTTTCTTCAGCTTTCGTGTGTTGGAACTTTGTCGTTAGTTTCAATAATCAAGTAAGGCAGAAAGCTATTATCTCGGATGCTTTTCTCGCTTCTTTGATATAATGGAATGCCTTCGCTGATACTCGTATTTTCAATTTGTGTATGCAGCACTTCTCCAACCTTGGTCAGCAGCATGTCATCTCTTTTTGAGGGACATCACCTGGCTTTGGAATATTTGGTGCCGAATCTGCTCCAACTTTATGTCGACATTGAGTTTACTGGAGCCCACAATCAGGTGAGTCTGTTGTTTCGACACTAATGTTTGTTGCAGGGTTCTGTTTTCTTAGTCGCCTTGCGCATAGTTGTCAGATGCATACTGTATGGATTCTGTTATCTTTGTGCAGTTCTTGTTGCTTAGTGTATTGTTGTTGTTTGACCCTTAGCGTGCGGGGGATGCTTTTTGTACATCTATTTGTCTATGCAGTTCTACGACAAATTCAATATTCGTCACAATATTGCGGAGCTGCTGGAATATTTATGGGGTGTACCTAGTCACCACAAATCGTGGATGCAGGTGCTGTTGAGTTTGTTCCCATCATCACTGTTTTCTCCTCTAGGCAGTCTATGTTTTACTGCATTTACATTCACATTTATTTTATGTTGTGCTTTGCTGCTTTTATGAATGCATACATTTACTTTTAATATATTCTGGGGCATGAGTTTAGTGTGTGCTATTTAATTGCAAAGAATGTCTTTTTGAACAGGTTGCTGTGAGGGAGGAGAAGGGTGCTTATTTGAAGTTTCTTAATTTACTTATTAATGATAGCATCTTTCTCTTGGATGAGAGCCTAAAGAAAATTCCCGAACTCAAAGAAATGGAAGCACAACTGGCTGACACTACTGCATGGAGTAGGAGACCAGCTCAAGAAAGGCAGGAGAGAGAGCGACATTATCATCAACAAGAACATGTACAATCTCTGTCCTATTTCAAAGCTTTCGTCTTCTGATTTTTAGCCAAAAATATTTCTACTAGATGTGGTTTGCTTTTACACTCTGGTCTTACACATGATTATGCTGTTTACGTTGAGGCTTGTGGGCTGAATTTAGATTGTTCGAATTGACATGATGCTGGCCAATGAAGACGTTAAAATGATTCAATATACTTCTGCGGAGATTACTGCACCATTCCTACTTCCTGAGATGGTGCGCTTTCCCCTCTCGTATCTCCTTTTTTGGTGTAGGTCGAGACATTTGACAGATGAACATCTGAAGTTAGAGATTTGCTAAGCACATCCTTGCGTAGTCACATATTTGATTTTATGTCCTGTTTTAAGTGAGTGACTGTGCCATGCAGGCAGAGAGAATAGCGGCAATGTTAAATTACTTCTTGGTGCAACTTGTTGGACCTCAACGCAAGGCTTTATCTGTGAAAGATCCTGAGAAATACGAGTTCAGGCCTAAAGAGCTTCTGGCACAGGTATGGCTGGAGTAAATGGGCTTCTGATTTAGTTAAGTACTAAAACAGTTCATCTAATTTGAAGTTGAGAGACGGTCCATATTTGTGACATGTAATCAAATCGACCAACTTTGCATATAATCCAAACAAGTTTTGTTGGTTAATCACCTGACTTTATTTGTCATTATGTGCTGGTTGGGCACACTGTATGACAGATAGTAAACATATATGTGAACCTGGATAGAGGCGATTCACAGGGGATCTTCGCAAGAGCAGTCTCTAGTGATGGTCGCTCATATAGGGATGAGGTAACGCTCCTTTGCTATAATGTGCCTTTTTATGACTTGTGTTTTTACGTCTTGTTTTCATGCTCCCTTCAACAGTCAGTTGTCAAGTCAACGTATGAAGTGTCACTTGTACCCCTCGATTGCAATTTGATATTGCTAGTTCCCTTCTTGAGTTCACTTCTCTTGTTACAGTTGTTCACAGAAGCTGCTGGACTTCTGCGCCGAATAGGTAGTCTTCCTATGCAAATGATCGAAGCGTTTGAATTACTAGGTGCTAAAGCGAGAACACAGGCGCAAGAGATGATGGATGCGGAAGCTATGCTTGGTGATATTCCTGACGAATTTCTTGATCCTATTCAGGTAATGGGAACCTGCTGAATTGTTCTGCAAGTATATATGCCTAGGGCCTGACCGGTGTGACTATCATAATCCTGTCCTCTTTGTGCTTAAGTCATTCATATTGAATTGTGCAGTACACATTGATGACGGATCCTGTCATTCTTCCTTCTTCAAAAACTATCGTCGACCGATCTGTTATACAGAGGCATCTTCTAAGTGATCAGGTATGTGTGGAGCAGAGCATGTTACACATTGTTGAATACCACAAAATTCTTAATTGTTTCTTCTCTTTGAAACACTGGTCTAGTTTCATGATTCTCAGACCTATGCTACTGCCTGTGCAGACGGATCCATTCAACCGATCGCTGTTAACTGTGGAAATGTTGATACCGGATCACGAGCTTAAGAGAAGAATCGACGATTATCTTGCGTCCCACTCAAAGAAGTGACGTTTCTATATTGACCTTGTGTTAATTTAGTCTTAACCTGAGTTGGCTTGCTGCTATGCCATAAGCATGTTTATGATCTGTTCTAAGGTACATAGTTTGGATGAATTAGGCAGGGAATGCTGCCTCGTAAGATAGGCACTTGCGAGAAGTTTATTCCAATTTTGAGTTGGAGTAACTGAATCATTCACATGCTTTATCTATTTGTGCCATTCGTCTGTGCTGCACGGTGATCTGAACCTGCACCAATATTGAATAGTAGACGTGTCATAGTGTTGTAATCATCAACTTTTCGTTGTTTTGGGCATATTTAGTAGACATACTGATTGTTGTCGTGCCTTTTGGCGATATCAATTACAGATTTAGAAGGGCATGGAGCAGGCCAAATTGCTGATCTAAGTAGTTCTACACCTTACCTGATTGTGTACAGATTGGCGGCGTCAGCTTTTTTAGGTTTAGAAATAGTGGGTCGATCAGTCCAATTTACACTTCTTTTGGACAGTGGGTGACGCTATTTGATCAAGTTTGAACTTGGAGCAAGTTTCTAGCCCAAGTCGGATGTATGTGTTATAACAACCTGGTGTCAATCCAAAGCTGATCAGTGAGAAGTATCAAATTCTTAGTTGCTATCTGCTTCTTACTTTGTCATTTTGTGTACGCGGCTACATGAATATTGCAGTTCATACAACACGACAGGAACAGAACTTGTCCAGTACCTGTTGAAGCGGGGAACTAGAGATTCAGCAGTAATGAGGAGAATGTGCATGAGAACGTACAGATAAGGAAATAGAAGTCTCGCTTTATTAACCTTAACAACCCAACTTCTCCTAGTCCGTGAAATTTGCCAATAAAACCGTACAAAGAATGCAAATTCCCTACGCTGAACTACTACACCGAATAATTATATCCATACCCATGCATTTCGACAAACATATACAGCAGCTAACCATATTACATTCAAACCAACAGATTCTTGGAGGTACTTCCGCTGAAACACTACCACTCAAACACTGCTTCGCATATTAACAAATGCGTTCTTATTTCAGAAACAAGTTGGATCGGCTTGTCTCCAATCGTGTGCTTTTCTATCATGACATCCGCTCCAGATAACAAGCAAGCCAAAAAACTATATTCTAAAGAGCACAGAGCTGCTAAAAGAAACTCCTCAACCTGTCTACATTTGACCATTGCGCCTCAGAATGCAGTCTTACCTTTTTTTTTTTGCTCATTCAAAGCCAACAAAGGCATATCAAGAATCACTTTGCACTGGTGTTTCTCCGAAACCACGCTTACTTGTTCCACCACAACGTCACGTCCTTGCGCCTGTTGATCTTCTTCTGCAACTGAAGCAATCCGTATAGCAGAGCTTCCGCGGTTGGAGGGCATCCAGGCACATAAATATCCACAGGTACAATGCGATCACACCCACGTACCACTGAGTACGAGTAGTGGTAGTAGCCTCCTCCATTCGCACAGCTACCCATAGACACTACCCACCTTGGCTCTGGCATCTGATCGTACACCCTGAACACCACCAACCACCCCAATTCTCGTCAGCTATACGTTTTCTGTTTCGTCATGCTGACCCGATATTATCTTTTGAAACAACAACACTCAAATTAGTCTAACATATTATGGAGGAGCTCGGGTCAATCCTGATTACTTATATCATGGCAACCAGAGGCCACTGAAAGCTGAAGCCCCAAAACTAGAGTAGAAGGCTCCTACCCTGGGGTAAACACACTCTAAACCAAGAAGTTTTAAAGACACGATACACATCAAAATGCACATATCTGACATTCCGATGCGGATTCTAGACTCCACAGATGCTTCCAAAAAAACAAATTGAATGAACGAACATATGACAAAAAAGAGAATTACCAATAAGATCCACCGTGCCCTGACCGATTCGAAATCTCTAAACTACACACCCTAAATGGGAGGCGTAAACTTACTTGCGCAAAGCGGGAGCCATCTTGTTCGTCAGAGTTCCGGCCACAATCATGCAATCCGACTGCCTGGGACTGGGACGGAAAATGATCCCAAACCTATCCAAGTCGTAGCGCGCAGCACCCGTGTGCATCATCTCTACAGCACAGCACGCCAGACCGAATGTCATCGGCCAGATAGACCCCGTCCGCGCCCAATTCATGAGCGCATCTACCTTCGACAACACGAATTCAGCCCCAGGCCCGCCCTTCGATGTCGTGCTCGACGTAGGCGCGTTCAGCGTGGTTGAGGTCATCAAAGCGGGGGCGCTCGAGTGCAGCATCCTTGTCGTCACATTCCGCGACACAGCCTGCGCTGCTCTGGGAAGCAGCGACATCTTCAAACACCTTGGAGACAGAAAAGAAAAAGGCCTCTACACCCCGAATAGCGTGAAATTTCTCAAGCAAAGAAAGCTCTAGTAACGCAACCACAGACGACTCGACCCTACAAACTCTGTGTGGAATGAAATGCTCCGCAACCCTAAAACTAGCTCCGAGGCCCAAATGCAACTTTGATGGAAGAAGTGAAGCGAACGACGTCGAGGAAGACGAACGCGAAGGACACGAGTTCCGTCCAGAACTGTCGACGTCAGTCGGTTCCGTCCACCGCCTTCCGTAACTTCGACACGGTCATGGATAGTGGCCCCCACACTGTCACCTGGCCGCCTATGACCATTACTGCTGCTTGGGAGAGACCCCCTGTAATCGCGCCATCAGATTATTTTGATTTTTGGAAAACTAATTATTGTGCTACTTTGGCCTTAATGTTGGTCCTGTGAATTTTGATTTCAACATGAAAATTTGTAAAATGCCAATGATATCATTAGTTACTTTTTTCAAGTTGAAGTAATACATAACTTTTTCCTCTGTAAGTGTTGGAATTTTTGTTATATATGAGTTGAAAATTACAAATGCAGTTTCCAATTTGAATGACCATATGAGCTTATGGTGTACATTATAAAGTCTTAATGTTTTATTTTTTTCTCGTAGAATGCCTCTTTGAAGTTGAATTGACACTCTTAATTATTTTTATTTATTTTATTATTATTTTAAAAAATACACATTACATATAAATTGTGCTTAATATTTTTTGCACCATTATTTAACTTTTATATCTTTTCACATTTTATTCAAAGAAAATTTGCAAGAACCATGAAGTTAGAATGGTTTTTTAAAGATTTGAAAAATGATTTAATTCTGGCATCAAAACAAAAAAAGGTTGATATTTTTATTTTTTATAAATTTAAAGTAAAAGTAAAAGTAAATATAATATTTTTAATTTAATTGTGCCCCTAAATTTGATTTTGATATGAATAAGAATCAAATATAATAGATGTTCGTTTTTTTTCTTGTTACAGATGCTCTCTTGTTAAAAGGTCAAAAGAAAACTAAGAATAGTGCTTATTGTTTGTAAACTCTTGCTAAAGTAGAGTGTAAGGTTGATTATTTTAGAAAGCTAAGAAACAACTCATTTGAACAAATGGTAAACAATACATAAATTACAAAAGAGGTTGAGATAAAGGGGAATAAGATAGGATATTGCTAATACCACCATAGTTTTTCCTATCGCCACCGCAACTTGTCATGCACACAACATGTTTCTATATATATATATTTTTTTTTCTTTTTCTAATTTTTAAATTCCAATCAAAACAAATATTATTATTACTTAATTTTAAATTATTTAAAATCATATAGAAATTAAATTTAAATTAAATAATATAAGAAAAACTAATAAGAATAATTATTTTTTATTAAAATATTCAGTAAAATATTGCTCAATATTCAATAAAATAATTTCAATTTTTTCTATCTTGCAAAAATCATCCATCCATGGATGATTCTACAGACCGAATCCAAAATGCCCCACAGTGTGAAAGCTAGTCGAGGGTAAGAACTTTCGAACCCGGATCGGCTTCCGAACTGTGTTCAAGGAAAGCCGGAAGGACCGGAAGCCCCGGTGGCCACTATGGAGTCGAACGAAACCGTTGGAAGGAGGAAACGGTTAGAAGCACCAGTTGCGCCGTTTCCCCGTGCAATCGGCGTCGTCGTCGTCGCGCAATCTCCACCCCTCCGACCACGTCCGAAATGTCGTCCTTTTGTAACTGATATTGTGCCTTACGTGCGTTTTGAGTCTGAAATTTGCGGCAATTGCGTGCGCCTGTTTCAATTGAGGTCCACGAAGAGAAGTTAGCCGGCACGCTGGAGGTTGTGAGACGAGCGCAGCTAGGTTTCAAGTTTTTTGAAGTGAAAGAGTGTGTTGCGAGCGAGTAAGCTGCAGCAATCGCCGGCTTTTGACTCGTCATGTGAACTCGCAGAGATGGTGAAAGCGACGCCTGCTTTAACATCGTCTTTGGAGACCCGGACTACTGTAACGTACAGCAAAACGCAAAGAGGCAATTTAAGGCAAGAGCATTCCCGTGTTAAAATTGAGTCGAACGATATCGACACCAATCCTGGGGATGTGGTTGAAGCTAAGGAGCCTAACAGCCGCCGTGCATCTTCAAAAGCTAGATCAGAAGCTACAGGGGATGACATCACCAGAATAAACCCTGGAGCAGGTTGCATGATGTCTTTCATTTCATAACATTGTCATCGATTGTTGATTAGTGCGACATTTGAAAATTAAGACGCGAGTGGTTGGTCCGTACTGAACCCCTAGATTTAACTTCATCGGCGACTTCTGTGGATACAACTTGGTAATCTAGAACTTACTCGTTGAACTCTCACTTGGATGGCCTGGGTCAAGCAGCCAAAGGAAGGCTAAACTTGAGCTTGATAACAGGAAGGCAACCCCGCAGTCACTTGCGCTTAATGAATCTCCTTTCGTGAATTCCAGAGGAAAGGAGCCACCTAAAAGTGGCAAGAGCAAACCTCGTCTTTGCTCATCATACAGTCACGGGAAACATTTGAGAAATTATTCCCAGAATGTAGGCCCATTGTTGTATACTAATAAAACAATGTCGTCGTATTCCCTAACTCCTTCCCAAGTTAAAAACCAACTACATGAAAATTCAAGATCAGTCACATAAATTCGCAGAATATTAGGGAATGAGACTGTCTTCAAGCTGCACCTTTCTTCTGATCCTTGGCTATGTTTCGCACAGATTTTAGTTAATGGATATGACTCAGCTAGAGGAAACAGGAAAAGGAAAAGGAAAAGAACTTCCAAGAAATTTTATGCGTCTAATGCATCGGGACATGTTTTTAAGTTTCAGCCTTCCTAAGTTTAATTGTTATTGTTTATGCTTTTCTTAATAATTAGGACCAGGCATGCTGTCTCAGCTTATATGAATTTGAAAACTTGATATTATTTCACCATTCACAGGTCTCTTCTGCATGATACTGTGTTTCAATGACCAAATGAATTAGTAGATAATCTTCTGTTACTGGGTAGTATGAATCTTAACGAGTTGGTGCAATTCTGGGTTTAGTACTAGGGATAATCACTCAAGTTCTGTCACTGCGTTGTCTTATCCAGATGTCCGAAGGCACTACACGATCCGAAAGAGCAGGGAAGAGATGCAAGGCACTATTAGCAACTGATGCTGTATTAGGTACACTGCGTTTGAAAGTAGAGGGCGTGTCTTTAAAAACGGAAGGCCTCAGTGATTCAGAAGCTAGTTCAAAGCATCAGTCGAAACGTACCTCCAAGAAAAGCTCTAAACTATCGGCACAGTCGAACATTTAAAGCATATCAAAATCTAAAATGTGTACACAATTGGGGAAGTTCTCTAGGAAGAGCTCAGTGAGATCAATGGAATCCATGGACGGCCACACTGAGTTACTGGAAAGCCTAGAGCACGCCGCTCTTGTGAGATTGGTCTTCTATTTTCTAATGTCAATTGCAGATCTTTATTTAAAACCAGTGTTAAAACACAATTAGCAAATGATTGAAAGCTTCCGTTTTGTTTCGTGATTTTTTGGTCAAGATTAAAGCCGCACTGGTTCAGATCCTTTTGAGTTGGTCATGAACTCATCGATGAATCCCAACTGAAAGATGAAAAGCCTGTTCCTGCACTGCCAAGGCTTCACAAGAATCTTTAGAGCGTATTGTTCAGGATACCGCATATGGTACAGGCTGTACGGATGATGATCTTCATACGATCCTGAATAGAGAGGTTTCTCGAGAAACAATAAGCAGCTTGCGTGAAGTATACAACAAGACAGTTGAAACCCATTCTCGACAAATTCGGGTAGCAATTTCGGCACGTATTCACAATATGATTTCGGCAGAACCAAACTGTTCAATCCTAGAACCCTTCCTTCCTTCGAGTGCTAACTGGTGACCCAAAAACTCGACGGTTCAAAGACAAATACAGGTAGAATTCCTTCCTCACAAATTTAAGAATGCTATGCGTTCTACTTATAATTCTGCATGTTCCCTCAAGTAACTAAATGATCATTTCTAGGACTGACATGCAGGGTACCAATGTAGCACTGAAATCGGAACAATCAAACTTTGAATGACCATTCTGAGGACATGTCTGTGGTGCAGGACAACGGTGGCTGAGTATGATAGGATGAAAGCCACTTGAGATCAAACAAATACAAGTCAAGCAGAAGGAGATGATTCCACACAATCGGTTGGTACTAACAAGGTGATTAAAACTATCAGCATTGTGTATTCTCGTCGTCCTGAGGAAGAAAACCGATAGATATATTGCAGCCGCGTCCTGCCAATGGGCCTGATCATCACAAGAAACTCGATAATTGCACCGAATGAGCGCGATGAACCGAAATACAGGTCACACCACTGGAAGAAAAATCTTCAATGTTTTCAAGAGAACTTCGTTGCTACTTGAACAGCGGCAAAGTTTAAGGAATGGGAGAACTATGAGTTCGTCGGAGCCGGTTCCTTGTCTTGAAGTCAGGCGGGGGCCTCGGCAGAAGCAGAACAGCAGCAATGGCGCCCAATAGAGCGGCTCCTGCACCGAGTAAAAAGGCAGGCATGTTGCCGCCTCCGAAAAGCTCATCCCAAGGTCCACTCCCTACCGATACAAGAACCTGGGGCGTAACAACTGCGAGGTTCAGTACGCCTACAGACAGCCCTTGACCACCTCCCACTTTTTCTGTGTAGGTTGCTGTCAATGCATACGGGACAGAGTATGTCACAGCAAGTGGAGCTCCTAGAACCGCGAAGATTGCGAGAGAAGAATAGACGATCCAATTTGGTGGCCCCTCCCCATTGGCCATTGCGTTTTTGGCGGCATGAGTCACCAGACCAGTTCCAATGAAGCATACTGTCATAATCGTATTTGCAATGCCCCAGACATAGCTGGACCCCAATTTCCTGCAGACGAACTCGATACACAGGGAGGAGAGACCTAGGACAACGGAGTTGAGCAAGAGACCCAGAGATCCCGCATGTACACCGTCAGAGTACCACTTGCTTTTGTTGGGGTCCGAAGGATCCCCGCCGTATACTTCACGGCCCATCCAGTCGGTGTCGAAGAGGAGGAAAGGGAACCAAGCAATCCAGGTAAGCGCGGTGACGAGAAGGATGTACCACATTGGTCGTGGAAGATCCCTCAAAGCACCCAACATTTCCGTGAATAGAGCTTCGGATTCCGCCTCATCGTCATCATCATCGTCTTCTTCGTTGGCGCCTGCCACACTGGACGAGCTCTGGTTGGCCTTATCAGACAAGAGGGGAGTCGCAGCCTTCACCACCGAGTGTTTCGGCTTGACAGGGTCGTATGGGATCTCGGAAGCTGCCGTTACACTCAAGAAAGTGGTCGTCGCTAGCATGATCACCCCCAGCAGGAACGCAGACTTAAGGTTTGCACAGGCGATGTCACATGCTTCTGTGTACGTGAAACGGAAGATCTTCCACCATCCATCATAGGCCCCAGTTGCAAACCCCAGGATGTTTCCCAGGGCCATGAACAAAGAGAAGAAGGCATTCGCTCTTCGGTTCCTGGTCTGGTCTTTCCCTGTAAAATCAGCCAGCAAAGCCCTGCAAGGTCCCTGAAGTGTGTTGTTGGCCAGGTCAAGCACCCAGAATCCTATCACGAAGATCGTAATTGCGAAGGGACGGGATTGCAAAGTGTCACCACATAGGTATCCCAGATCAGCAGAAAACCCTATGATGAGAACTGCGATGACCACAAGAGCAGCCCCTCCGAGGATGAAAGGCCTTCTTCTCCCGAATGAACTTGTACAGCTATCACTGTAATGGCCAATGATGGGTTGTACAATCATGCCCGAAATAGGCCCGCATAGCCAGATTAAACTAGCCCATGCATGTGGAATTCCAAGCTCTTGTACGTACGGGGTAAGTAACGAAAGCTGCAACGCCCAGCCAAATTGAACCCCAGCTGCAACACTTGCGACCTGAATCAATGCCCGAATTGGAACTCGATTCTTCTTTTTCCACTCTCCCTTATCCATCTTTCAAACTCGAAATAACCCCACAAGCTTGTTATACAGGCTCAGTTCACCTGCAATGCACCACCCTTATTTAAGTTACATAAGCAGGCGAAAACACTACATAATTTTACAATACAATAAGAGACATCACAAAACTAAAGAACTAAATTTACAAATCCGATTCAGACTCAATCAGAATCGTTACCATCCCTCGCTAATTCCAAGGGATAACACCAGGATGCTTCGAGACATATCGTCGTACCTTGCCCGTTGTCAAGATACGACTATTAATAATATACTAACATACAGCCTGAACGAAACTTTGATTTTAACAGACGTGACAAAGTTTCAAGTTCGTACTGGTTTTTAGATTACCAATTCACTGCAGCAAGATTCAAGCAAGAGAGCTTTTCGAAGGCGGCAACATCACCAAAAGTAGGAAGTGCGTCACGAAAATTAAGCGCGACACAACACAATAAAACTTTACCTTGATAGCAAGAAAGATCTGTCAGGACGAAAAGTCACGCACAACCTATCCCAGCACCCTAAATTTTGAGAAGCCCTCTTCTCCAGTCTTTCTCCGCAGAGAGACGACAATCGCACTCTGTTTTATGACCATGTCATATTATGAGTTCAGAAGGTTCAAACCTCAGTAGTATGAGGTCAGGGAGTTTACATGTTCATTCGGTGATATGTCATAAATCCGAATTAGCAAGTTTTTCGTGGTTTTGTGAGGGAATCGTACTGCTTCACTTAACATTGTATAGCGTGGTTGAGAAGTCATGCACAAAGTGCTGAAATTTTCACACGTGATGTGGTCATAGAGACCATAGGATCAGATCAATAGCGATCAATACCCTATCGCCAAGATGATAAAATAAATAGTTTACTGTAGACGTGAGAAATCAAGTCTAAAACGACCTCCCAGAAAATTTAACAAAACCTTCGTTACAAATAAGAAATACAGCACACAACATAACCTGCGATGGGGAAACAAAACTAAGAAAAAAAACGGGAGGGAAACCGAAAACCATGTCCCGTTTGCAAGTCAAAAGTAGGCAACTGAATGAAACGAGGCAATCCACTTAAAACGTCACTACACCCAATCAATATTACACAACGAAAGACCAGAAGTGAGCATTATAAAACAGGTCGCAACAAAAGAAGCCACATCACGCAAGCACCACACACCACTGCGAGCAACGAGAAGAAACTAACACCTCCGCGGAGAAGAAAAAAACAAAAAATAAAAAATAACGTCACCGCTGTAGGCTGCAATCGCGTGCCTCAACTTCAAATTGGCTGGCAATGAAACGCAGCCAATTCCCACACGGATGACAAGAAATCTCACAGGAGAGAGATCCCAGCTTGTCAACCATCCAAACAACCCACCTTCGCAGACTTCACAAAGCGGAAGATGCTGCTTCCAAGGCCAAACCCCGACTCAGACGAAATTCAAGCGACTTACCACACGCCACCACAACAACAAAACACGAAGAAAAAACACCCAAAAATAAACCCAAACCAAAGCCAGCGAAAAAGGCGGAACTGGTTTGGTTCTAAGTCGCAAGTGCGCCGAAGCTTACCTCTCAGCTCATCATCTCCACGCGAAAAACGCACCAGGCTCCGACACCGCAACGACAGAGGCTGCAGCAATCAATCCCACTCCCACGTTACAACGCAACAGCGGCAGCATCAGCAGAGGAATCAATCAATCTGGTGACAGAGAAATCCGCCGAAGCCCATCCATCGCCTTCCCCCACCCCCCAGTCTCTTCACCGCAGCCTTCTACCGCTCCCACACGCTCTCACTCTCTCTCCGCCTATCACCGTTGGATGTAAAAGATGATATATGGATGTACGGAATCTTTCTTTCTACCGCCGCCCCTCCGATCACCGGCACGTGTCGGTCGACCGAAGCGATCGCGGCGTTGCTGATAGGCCATCGAAGGATATTCTTCTTCCCGAAGATGCCCATTCTCATCCGTCCACAATTTCATCCATACATCCATCCATCCTTGGGGTGTGATTTGTGCGTGCCCGAGGTTAGGAACAGTGTTTCGCACACTTCTCCCCCTGGCTTCGGTAGATGCTTTGATTATTATCTGGTTTTCCCTTGTTATTCTTGTTGTTTTTTGTTTTTTTTGTTGTGAGCTGTGTGTGTGTAATGGCCCACTATTACTACAACTCGTATGACAAAGGGAGAGACACTGCACCTGTCTCTGCTGTGCCGTGCTTGGGATGATGAAGAACTCTGAGTCATATATCCCCCCTCCCTTGTACTATCCTCCCTTTGTTCCCTTTCTGTTGTTCCCCCTTTTCAATACCTACGTATATATATATATATATATATATACATATACTAGTGGAAACTTGTGTTGTCTGGCATTGCATTGCGTGTTTGTCCATGTTCCCTCATTTTCATTTTTGGCCAATGAGAGGGTTTTTTTGTCTCTTTCTCTTATACCCAGGTTATATTATATAATAGATGTGGAGATTGAAAAATGGTTGTGAATGTTTCTTATTATTATGATTAGTGATTTTTAGTATGAAAGAAGGAGAGTGAGAGTCAACATGGTTGGAACTTGGGTAGTATATTGATTAAAGTCAATATAAAATTCCACAACTTTTAGCATTGAGTTTTTGATTGTTTTGTACGTTTGTGTGATGACATGTCTTTGGTTAACAAAAGAAATGCAAGAATGTCTCATGTTGTAGAATATATTCTAGTTTGTAATATATATATGTATATATATATTATATGGATAAGAAAGGATAGAGGGTTGTGTGTGTTGTACTTAAAGTGTGTCACATCAATTCCAAAAGGGGTGTTGGAAGTGATGTCAAAAAATGGATATTGTAATTAAATGTCATTCTTGAATTCTTTTTTGTGAAGTGTTCTCAACAAAAGGTCTAAAGTCTTTTGAAATAAAGAATTTCACACATGTTATACTTGTGGGATTTTGTAGCAAAATAAAATTGTTACTATTGTATGTTGTTATCAAGCTTCAATTAAATAGTTTGCCATCTTAATTTATTTGAATTAAGTTTGAATATTCTTTCTTACTAACACATATTTTGTATATATCAAGGGATGACGAAATATTACTAATACAACAAAAAGAATTAAAAATTAAACATCAACAATGAAGCAGAATAGGAGCCCTTCTTGTATGAAAAATAAATACAATGTTTAAAATATTTATATACAATCTCAAATTTAAATTATCTACAAAACCACTATTTAACTAAAGGTAATTATAAAAAGCGAAATATAAATTATCTATTATATACAATGATGTTCAATTTTGAAAAACCACATTCTAAAATATGTACATTTTGATTATTGAAACTCTTTTAAAAGATGAATTTTGCAAATCAAATTTGCTTGTTTGTAATGCAAATAAGTATAATTTACATCATTTTCTCAACATCCTTGACCTCAAAAACAGCTTAAAAAAAATTGTAATTTTTGAAATTAAATTTAATAAAGTAATTCATAATAGTATTAAACATACTTGTCAATTGTTATTCTGAATGAAATAATAGTCTTTTAGGAAAGAAATTGTTACTTATGTTTTCTATATAATTTTATTGCTAAAACATAAAATTTGATTGATTTTAAACAACACCCAAAAAGTGATCCAAAAAAAATAAACTACCCACATTAGTTTTACTAGTGTGTTTATGTTTACAGTATAGGGCAAATTTCTTACCACACAATCGAGTTCCCTTTTCCAAAGCATAATTTCACATTCATTCATTTGGCAACTTCTACAAGATAAAAATGAGGTGTATCTGTTGTTTCCCAACAAAGACACATCACACATTCTTTAGGAGGTTAACGCTTGAAAAACTGATAAGCATATGGAGTAGTTTCAGTTGAAAGTTTAAAATTACACATCTTACAATGATAAGGCAGAATCTCCAAGACTCTTGTGTGACTATAATGGAAATTTTGTGGGGTTAATTCCTGTAAACGAGATGAAAAACTTGGCACTCTATAGTGAATAGAAAAAGATGTAGATTTCAAAATGATGAGAACCAACTCGTGGAACTAAAGCAGGTTGTGACTCCACAATCAAAAACTAGCAAAGAAATCAACATTTCAAGCAGCTATCTACAAGACTTTGCTATAAAGCATAACCCAATTCTCAAACACAGATGTGGATGTAGTAGGAACTGATTATCAGACCAGATCAACGCCAAAATCATTGATTTGTTAACAGTCGCTGGTGGGCTGCAGCAGAGATGAAAATATCATTCATGCTCTACAGAAATATACAAGATTCCGAAGTGCCTCAAATAATGAATAGCCGAACAGCTTTCTAAGGAACTTGATTCCCCTACCTAATCATGGCAACATACTAAAACAAGACCATGGCTCTGACCTTCATTTGTGTGAGCAGAGACTACCTGAGTACACCTCCAAAAGAAGCCGCTAAAAGGATCTTATTCTCTGAAATTGGGACTCTATATGGGCAAAAGAACCTGCGAAGCCTCAATGGTGCATAAATTTGCTAACAGGGGATTGCACTAGTTCTGTAGCACTAACAAGGCGTTTTCCATACCGAAATCGAGATAAGGGACCTGAATTATGCTCGAAAGATAGGAGCAATATCACACAAAAGCATAAACGTTCCAGGAAATATGTGAGGATCTTTGAAAATGCTTGGAAAAGATGGCATCTTAACAGCAGATTCCGCAGATTTTCACGACCTAATCCAAGGCAGCTTTAGCACGTCGGTACGCCTGTGTAATACTTTCTAGTACACTGGGAGCACCTCCTGCGGATGGAGGCAATGCTCCAGTTGAAGATTTCCCACCTTCTGGCATCGTAGCTGTGCTGGACGATTGAAGTACCTTGGATATAAGGCCTTCCACAGCTCCCTTTCCACCAAAGAGAGCGGCTCCAATGGTCTTCACACCGCCTGCCACCAAAGGTCCTTCTCCAACACTGTGCCAACCGTTTGAGGGGAGAGAGTTCACGGGACGGCTGTAAGTAAAGCCAGAGTCTTTTGGTTTTGGACCAGTAACTTTCTCAGGAAAATTTACCCGGTCACCATCAAGGGTCTCGTCGCTGCAGGAATCGCCTCTTGTCCGTCGTCTAACGGGTCTTACAGGGATTACTTGTGGGTCAGTAGCAGTAACTACCTGAATCTCTCCAAATTTGTCTCCTACTCCTAATGGATCTCTACTGGGCTTTAAAAGGAGTTCAGAGGATGCTAAAGAAGGCTCCAAGCTGTTATCCAGCCAACCTGAGCCTGTCGGATTGTTCCTTGTTTTCAAAGACTGATCAAAGCGGCTAGTCTTGAAATTTCCAGTTGAGAATCTTCGAGATCCAGCAGTATCTGATGGGCGGAACATCGGTGAAAATGGTTCATTGTCTTCTGTGATTTCATTGTCAGAGCAGAAGGTAGCGAGTTCTGAACCTTCTCCTTCAGTTCTGGATGGAGGCAGACCATAGTAACCTCTCAACAACTCCATCGCTGACGATCGGTCTGCGTTCTTACCTCCCTGGTTGAGATTTGAGTTTTGGCTCCTAACACGGTGCAAGCCAGGGCGCGATGTCAGCGTCTCCCATCTGCATAATTCAGCGAAGCTCATCGATGTCAACAGATGCTAATTTACCTCTCAAAGATACCTTCATCATTAGCAGTGAACTTTACTAAGAAATGCAAAGTCCGTTAACATTCATCCACCGCAAGCATACCAGATTAATGCCCAAAATAAAGAAACAAAATTAAAAATTAAAATAAATTATCTAAGTCACATGTCCACATAGTCAACTTAAAGTTACCTGGAATTGCTGGAGTCCGCTGAGGCAGTTGTAGGAGGATGCCTGCCTGGAGTTGGAATTCGTAGTGTTTTGAGCGCAAACATTTGCAAGTCAGTTGTTAATCCATTCAAACGCTTAACGTCTGCCACCTGGAAAATAAAACTCGGAGCGGAGGTCTATGTTACAAAAGAGAAATGTCAAATCAGATTCCAAAAAGAAACCATAAAACTTCCACTTTCAACTTCTACCGCAGTGCATGGTAAAGACGAAGCAAATCTCGGTAGTAATCAAGGCAATTACAATGTTTCATATGGCTAAGCTAAGGTCCATATATACACGTCTTCAAACATTCAGAATACCCAACTCAAGAACAACACATCTCTTTCTTATCCCACAAGCTGTTATGAATACAAATCTCTTTTCTTAAAATAAATACAAAAGAGTGGGCAGTGCTTGAAGAACCGTTTTAATTCACAAGTAGGCACAACTCAATAATATTGGGGGACATATGAAAACAACAGACAATTGATGTACGATCAAACGAAATGGTCACTGGGAAGCAGATGAATAGACTTTACCATACATAAGCTGGGCAATCGGCAGACCACCAGCCGAGCGATATTCATATAGCATCTTTAAGACCAAGAAACAATAGAAAAAAGATATTAACTGAAAGCATAGGAAATCCTGACTGAAAATGAACAGCAAAAAGCAAAAGTTTCAACAATGTCCCTCCACAAAACAAAATTCCAGTCATGAAGTTTCCATTCGTGAGATCTTAATTTCTTAAAAAACCACACTATCTTAGATCCCAAAAACTGAACAAGAACGAAAACTCCTTCCGGCAGGAAAATGCAAACAAAAACATTGTAACTCGAAACCAATTGAAGCAAAATCAGAACATTAATAAATCTGCAACCCAATCGTTTCGAGCAGCGGAACATGAGGAGCATCCCTTCAAACACAGGTGGGAGGTGTGAAATAGGGAGGATTCTAAGTCTACGTAACCGACGTAGGGCAACAAAATGCAAAAACAAATCCAGTGCACCACATCGAAAATGCAGAAAATCGTTGGAAGCGTATTTCGACACCCAAACCACGTCTTTGAGACACTTAAATCTCCACACAGAAAAATCAGCAGAGAGGGATAGCTGCTGATAGATGGAATCATACAGAAAAATCAGCAGAGAACGCAAGCTACAACTACGCACGTACAACGAAAAACACACTACTGATCAGGCATACCTCAACGCCGTATTTGATGGCAACACCGGCCAGAGTATCGAGCTTGGAGACGGTATGTTCAATGTAGACCGCACTGCCTGATGTGTTCGCATCGCTACTGGACTGTGATCGATCGGCCATGTTAGTAGGAGAGGGCATTCCACCCAAAATTTTGCTGCTTCTGAGGCGTCAACTGATCCGAGTAAAAATAACTCTGCTCGGGTAACACAATATTCGTTTAAAGGGGAAACACTTGTAGCATGCAGCTTGCCCGCGAAAGAGAGTACGAACACACCGGCTATTCATCAACCTGTGATGGATCCTCCCTTGATGGGAAAATCAAGAAGCGAAGTTTCAAATTCGCGCTTACTCCCACACCGAAGCACGCACAGATCCTCAAAACCTGCCGCATTTGCACATTGCTTTGCTTATGCAACTCCGCCACATGCACCCCAACGAGACGCAACACTATGCCTCACTCCTCAACACCTAAACAAAACATTTCTCCATAATCAAAGCTCCTCGAAGATGATGAAACTTCACGCCCCAATTCACCGACCCGACATGTTCCACTCCAAACGCTGCCTCCCCTGTGCCAGATCCAGGGGAAAACCAAGCAACCCCAACAAACAAAACACACAAGTGGGAATGTCACAACCGACCCATCTCAGCACCTCCACCGAATCCACCTCCTGCAACATTCACTCATACCCCTCGAACTCAACCAAACCCTACTGCCACCAACGATGGCACCTGCACGACCTCCAACGGTCTTCGAAGCCCAAACATTTGCCCAGATCCACCCAAATCTCCACGACCAGCATAAGTCTCACACACGAATCGCACCTCCAGAAATCATTCCAACCCTACCAATAGCAAACTGACTCCGTAAGAACCCCAATCATCCCCTTCGTCCTGCCATCCCTGCCGCATCTCGCACTGTTTACCTTGTCCTCTTCTGACTCAGTTCCACTGTAACAATTTGCTACACCCAGCACCATCCTCGAAGCAATCCCCCACCCGCAAAAAGGACACCCCGCCAGTGAACGATATTCATCCGCTGGTCGAGTCTGGGAGTAGGTCTGCGTGACAAAAAGACACGCAGAGGGGGAGAGAAACGTCGTAAAGAAGACGTGGGTGACATTGGCTCACGATTTTTTACTTCACTGGGTTGCGAGGCTACAGGGGGAACAAACGGGATTGCAAGACCTAGTTCACCGCACAAAAGGTTTGACCATCTCTCTGTCATGCTTGTGGTTCCGGTTCTTACATGTGGGTGCGCACATGCACACCACCACCGTGTTTTTTTACCAGTGTTTCTTACGATCGCCGGAGCTTCATCGGACGACGATGGAGGAATAGGAGGGTCTGGAGGGAGATGTGTTGATCGGGAACTCCGTTTGTGTGGCTGTTGTGGGCTCCTCCGAGTGATGAGCCTTCTCATTCATGCCGCAATCACCGCCAGGCACTCTGTCACCCACCTCCAATCCATTTCACCAGCGGTCTTCATGACGCCCTCCGCATTCAATGCCTCCAGCATCAAGTCCAGTTCGCTTTCTTGCATGTTCTAGTATTCTGATACCACATAGCATCATCTGAGCTTCCGGGGCGTACTCGTCCCGATTTTCGCGTTTCTGCCTATTTGCGGCCTCCGAGTGCCCGCTTCGAATCGTCACTGGATAGAGCTGCTTTTTCCTCCCACTAAATTCAAATCGGTTCAAATGTGCCTCCGTCTGGCAAACCTTGGAAGATGGTGGGATTGAAGAGACGTAGTGAGTAGATTGCTACTCTCGCCCACTGTATTTGCTGGCATTTGGGTGTCGGGTTTCCGATAATTCCTCTTCGCTATGGTTGCCCGCTCCCAGGAACGACAACCTCTTGACGGTGATTTATGTGCAGGAACATGCAGTTGAAAGGAATCACTAATTTCCATGACATTGCTGAAAGGAAGTTGAACAGTTGAAGCAGAAGGCTTTATCAATGGATCGAGAACAAGGCGATCGGTGACATTTTTCCTAAGTTTTGGCAGAAAGAGAATTAATGCTACCATGGTCGGCGTCATTTAGTTGCTTCTCTGCAGAGCCATGGTGAAAACGCGTGTGACAATACAGCGAAGGAAAGTCTTAAGATCACAACACTCCTCTGCGAACCTAAGTGAAGGCTTTTTGGTTTTTTATCCTTAATGACTGACAATAGCACTTAAAAGTGGCGCTATGGGAATTAAATTGTACTCTTTAAGCGCAGATCATTCTCACTCTTTCTTGCGTCAAAAAATAAGATGTTCGCTGCTTGCACTTATCGATGAGAGAATGCAGACAAACGTGGGCTTCGTTGCACACGACCTTCATTGACGTTCTGGAATGAAGGTCAAAAAGTTTCAATATTCTGTCAAATCGTTATGAGCTCACTGAGAACCAAGCCACTTTCATCTTGATACGGTTCAAAGAGCTGTTGCTTCCTATGCGATGAGCCTGATCGCGACATGCACGTTTGACTGCACATGGACAAAATCCATGCCTACGTTCTATAGTAAACTAGGTCAATTAGTTCTACACAGATAACAGTGGCCAAAGCCATGTCGCACGTTCCATAATTTCAAAGATGGCACACACAAGAAGAGAATTCAATAGAAGAGTCGGGGTAAAACAAATCGGAAAGACTCCACTCAATCGATCACAGAGATTGAACGGATGATATCGCTAGATACTGTTCAAAGGAGTGATTACAGCTGACGTTGGAACCAAACAAACATTTGACGATGCCCTACATAGCAAAAATGTTTACCAGACAGAACTTGGGACTAAGTTTTACAGAGCTACGTCACCAATGCTTAGGAATTTACACTGAGAATTAATGATTGGTTCGCACAAAAAGAAGCTTATAGCACAAGCTTCAGTGCACGCTTCAGGGGCATCTGAACGTGGAGCTAAGACTAAAAGAATTACGTGATGAATTTAATTGGTTTCAGGTTAAAAAACCTGACGTGTTCAAGAACCGCACTGGGAGGCACTACTCTTCACAATCGAAGTCCTTCGACCTTTCTTTTCAGCTAGAAGTAAAAAGAAAATGGGGTGCGTGGCTTCTATTGAAAATTAGAAGCTCGTCAACCTCTCATTGTCCAGTACTGCTCTCGAGCTGAATTGTTACTAATTCCTGGTACAGATGATTGGCTTGAAGACAAACCATCCCAATCACTGTAAACGGCAGTAAGCCTTTATCAGCATTGCATCCTTCTGCAATGAAGGCTTCGGTGTAAGGAAGCTGCATGAGATTTCTAATCAGCTTGCTTGTTGAGGGTCGCTGGACATGGTGGAGCCCTATTCTTCTCACAGAGAGCAAGTTCGATAGACTTGAAAAAATGAACTACTTTCGTGTAATACCTGAGATCAACCGGTTGGCTCTCCTATAAGATCTAGACCAACCACAAGAAACGAGATACCTTGAAAGAGAAGGAAGTAAAAGTGGATTCCTTGCGCTGAGAGCAAACTCCTGCCCGCAGCAGTCAAGAGTAGGAAAGACAAAGTAAGCTCCTTGCGATACAAACGGCTTCCTTTCTTCTTCGGCACTGGCGCTGGAGCGCTTGATTCAGCTTGTTGTTTCAACGTATCTATACCAGACTCCGAAAAACCTCGTCCCAAAACAACAGGTGCGGTCTTCACTTCCTTGACCTCGTCTAAAAGCTCTGCCTCTGTTGACGATGGAGCGATGTCCGCTAACCCTTTTGACCCTGACTTCTTGGTGACAACCCACTCGTGTGAACTACGCAGTTGGAAGAGACCCGATATCATGGCGTTGAACTTAGTGACGGACATGGTGTTCTCGAATAGCAGAAAAGGTACGAGGAAAGGAAAGGACTTCGGTGACGGGATGACGTTCAGGAGTGACATGAGGGCAGGAATGTAGCACACAACCCAAGCTGGTAGGGTTGCTTCCGGGACGAACATGGTCATAGGTAGGATGATGCAGAATAATGTAAAGGAGTAAAATGGTAGGATGAGCTTTCTCAAGAGAAAGAAGAGAAAGATCATGTTAAATTTCTTCGACCATGAAATCTACACATAACAAAGAAATCAAGTCAGGACGCATAACCATCACCGCCAATCCTAAGACCAAATCATTACATTGAATGGAAATTACGAAACTGCAATGATACTAAAAGTGGACACCCTTGTCGATAGAGCCGGAAACCAACCTGAGCGTTGATAATGTCTGGCAGAGCTAGACGGAAAAGTTGCATAGGTCCAGAATGCCACCGATGTTGCTGCTTGCGGTACGCTTCATACGACTCAGGAAGCTCACACAGGGACTGGAGGAGAAAACCCGGAGCCAAGTTCGAAAGATTAAAAAACGCTCAAAAAAACTAACATTATACAGCGGCATTTTATTATCGAAAGGCACGTAATCCTTCATTATTACCAATAAATATTCAGCGCAAACCAACTTTATAAATGCCATGGAGCGAGAAACACTTACCCGAACATCGTTCAGAAAGATGAATTTCCAGCCTTTGAGATGAGCCCTAACAGCGATGTCCATATCCTCCACAGTGGTCCTGTCCAACCAACCACCAGAATCTTCCAGTGCTTTGATTCGCCACACGCCCGCGGTGCCATTGAAGCCAAAAAAATTGAGAAACACTCCATTCACTTGCTGCTCAACTTCGAAGTGAAAGGACAAGTTGATATTCTGAAGCCGTGTCAGCAGATTCTCATCCTTATTCACAAAGGCCCATCGGGCCTGCACAAGGCCTAACTCCGGATTGTCCTGCAACCAACTCAATTCAAGTCACTGTGAGTGACTGTTGATTCACCTAGACTAATTTTTAAGGGACAAATGAATTCTAGATCCAAGGCGGACGTTACATTAACAAATTGCTCGGACTCCCAGCTCAGAAAGCCCTGGGCTGAACCATTATGCTCATAGAGTTACCTTGAAATGGGGGATTGTAAGCTTGAGAAAGTCAGATTTTGGTTGAAAGTCGGCATCGAAGATGGCCACAAACTCGTAATCCTTGACGTAGTCACATTCCATACCCGCCTTCATGTTTCCAGCCTTGTAACCGGTACGGTCAGTCCGATGCCTGTAGATTATGTTGATTCCTTTTTGCTGCCATTTCTTCACTTCTGTTTCGATCAGCCCCGCCACCTCCTCATCAGATGAGTCATCCAGCACCTGGATCAAGATCCGGTTCTTCGGCCAGTCAAGCTGGCAAACTGCTGAAATCGATTGCTCGTAACACTGCAAACGAGTACAGTATGTCAGTCCACACTACGGACTAGGTACATGTTAGAACTCTGCGGTCTACCACATACACTCCAGCGAAGCAGGAGATGGTAAACAGACAAATTTGATTCCTTCAGAGTAGGGAAAAAGAAGGATTGGTGACAAACCTCCCGCTCGTTGCACATGGGTATTTGCACCAAGCACATGGGGTGGCCTTTATCCGGTTGCTCGATGTCATCAGACTCCAGGGAGGGACTCACAGGCGTAGGCTTGATTTTCTTCCACTTGATATACACAGCGCCCATGCACAAGATGATTCGATCCAGGGACTGAAGAAGGAACAACCAGATGCAGAAGTCTGTCACCTTCTGGAGCGCAGGCGCAATGTACGAAGCACGAATAAACAACCATCCCATGAATAACGCATGCGGAAGACTTGAAACATTAAGAGTGGTTGGCCATTGTGGCACGGAGAATTGCCAGCCTAGGGTGTGAGCTCCCACTTCAACGCACAACATAATCAACGCAAAGATCAGAAATCCGATGATAACCCGGGATAACTTTCCCTTCGAAGCGTTGATGACATTTTTGCGGAGAATGAGTCGATCCTTGATGGCGTCCAACAATATCATAATACCAGATGCTAACCACGTCAAGCATCCAACAGCCTTGTTGGCTTTGAGAAGCAGCACCCAGGTTAACTGCTTCGCATTTTTGCCCTTGCCTTTGGCTGCCTGTCCACCACGCATCGCAGTCGTGGGACTATCAAACTCCAGCATATCGAAGTTGGGATTCTCCATCTTCACCACCACTGGTGGTCCCCGATTTGACTCCTTACCAAATAATTCGGAAAATTCAAGCTTCGACGGCATCCTGTGAGGATGAAGGTGTAGATTGCAGTTGTCAACTTGTTGACGGTCGGCTAAAGCTAAGGCCTACTATAGCCAATGCTGCGGACTGATGATAGTTAACGGGAAATGTAATCCATCAGGAGTCACAAATGGTAGCAAGTTTGAGGTACTTCTGTCGCCCCCTTTAAAGCCACCTACGTAAACAGCACTCTTCTATGTAACAGAAACGGTTGCAATCTCTCGGTGCCTTCCATGCATGAAGATTAGGCACGTACACCACTGAAAACTGCGCATCAAAAAACTCAATCAATGGTGCGAATGACTTCAAGGCTTGTGACTTAAAAAACTTAAGTCCCTCATCTAACCATCCAAGAAACGAAGAGCATTGTGTAACTCATCTTCAATCTTCGTCGACATTCATCTACAAGCCCATTTAGATTAACTTACAATAAGATACCAAGCAATGTACCTTGAAAAAGAACTGCTCAATGTGTCCCTAAAGGAAAACCTCAACAACCGACCAGCATTCTAAATCTGTGAACAACGAAGTGAACAATGTTGGAATCTGTCCTACAGCTTTCGAGCTGTGGTGATGGTAGCGCAGAAAGAGAAAGCAGAGGGAAGCCGTGGCATATGCTTCAGACATAATACACAACCAGAAACCCTGCAGTGGCTCCTAAACCAATCGCTCACATTCCAAGACACCCTGCGACACCACTCATTCAGTCCCCAGGGGAAAGTGTGATCTCCCTCCCCAGCATTAGCGCGTCATCCCGTGCAGGGACTCCACGCAAAACTCGGTATGAATACAGGGAGGGCCGTCCAAAGCCTGAACGTTCCGGTCGTGGCTGATAATCGCCACCGCCTGACATTCACATCAAAAAGCCCCAAATGGCGAAAACCCCGCCCAAAATTCGCAATACTCGAAACACTCTCCAGAAAACAGTGGCAAAACTACCAAAAACTGCTCACCTCCGCATCATCCCTGGACCCACTACCCCCCCCCCCCTTTGTCAGAAGATTCCCACCATCTCTCCAACCCCCCGATGAAATCTCCGAAATCCACAAAAATCTTTGACCTATTTCCCTTTGTTTGCTCACCTCGACAAATTTTAATGAGTGCCCTGTTCAACCAAATGTTTCACGCCACGTCCTGCTCCTCCACTCTCCATCACTCTCCCTGTCGAACTAAGAGCCCCACCTCGACTTGATTCATCACCCTCCCGCTGCAAAATTTGCAGCAGTGGCTGCTTGCAACAATTGATTATCTCTTACTCTGCGGACCCACCACACCTGCATTGAACTTCTGAAGCTCCCAAATGTTCGTCACCCCCACATGGCCTTTTTTCCCCCGTAAGCACATCCATCAGCACATCTGCAACAGAAGCAAAGCAGCATTAACTCTACCTCCAATTTCCCCTCGATTTCTCAAATTTAATTACAATTTCCGATCCTAGGACCTCCCGAATTGTTCGAGTGCTCGGCGTGGCCATTCTTACTCGGCGAGTTAGGAACTCTGATGCTGTGTCCGTTAGAAAGCAAATTTCCCGCATCTGCCATCATGTGCGACGATCTGCAATGCTCTGGCCCCGCAACAGTCTATGTGGCAACTATCCATGGTGGCGGTTTCTCATTGATGTAAACTACTTTTCTTCTTTTCAAAAAAAAACTGACGCCAGCAGCGATGCGGAATTTCTGTTTTAACGTTCCTTGCGAGGAGTCCATTATTTAGCTTGGGGAAATCACTTGCCATGCATCTTTGTAATTTTCTTCCCTCCACCTCCATACATACAGTGACACATGACTGCATTTTTTTCGTCGTACATCGATTCAAAGTTTCGGAGCAAATTAATCTCTGCCAAATGGCTATGACATCAAAGATTTCGTAGAATTTCGGACTCCCAGCAATAACCCTTGAAGGAAACATCTCAACTCCCTACTATTTTTATTTTATTTTTTTGCGTGTTATTGATTTATTTATTTGTTTGTTTATTTGCTGTCGTCCAGGAAGATCGGTCCCTGATTGCAAACATCAAGTGCTAGCTCGAGCTGTGTTACAACCTGGATCATTGACAAAATTACAAGCATTTCCACTCTCGATCTTGTGCAAACTTGACAAACTCTGCATGCCTACGTACTGCAGCTTACAGAAAGACATTTGTACGGGCAGAACCCATTCTAGTTGACTTCTTCGTATAACGAAGACATATAAAAGCATTGCGGGGCGAAATCTCGTAAGCTCCAGCTAAGCCCTGCGGACTCTTGATGTGAACGGGTCGTTTTGTTTCTGGAAAACGGAGGATCTTCCTTCAGAAGGGCTTCGAGGAAGTGAGAAACTCCACACACCCCAATCAGTTCGCGATCATCGTACTGTGAGATCCACCGCCGATGAGGCTTTTCTTCAGCGTTGCCATGGCGCACACGACGCAGGGTGAATTTTTTTTAAGATTACTACGGCACGAGGCTTGTGTGCACCAATGGAGGCCAGATTTACGCTCCTGACAGCCTGACACAATGCAGTTCGGGGGGCATGAATCCCCGTGTTTGAGGCGAAAGATTACCACGAACTTGTTATCTTAAGCGAGGCACAAATCACGGGCTTGCTTGCAATCGAAGACAGATCAAGGTCTGGTCTCCGCCCAGGATAGAAGAAGCAGCGGGCCTCGACTCATTCACTCACTCACATGCACGCTCGCCTTCGCAACAAACAAACAGCCGTTCCATGATTTCAAAAGCCCACCGGCTGATTCCATCGCGGCTTTGCAAAACATTAGGGTTTCACGCTTCCACTGGGCTCTGCAACCACACTGTCTCGGTTTTCGGGACCCACAGTTATATGCACCCGCGGTTATAGATGGTAGGGGTCGAAAGCGGGGCCATCACAGCTCCATGTCATCACTTCTAGAGCATCCAAAGCGTCGTGGTAACTTTTTTTTCTTTAGGCCCCCAAAATGGAATATTGGGATATTCCCCATGCAATGAGATGTTAGGATGGATGAATTTTAGTGGGTATTGTTCATCCATTTTAGGGTTTAAGTGTACCAAAACCCCCTCTCTATTGCCCTAATTGCCATGAACTTTTATCACCTTTCGTTTTGTGCCACTTGCACTGTTGTTTCCTTATGAGGTGATGAGCTTGTTTCACCCTCGTACTCTTCGAGGTTTGTAAAATGAGGGCATTGTGAATATGGTTTTGGATTTGAGATTGTGGGGTTTTTGCTTACTAGCAAACCATAAGTTACAAAGCATTCATCCGAGATGCTATAGGTTTCATTCATTTTCTTGTGAATATTGAAATTGGGTAATTCCTTGCTTGTAGCTATTTTTTCTTTTTTCAATTTTATTTTTATTGAGAATGTTGTTGGTTTTTTCATTTATTTACTTTTGGACATTCTTTTAGAGCAAACAATCCCTGGGTATGAAGGATTCACATATTTATTGTTCTGTGGGTTTGCTTCATATACACACGTCAGCACAAATGCCATTAATGAATGCAAACTGATAAAGAAGATGGGTACATAACTATTGCACCAACTACAACTTATTACTATTTAGATAGGTTTAATGTAATCAGACCAAGCACATTACAATTACGCCTGCACTATATATTAAAAGCATTTATTTGACAAAACAACATAATATCAATTTCGCTACTAGTTTTTTAACAACTATGATATAATATTTTTTTAATCTAAAATCTACAGTGTAAAATCAACTAAACTTACAAAACAAATAAATCAACAAAGAACCTAGTTTTTGAAATGAATTTGTTATAGAATGCATTTGTCACCTATGTATTAATAAATATTATATGAATAAACCACAAAAGAGGGATGGTTTGCTCCAAGAGAATGTAAAAACCAAACAAACAAAAGTAATAATAATAATTTACAACCCTCAAATGGGCAATGAAAATTTCTTATTTAACACAACTATCTAAGTCAAGTTGGAAATTAGTGGAAAACACAAGCCTATCAAGAAGTGAATCCCTTTTCAAAAATCTCACATGGATAGATTTTCTTATGTATAAGAATATTACACTCTTATAAAATTGGTTGTTTTAAAGATGGTTAGTGGAAAAAAAATGTAAAGTTTTTTCACAAATGATAGAAAATTAAAACTAAAATAAAAACAGAAATCTACTCTTGACACAAACATTGTAAAGGTACAAATATTTTGGATACTCATTTTCATTTTGTTTTTAATGTTTTTATTATTGTGATATTTTGTATTTATTTTGATTTGTTTGTTTTGGTGTCTTGTAAAAGCATCTGAGATTTTATTCAATTTTTCAAATATGGGAAACTAAAAACAAAATTTAAAAAATAATACAACAATGTGGGTATACAGATGTATGTATATATGTATATATATATATGTAAGAAAATGTCTATTAGTTGGTACCCACAAGGGCATGTTTGAGGCCTTATATTATATCTTAGAAGGTTTCTATACTTTACAAGAGAAGGTGAGAAGACACAATTTTTAAATACTTTGATCGTTTGAAATTAAGCAGCCTTATTTATTCTATTGTTATACTTAGAAAAATTAACAAAAAACCCTAAGAAAAAAAATGAGGTGAAATGCACTCTTTTTCTACATAGCATGAAAAATGTTGTTATTCGGAATTTTTGTCAAATATATCTTAAGAGACTCTTCATAAAAAATAAAACTATAGAAGCTATGTCAATACATGCTAAAATAAAACTATAATGTATATATATATATATATATATATATATATAAATAAATTTAAAAATTAAGATTTAAGTTTACACACTTGAAATTGTAATAAAATAACATTCAATCCATTTCATGATCTCTTTGATTAGCTCAATATTTGCACCAATTTCACTTTTTACTAACTCTAAATACTCTTTTATATTGAAGATGATGCTCTTGCATTTTTCTATTTTGTTAATATATCTTGATTAATAAGTTTCAATAGGCATTGGAACATATGCTTATATACATACTTCACAATATTAAACCTATATCATTTACTCATTTCAATTCATTCATCCATGTTACAAAATGGTGAAAATTTGGATAACTAAATAAACACACAATGTTCTCTTTATTAATTTATATTGGTTGTAACAAGAAAAAAATATTAATTACCAAATGGTATTAATCATCAGAGAAGGAATATTAAAGACATGATATAAATCATCTTGACTAAGGCCTTAAATCATCTCCACTAACTTCCTTGCTTTATCCAATTATAAAACCCCATAGCCTCAGTTATTTACCTCTACTGATTAATAAAAGTCATTAAAAATCAATTTATATATAGAAGAAATCAAAGATTATTAATTATGCAGCGTAGAATGGAACTAATCCCTAAAAGTTTGATGAATTACAGGGGATTATTAATTTTAGAAGGATTAATTAAGAGTGGAACACTACATATATATATATATATATATATATATCAATTTTTTTTCCTTTGCAAAGCTCTGGATATGGATGGAATGGGAGTTGAGATCCGTTAGGAGATCTGTTCTCAATTACAAAATATATGAAAACTCCATTTTGACCACCAAAGAGGCTCTTGAAATATATATATATATTTATAAATTAAATTCTCGGAATCGGTACCAACTTTGATTGTGAGAAAGCTGCATCGATGGATGAATTCAGAAACCGACAAAAAACCCGGCTTTGATGAATGCAGCTTTCATGGATTGCATTCTTGCAGGGCCCAACAGAAAGGTTCTGACAGAAAAGAAAAAAGCTTCACCACAAGCACATGAAACCCAAGTGTTCCCTCTGTCGATCAAAACATTTTGCCCTTGCCATCTCCACCTTGTAAGACTGTTTCAGCAATTTTAAAGCGTTCCCACTTGCTGGTCAATGGCTGCAATTGCTGCACCTTATCGTACATGCCGAGCAAGCCACCTGTGTGAACAAACAGCACCTTCTTCCCCTCCCACTCGGAAGGATTCTCTGCCATATCCTTCAACATTCCAATCAGCGCCTTCCCACTGTATACACCATGAAAACCCAGTGTCCCAAAATCAACCAGCCTGTTTCATTCTCGCTGCAGCAAATAAAAAACAATTTTTGCAGCAAACTGAAAGTACTTCCATCAATTTAATACAGCCAGAGCACCGATAGCTTTAAAAAAGAGAAGTTATACACAGTAAGATTGAAGCAACTTCTGAATAACCAAGAAGACAGAGGGCTAACAGCTCATAAGCATCGTGGATATGCTTGATAAGCTGTAGAGGTTATCAATTTGAAAAGAAAAGACAGCCAGATAAATGCCTCTAGAAATTCTACAGACCAGCATAAGAGAGCTGGATGGGCATTTGAACAAAAGAAGAACACGCAGACTCAATGAAAAGGGTGATTAGTAGAATTAGTTAGTGAAAAATTCGAGCGACTATTGTCACCTGTATACAGGGTCCAGGATGACTCCGGTCAACTCTGCAACTTCTTTCACAAGCTTCAGCTCCTCTGTTGTGCTCATTGCATACCCCAATCCTTTAGCCTATTTAATCACAGATGCTCCCATTCAGCAGAAGTGACACAAATACCAGGGTGCGATAAATCTCAGTAGTATTTAGACACAGGATGATAATCGGGACATGAATGTTACTGTAATGATCAATGGACAAGCCTTTGCAATGAGGCCCTACAAGATAACATTGCTGCACAACCACACATGTGAGCTTTTGAACAAATCACGACTTGAAAGCTTAACAAGCAGGTTTGATGCAAAACACATAATAAGGAAAGCTGGCGTACATTGACTACTTTGACAATGTCTTCAGACTTAACGCCAGCATCCAGCCCATCAATAAGCCCCTGCACATACTCGTAGAAGTACTCTGGGGTATCGCAAACTGCATAAGCGTGAATCTGAAAAGAGGCAATTTTTCCGTCAGAAATTAGAGGTAAATTTGAATTTCGACCCAGAAAACTATCGTAACTGGAATGAAGTCCTAAATATCTTCATTGCTTATGCTACAAACATGTGATGCTATCTATACCTCGGTCCATTATAAGCTTCATTACAGCCCGACACCTGAATAGTCTGTTTTTCATAACAACACAAGATGTAATACCACCTGAATAAAGCCAAATAAAAACCACTCAATTACTTCAAGTAAAATCGCGAATCCAATTGGTCACACAAGAGAAGGAGAATATTCAACAAGGCAAAACACACCTTTGTTTGAAGGTTGCTCAAATGAGCAGCCAATGCAAGCCCTGCTGTCGTACCGCCACTGCAAGCAACTCATGTTTTCAGAGGTCGAAAATAACGACCTTAAAATCCATTTCAATAAAAATATCACCATTATAAAAATAAAAAAAAAGGTACAGAAAAAAGAAACCGAACCAAAACCTATTACTTCCTGTGACCATTGTGACTCCAGCAGCACCCACCTTCCACATGCCATGACAATATCGTCAAAATGCTTGATACCTGAGACCTTACCGCCCTCCAGTTGACCTTGAAGTTCTTTCACGAACTCTATGTACCCCCTGTCACCAACATAAGTCACATGTATAGCAATGTAAACCATGTAACCGTGCCAATTAGAAGTACTCCAGAGCAACGCCCCCCAAATCCTAATCTGAATTATAGAGTTCATTTACGCCACTAAGTACAAGTTATAAAATGATATGTGGAGGGCATACCAAGTACCAAGAGAATTAGATCCACCCACAGGAATCACATACGGTTTCCTGCCTTCAGCTTTCAATTTCTCTGTGAGAAGCTTTCCAAGGCCCTGAAACACAAATTACGAATTTAAAATCATTATAATAGAGCTTGCTGCAAACGATCACAAGAAGGTACCAAATGACAAGCTTGAGAGGCCATATATGTATCACAAAGTGATGGATCACTTGGCCTAGAATCATTAAATCTAGAAATAAGATCTGATTTGGGACTTGTGAAGAAAGAAGGAAAGTGCAATCACCACACTACCAAGCTGAACATATTCTTCCTTCGACACCAATGACACATGAGCCCCAACCATCCGCTCAACCAGCAAATTTCCTTCCAATCCTGGATCCTGTTCTACAACCGTCTGCAATACGACATAGAGATTTTAGGACAAAACCTTCAGACTCGGACGCATGGAATATCGGGCACGAGAAAGATGGTTCACAATGACTTAGCAGAAGATTATGTCAAGAGAATAGAGCATATCAAACATCCCAATAAAATCAACAATTTCAAGGCAATAATACAACTAGTTCCATGTAAAGCTGCCATTCGCACATTTGCTGCGGTCAAGGTGGGCAGCAGATGTAACTATGCCGTCATTTATGAAGATGACAGATCGACGAGCTTACTCGACTGGTACGCAGTATGAGGTAGCAATCGAGATTAAAATATTTGGCTGCCACGGCTGTGGCGCGACAATGGTTGCTTTGAATGCCTCCAATCGTAATCACACAGTCGGCACCCTGAGCTTTAGCATCTGCTATGAGAAACTCAAGCTTCCGAACCTTGTTGCCGCTCAACTGCATCCCTGTCAAATCATCTCTCTGCAAAGTGCTTCAGCTCAACCTGAACTAGAAACGTCCGATACATCAACTGAACGGACATATGCAATATCCATATCCATCAAACTATGCCAATGCAAAATCCAATGGCTTGTCGTAAATATGAACTCCCATTCTAATCAAACATCCGAAGAGAACTAGAACGCTCATGTAGATCAACATAGAGATAGTTTTGTTGTGTTTCTCCAATTACCTTGATCCAAACCTCAGTATCCTTGGGCAAGCCTGGAAGATTCCACCGATGAATTGGTGTTGGGAACTGGTGAAACGAAAGGAGCTGCATTAGCTGGGATTCTTTCATCTTCTAAAACCCTTAATAAGCCCGCCTTGCGTCCAACAACATTCTTTGAAATCAAGAAATTCTTGTCATCTCCGCCAATAAATGAGGTTTCATGCAGAAGAAGTAGAAGAAGAAGAATTAGAAGTAAAGCTTGTGAGAAACACGAATGTTGCGCAAGGGGACACTTCTCACCTGGCCCAAAGTACAAAACTGCGACGGCAAGGGGTGCAATTTAGAAGCCCACGATGGCGGAGAGTATGACGCTGTGGTCAGCATTTCGGGCCTGCCCACTGATTCTCCTCCCCGAACCTCCTGCTCCGAACTCCCAGCCATGGATCGTGTCACAGACAACCCAAACCCCCTTCGCCGCGCCCTCCTCACTCTTTGCCCTCGCCGCAATTCCCCACCCCCCTCGCCAGAAAACTGATGAATGCTCGCGATTCTCGACTCTCCAACAGCGCGAGAATTGCAGGATTTGTTCTGAAGAAGGCTCGCAAGAAGGACAGAGGGGCGGTTGGGGCAATGACCGATGATTGACGCCATAGCCATAGCCTACACATCAAAGCTTATCAAACAAGGCCGGGTCATGCGACATGTCCTTCGAAAAAGATGCCAGCCCTGGTCTTCCCCGACGAGCTCTGTCTCGGCCGTCGTGCATGCTTTATGGATGACGTGGCTCTTTCTATTTGTATAAAGGGGCACATTAACATTCTCATGCTCCGCCCCTCTTCTTTCTTACCGCAACTCTGTGCACATCTGTGTTCTCCCGCCTCCCACTGCGCCTGTGATTATCACTCCGCCGCCATGCCAAATTCTTTGCAGCCCCATGAGGCTGCAGCTGCTGCGAGTGTAGCCGCTGCCGAAGCGGAAGAGGCCGCCCCTGGCCCGCCTAAATCCGACATTTATGCTGGTATTTCCACCATTCCTATCAGTGCCGCGCTAATTGGCTCTGGGGTTGACGCCAGCGACCTCAACCTGAACGTGGATATTTCGAAGCATTCAAAGAAGCGCAACAAGCAGGTATTGTATGATTGGAGCTAATTCAATTGAGATGGCTTTGTGTGATTGTGGATGTTATTGAATGTTTTGAAATGGCTGATTGTGGCACTTTGGACGCAACCGAATATCAACTCTCCTCACAGCCTTTCTTTTGTTGCTGTCATTCGAGCATGTGCCGTAATTTAGGGGATATTCAGATCCTCGGTTTACATGATTTCGACCCTATGGACGAAACCTCAGGCATTCATGGGTCACCTTAGTACATTTAGATGGCGAAGCATTTGCTCTTACGATAAAATTTTGGAATCTCACAAGTTTCATGTTGAATTACGTTCTTTACCGTAGTTATTCACCTAATCTTGAAGAATGTAAGGTTCCAGAAGTTCTGTTTTTTTGTGCCAGGTTCACCTATTTTATTGCGAAGAAACAGAAGAACTTGCACGGCGAGTAGCTGCAGAGACTGAATCTATTACGCTCAACTCAATTAAATGGGGGTTTGTGTCCATTTCATTTCACTTGGGCAGGTTTCAGGGTTGAAGGGTTTAAGGCTGTTATGGTTTGCGTTTAGAGCTGGGCACGACAATCAATCTGGATCAGAGTGCGTTGTCTAATAACATCCTTGTCCCGTCGCGATAATCAATGTCGTGTAAGGAATTGATGAGTAAGTGATTAGGTGGTTCCTTCCTTGTTTTGCGAACTGGTAATATGAATCTGTGGGTATTTGGAAGGGGAGTCTTTGGGTCCTAAATTTCTCGATCGGGTGCACTTCTAGCTTATGCCCTGAAACGCATCCACAAAATCATGCGTGTGTTTCATTCGAGGTTCATTCAAACGAAGTCATTTGATGCTCCTTGATACTTAATAGAAATGTCTGTCGTGATAAAACAGAGCATTTGCTGATGGTTTCCCGAACCTTTTCGTGCCGGATGCACATGGGATTCGTGGTCAACATGTGGCGTTCCTGGCATCATTTAGCTCCCCAGCAGTTATTTTTGAGCAGCTCTCAATAATCTATGCTTTACCTCGCATGTTCGTTGCATCTTTCACTCTGGTGTTGCCATTTTTTCCCACTGGGACGTTGGAGCGCATGGAAGACGAGGGGGATATTGCAACTGCATTTACGCTAGCAAGGATTCTTTCCAACATTCCAATTTCAAGGGGTGGGCCAACAAGTCTTGTCATCTTCGATATCCACGCGCTTCAAGTAAGTTGTGCCAGCTTTTTGGATGCTGCGTTCAAGAGTTTCTTATCATTAAATGTGCATGAAATCGTCTCTGCACACGTGAATTCTGTCTTTTTTTCATAGATTTGCTAGAATATCATCGTCCTTTTGTTTCTTTAGGATAACCTCTTTTTTAACTAAGTTTCAATTTGTCCTCGTTACCCAAGTATACATGGGCGCATCTGATATTCAGTCCGAGTAATGATTTTCAGGAAAGGTTTTACTTCGGTGACAATGTGCTACCATGCTTTGAGAGTGGTATACCATTACTTATACATCGCCTCCAACAGCTTCCCGACTCCAACAATGTGAGTGGTTTTCTCTGTTTGTAGTGTCAATTGCTTAAAATGTGTATTGTTTATCTGTACTTGCGAAGGTGAACATTCTCAAGATTAGTCTTTGTTTTGGAATTTTGTTTTGATTAGTTCAAAGTTTTTGACGTCCCTGTGGAAGCCGGATCTGATTGTACCTTGTCGCTGGTGTCAGGTGACCATCGCATTTCCCGATGAAGGTGCTTCGAAACGATTTTATAAGTCAATGGAGCACTTCCCTATGGTATTAATACTTTCGTACGAAAGTTCTTTGTTTATACATGCTCATGTTTAGAAGCTTTAACTAGATTTTAGTGCAATCAGGCTATAGTCATATATACTATATCGAGTTCGAAGCTTTAATTTGACAAGAAGTGCTTGGATTTGGCCAGATCACATGCACGAAGGTTAGAGATGGCAACAAGAGAATTGTGCAGCTGAAAGAGGGAGACCCAAGGGGGCGTCATGTTGTAATTGTAGATGATTTGGTGCAATCTGGAGGCACCTTGATTGAGTGTCAGGTAAGTTTAGTACATTCCATTATCTTTTCCTGTCATAGTATAGGATTTTGTCTTTTATTTTTCATTTTAAATATTATTACTTATTTACTTTTTGCTACTTTAGCGAAAGTTCTCGACTGTGCATTTGATAGATTTTGCATACATGGTGACTTCACAGTATTTTAACGCGGACCGTGTTTTGATTTCTTCATTTGGGGATTGGTTGCACTCTGCAGATGCTTCTAGCATCCAAGGGAGCAGCCAAAGTGAGTGCTTACGTTACTCACGGGGTTTTTCCAAAGAGATCATGGGAGCGGTTTAAACACGATAATGGAGGTACATGATCTTCACAAGCTCTACGTCTGGTCAACTGTGCATGCTAATGATATTAGACCTCACTCATGCTGTTGCATGTGTAATTTAGCTCTGAACATTTTGTGTAATCTGGGTTGCTGGATTCAATTTTTTGGTTACTTTTATTATTGATTGCTTTTGGTTTGGGATGTGTTGCAGAAGGTGCTTCTCAGGGATTTTCCCACTTCTGGTTGACTGACTCGTGTGCGAAAACGGTCAAAGCGGTTATAGGAAAGGCACCTTTTGAGATTCTGAGCCTTGCAGGTTCGATAGCTGTTGCGCTTCATATCTAGAATAGACACTCCCTGGTGGAGGTACTTAGTATTCCCACCATGTCGGTGGTTGCTGAAACCTTTAGTATTTCTAGCATACTGCATAACTTAAGCTTCCAGAACCCGCCTTTCTGTCCAACTCTAGAGGCTTATACTTCTCTTCCTCGCCTGCACTACTTGCAATGTTTCATATTTTTGCAGAATACAAAGTCTTAAGTCGCATTCATCCTCCCGGAATGGTGTTTCAAAACTACGAATTTTTATCTTTAGTATGCAGCAATTAAAAACCTTGACTGTCACATGTTATCGGCAGCTTTCATCCTCATTTTGTGGAGGACTTCCATCTGGGTCATGTGGATCAGCGGAAAACTGATGATTCTGAGTTAAGTTAGACAACACTGATGAAAGAAAGCTCAAAGAGTTTACCATTTAGGACAGGATTCTACACTGAAATGCCTGTTTACAGACGAGCTGGGTCGAATTCTAGACTGGTTGTATTAGCCTCTCATTCCCTATTAACAGCAATTCTCTTAAAAGGGAACAGCAAATCAGCAAGATGTAAAATTTTAATTACATGAAAATTTGATAAAGAAATATAAGTCATCATTTTTTCTCTCAGGAAAAACAAAACTTGTTCTGTTCTATTTTCGATGGAGTAATTTTGCATAATGTCATATGTAGATTTATCGTTTTTTGAATGAACTACATCTATTCTTTTCATAACTTCTTCAGAAAATGAAAATGAAGTTCTTGTATTTTTTTAGTTAGAATAATGATTTGAAATGCTCTTTATACATTACAAGTAAATTTATTTGTCAGTGTCATAATGATACATTTATTGTAATTGTAACACATCAAATGAGTCCCAGCTACTAATATTCAAATCACAATGCACATTGGTCAATTTCATTTTTTCCCAAAAATTATTATTCTTGTGAACTAATTTTATTTGGCTTTTTGGAATTAATACTATCTACTTTATAATTCTATCAGAAAAATGTGAAGGACATTAGCCAGATTATTAAAGCAAATAAACAAAGAATCTTTTATTAAAAATTACATTATTTATTAGCAAGCAACTAGAGAAAAACAATAGTTATTAGTAGGTAATAGATACAATTTTTCTTTAAAAAGGAAGACAACATGTCTTTTAAATTATTGGTAGAGCGTATCTTGCTTTAAAACTTTAAAGCTTATTGGTAGAAAGACTTTGTTGTTTAGAGGTTAATCTTAAAATGCTCAACAAGCACAGGGACTCAATAAACACACGCATAAGCTGTAAGCAACACTAGTGCAAACTGTAGGAAACTGGAACAATATAGGAGTAGATCAGAACACGACAACAGAAACGGGCGAGAGACAAACGTGCACGAAATGCAGTTTCAAATAAACATTAACACCAGCGGCAGAAATAACATTGCAAGTCTAAACTGTTATGTAGTTAGTTCAATCAAACAGCATATGCCATAAAACTAGACTTAGAATAAACGGATGATGCTCTGGAGAGTCATTGAGCTAGTAATTTCGCAGTTACAGTAGATGTGTGTACAATTTATCATCAGGGCAAAAAATACATAAAGTGGGATTGACATCCGCGTCACTGACTTCCCTGTGTGGTTAGCGAACAACCCTACCCTCTTCACACGGCTACATAGATGGTAAAGAGACGTACAGAAGCTCAACACGAGTACTACAATCGCTTGATTGTCATTAGAAAGTTCCCCTGTATCACTGGTTGCCGTAAGGAAGTCATACACTGCACTGGAAAGAATTTGGTCTTTACCTAAAATACCTGACGAGGATTCAAAATACATAGCTTCTCAGCGGCCTACAAGGCCTGCTTTGCCGTCTTTCCGAACAGCCAAAGCCAGATTCAGATCCCATAACTCACACCTGATGGGCATTTCCACTTCGTAAAATGGGTTCTTCAAAACATAATCTGTATAAATCTCGTAGATAGTTTTCAGCAAACTATCTATGCCTGGAGTTCCTGGCTCAGTAGCCACGAAGATCTTTGTGCCTGCACCATTAGTGGTAAGAATAAGTAAATGCCTCACCTGCTCATAATACTAGACAACGTTGCCCAGAATGCTAAAAAAGTGGAATCTCCAAGGGAAGGGTTCTGTCATGATTCGACTGGAATGGGTTGCTTTGATGCACATTTCGATCTTAACTTCAGAACTTACGAATGTCGAATTGTAATTAACTAATAACCTCCATAAACATTGTTTCGGTACTGCTGAAATGAGTCGAAATGTTGACGATCATGTTCATACCTGCAACGTCTGGGAAATATTGTTTTAGAGCCTTTTATCATACCTGTGAGGGCCTGGAAGCAATGGAGATCAAAAGTGTCGGCCTCTAAAACTTCGATTCCATTGCAGCCGTTCACCGGAGACAACTCCTTCGAAATCGCGTGCATGGAGTGCCAAAGACTCGCAAGTCTCAAGCTGTCATTTGTGTCAAGTCGGCCTTGCGTTCCATAATCCTGCGTCAGTTCAAAATCCAGAATTCATCGTTACACTTCAAGCACTCATGCACATGAAAATTGATGCATTTTCAGTCCATCACAATTATCGTTCTAGTCAACTTTTCCTGAAATGAACAAAAAGCATCATAATTATTAAAAAAATAAAAATAATATCGTTGTACGACCGAAGACGAGACACCATTTACTCAAATCACTGCCCCTTGTCAGATGAGTTTTAAATTCAGGGTTTAATTGATGCCATGCTGCAGCACTTGAATCTGCGATACAAGAGACTAAGAGCAGAAACCCACAACCCAAATCATCACAGAGAGTCTCGCAAGGTGACGCGCTCCATTAACACATCGTCAAACTGACTGGATCGGAAGTGGTCCAGCCAAACTGATGTGATATGTGGCGTAAAATTAATGTAACTAGCCCACGCCAACTCCTTGCACCGCAATTAAAACCCTAGAAAATTACGAAAAATTAAGAGTGCATGGTTTAGGTTCAACATCCTACTCCTCCCACTGCCTGAATCCCTCAGGACTGTCCATAACGATTCAGGGTCGAATCGGAGACACCACTGACAATATGATATCGTGCAACCCCTACCAGCAACCCTGATCCTACCTCCCACAAAAAGAACAGTGTCCGATCCCAGCGTTAAACACACAAAATAAAAAATACAAAAAAAACAAAAAACAGAACTGATCTCTACACGGCCAGCTGCTACATCGCACCCCTAACCCACCACCACAAAAACAACAACAACAACAACAACCCATCTCACAAAACTACACTAACAACACGGCAACAGTGCAACTGAGGGGAAAGGACGAAAACCTTGTAGAAGATGAGTCCGCCAGACTTGTTGATGACAAAGAGGTTAAAGATGATAGCTGCCATGGCTAACAAATGCCCTCCGAAACAATCACCAACAAGCCCAAATAATCTCTGCTACAAACACTGAACACACACACAGGCAGCTCCTCAAACCGACAAAATAAAAAAAGCAACACAGAATGGAATTACGTTGCTATAGTTTCAAGGATCGCAAGATTAGTTAGCGAATCGGAAGCCACCGGAACTAAGTAGGTAAGTCCACAGGAAGAGAAATTGGGCATCAACGCTGTTTTCTTCGCATTTTGGTTTTTGGGTTATTCTTTTACTGAATGGCAGTCAGATTTGTTGCATTATGAAGTGTGTGTGTTTTTGTGCACAAGATGAGCTTTCGACGACAGTTTTTTTGTGCATATCTTTACATGATGGACAGTTTCATTAGTGATTTGGGGATGGGGTGAATGAGATCACATGTGCACCGTAATTACTTAGAGTGCTAACTTAGAGTGCCTTGACGGGTGGGAGCATCTCCACTGGGCCACCTCAGATCAACACTAGCACTGTAAAATCTGGCCATCCATTGCTCACCACTAGCATCTGCATGCTTTGATTTGTCTTGATCATATTATATTTAGAGGCAATTTATGGTTGGGGGACAAGGTGAGAGCTCACTATTTTTAAATGTTTTGATTAATTGAAATAAAAAAAGCCTTCTTGAATTGGTTTTTTGACTTAGAAAAATGAATTCAAAGGTCTTAAATGGAAAAGGTGAAGTAGAAAGCATTTATTTTTTTATTTTTTTCCTACATAGTATGAATAGTATTGTCTTACATAATATTTGTTGAGTTTTTAGAAATTGGATGAAACCTTATATCTAGTCATCTTGTATTCATCTATGAGTGATTGAGATGTAATCAATATTAGCCAATCGACTTAAACAAGGTTTTAGGATTAAGCTTCAACTATATAAATACAAACAATTAGATAAGCAAACTTTCTTCAATCACTTGTACTCTCCAAGATCCAACATGGTATTAGAATACTTATTAAGGTCTTCAAACCAACTCCATGTCAATATAATGCCCTAGCTACAAAAGTTGTGTGTAGTTTTTTTTGAACATAGATAGCAAGAAAACATGGTAGATACACACTAGGAAGTTGTGAATGGTAGTGCCTCCAAAGGTCCTCTCAATATCCATAATATGACAATAAGTAGACAAGTACTCAACACAATTGTGTACAATGGTAGAACCATAGATATATCTATTCTTCATTAAAGCCAACTAGAAGGACTTAAGAATTATAGAATCTAGTCCCTCTACATAAAGCACATACTATAACTTCAAAGACTTTGGATCTATTGCAGCACTTTGGTCATTTAAGTAGACATCATATAAATTAAAGTTGAAGGTAGAAAACTAATCTTATTAGCAATAGAGAAATTTGTCAAAGACATTCTAGTTATTGTTGTATGTAGATTCTATAATTTCTATGAATCTTGGAAGCATTTGCTAAATCGTTATGAGCCATAGTTTTTAAACAAAAGACTCTTATTTCTCAAGATGCTAGTTTATTCAAAACTTGAGGATGGAGCTACTATAGAATAGGATCTAAAAGAAGTCAAGGACACACTTGATCAGTTGATAGACATGAACATTATTATTCCAAAAGTTCTAATCATTTTTATGCTTTTATAAACATTGCCTTGAGAATATTACTATTTCAATTATGTTCTAGTGAAAACAAATTCCAAGTCAACTTTGTGGATCAAAAGTAACCTAATATAATATTCATTTCAAGCAGTTCAAAAACTAAAGCTAAAAGCCTCATCATGAGATATCTTGTTAAATCCACCAAAGTCAACTCACTCAAATAGACACTTGATTTTTTCTACGAAGTCTTGTTGGAAATTTTTTATAATGCCTCGTATCAAAACATTGTCAAAATATTAGATGTTGAATGGATACTTGATTTGGATACCACATCATATATTACTAATAACCTTCACATTATTACAAATCTCATTCTAATCTTTGTTGCATCCTTAATTGATGCTAGCGGAGAGCCACACCATATAATTAACAAAGATTTAATTTTTATAAATTATTTTGTTGATTAGATTAAATATGTAGAAAATGTCCTATTCATTCTTAGTATTAAACACAATCCTCTCTTAGTTGGGCATATTTTAGAAAAATGGTTGGACATATATTAGACAAAATTGACTTCTTCATATATATGAATTCCATAGCTAAATCTTCCTTTAATGGAAACCTATACTACATTGTATATCAAGGAAAAATGACAATTCTTGTATTCTATGTCAATAGCCTTCATATTATACACAATTCTCATGAAAAAATCACTTGGCTTTAAAACCAACTTCACAACAAATTTTACATGACTAATTTTAGACTTTTTCAAAAATATCTTCGCATTGAATTTGAAACATACACAAAGTATCGTCTTTATATTTGGAATAAGTAATGCCAATCCATAGAAGATGCTCCTATCTATAGGTCTTTAATTTTGCAAAGACACAAGCACTTCTCCAATCAATCACAATCACTATATACATATTATAGATAAAATGGTTTCTCTAACAATTACATACCTTGACCTTAGGTACAATGTTAACTTACTCTTCTAGTTTATGCAAATCTTATAACTAATACATATGAATGTAAATAAATACATCTTACAATATTTTTAAGAGACAACCTTATTTCGCCTATTTTATCCTTCTTCAAACACATTTGAACTCATTAGCTATGGTGACGCTAAATGAAGAGGGAATTTTAACCAATGAAAATCCATGGAAACATTTGTCTTTACAATTGGTGCCACATCTATCACTCGGTGTACCAATAAACAAACATATATAGCATTAAGCCCTACAAAATCAAAATATTAAGTATTACTTGATGCATCCAAATAAACTATATAAATTCAAAAAAATTATCTAGAACTAAGATTCATAGAAAATAAAGTCATATATCTGCATTATGACAATAAAAATACAATCAAAATATCCAAAAATCCCATATACCATTCCAAGACAAAGAATTTCAAGATCTACTTGAATTATGTCCAAGATATGATAGAATGGAAGAAAATTGAAATTTTACATATACCAACAGATTAACAATATGCTAATATACTTACAAAAGAATTATGCATTATTAAATTTAAAAATTGCTGCAAGCTACTAAACTTTACAAACACTCTGATATCAAGACAAACTTAAAATTATAATATATATTTACTATCACAAGATCATATCAATTCTATAGAAATAATTTAGCTTCTATATGCTTCAAAAAACTCTTATAAGCAACATTCTTAAAATCAATTATCATGTACTGACAATCAATCTAAGAAGTATAAATGCTTAGGCACTTTTCTTAATGAACAACATAAAATTTCTTAAAAAATACAACAAGCACATTTAGCTTTCAAAGATCCATTTCTTCAACAATTATGGCAAGGATACCACTACTTTGGTTTGAAAAAGCAAAGGAGCAATTGAATGGTCAAAGAAGGGGCTTTATGCACTTACAATGACAACAAAATTCCAAACTTACAAAGTAAAGACTAGAAGAAGCAATGACTATCAAGAGTTTGTCAAAATCCTTGAAATTAGTTTAATCACTTGTAGCAAAAAAAATGAGCAATTTAAAAATGATACAAGACCTAATTGTAGTATGTCCAAAACAAAATTACTACAACTAAAATACTTGTGAAGAATACATCTCATTGTTGCCAAATTAAACCAAATTATAAGTTGATAGAAACAAATAATAATTTAGAAGAAACTAACTATAATAAAACAAAAATCACAAAAGAAAAGAATTATAGTATTCAATTGTTCTACATAATTCCATATATTTGACATTCTTAGGAATATAAGAATGAATCAATATGCATGTGTTATCACCAAATTATAGGATTTAAAAATTTAAAAAATAGAACATATCAATTACTTTAGATTTAAAAAGTGTGTAACAATTATATAAAATTATATATCTAGTCATCTTGTATTCATCTATAAGTGATTAAGATGTAATTAATATTAACCAATAGGCTTAAATCAATTTTAAGATTAAATTTGAACTATATAAATACTAATAGGTAGATGAATAAACTCTCTTATACATTCTAAGATTGAACAAAGTTTTAAAAAAGAGATGATTTTTAAAAATATTTAAGAAGATATATTTATAAATGTTTAAAAAAACCATTCAAAATAAACAAATAAGTTTTGTATATTACTTATAACTATTAAAATAAACACATAAGTTGACATAATTAGACTTGTAATAAAAAAGTGACTTGGTCCATTTTATAGCCTCTTCTCACTTTATACTATATCTAAAGTCCAAAGTCACCAAAAGAAGGTTCTTTTTCATTAAGTAATGGGACTTTAATAAAGCTTTCGAACTAAGGTCTTTCAAAGTGGACTTCTATGTATAAAGTGTCTCTTAATGTGTGTCACAACTTGCTATTCCCTCTATTATTTATATATATATATATATATATATATATATATATTTTTACATCAAATGATTTAATGAATATGTATATCTTGTTCTATTGTATTATGAATAATGAATTTCCTATAGCTTTGTAAGTATATTAATATAATTCAATGAATAAACCATTTAAAAAGTATGTGTTGTTTTGATAAAGTTCCACTACTAGAGATATAATAAAATATAAATATAAACAATAATACACTTATAAAATAAAAGACAAAGATTATTCTAATAAGTAATTAGTAATAAATAAAACTATAAGAAAGATATTATATTAAAACAAAAAGGTGGATTATAATAGAAAAATAATAGAATATCATAACCATATGTAATTTCTACATTGTTTTAACATTCTTTTATAAATGAATTTGATATTCTAGTCATTTGCATTAATAATAAATTTTATTAATTCTACCAAAATTATATTATAATATTAGTTTAATATAGTATACCTATAATATTACTAATAATGTGGTGATAAAAAATAAACAAAAAATCACATCTTGATAATAATATAAAAAAGTAGACAATAGATAAAAAAAATCTAAAAAATAAATAATAAATAATTTTTTTTGTATCAATGAAATTGTTCAAACAATTGATCCAATTGTTTATGACAATGAGCTTCACATGAGATTTTTGATATTAATACATTGCAAATCCACATATTCACAACAAATAATCACTTCAAATCAAGTATGCATATGTATGTTTAAGTATTTGCATTAGTTTTTTTCATTCAATTAAATAATGGTGATATTTATAAGTCATATGTGTGCAGATTGTATTTGCATATTTTAATTATTGTAAAGCAATATTCTCTCTACATATTTTTATTTTTATTTTTTATATCACAAATTCAAAGTAGATGCTCATATACAATATTAATTGTTATTATTTTATCATTTAATATTACTATTTTGAGTAATTATTAATAGATCTAATTAATAATTTTCATCTATATTTTCTTCTTGCATTTAAGTATTCTTTTGTTTTATTGGTATAATGATATAATTTTTTAGTTGCTACTATAATATATCTACCAAATTTAAGAAGACAATAACTTATGCTTCTCTTATATCACTTGATATTAATAACATATTACTATGTTTATTTTGCAAAAATATTATCAATGGATTAAAAAATATTAAAATTAAATTTCATAAATTATAATTCCATAAAAAAAATGCTATTGCCTTGACTAAAATTACTTAATATTTTGGAATCATAAGTAATATTGTAATGTAAATTCGAATACATTTAATATAATCAGACAATATAAATATTAATAGGATGCATAAGCATCAGATGTTTTGTATAAATATTTGGAAGAGGATAAAATATGTATAAATAATCATAATCAGAAAAACAAAAACAAAAACAAAACAAAATAATATAATAAAATAAGAAGATGTTGGATCTATTTTGAGAAATAAGTATAGGTAAGTATAAACTTTACACAAGTATTACTTTGCAGCATATTGTTATAAGAGATCTTTTGGCACATTTTTGAAAACATCCTCCTTTATCTGCTATAAGAATTTTTTTCAGTAGGACTTTGCATTCTAAGCAAGCATAGTAGGTTTAGTATGTAAAATCATGTTTTTAAAATAATCTTCTAAAGTTAAAGCTGTATAAAATGTTGTGGTCTACTTACATATTGTGGATAAAAATGCAACATGTTTTAAAATCTATAACTTTGGTGCTTATTGTAGTTCCCACACCTCTCAATGATTTGTTTCAACTTCTGATTATTTTATTTTGTCTTTTACATTATTAGAAAAAAACCAAAAAAAATTCTAAAAAATCATGTTTTTTAATAAAAATATTAGATTAATTCTTGCATCTTCCTAGTTTGAACAAATTATTACTATCAAAATTTTAAATACAAATTTAGAAAAAATTTATCCAATTTTGTGATTTAGTTGTTTGATACGTCTTTTTGAATAACACATCAGTTTGTGTATTTTAAGTGTTTCGTTTTTTTAATAATTGTAAATTATTTGAAAAATATTTATAAGAATTAATTGAATAATTAAGAATATAGAATATGATGCTTTTGTATTTTAAAAAATAAATAAAGAAATAAATACTGTCACATATTATTATATATTATATGTAGAAAAAAAACTTAGTACTTAAAAAAGTTTAGTAATATATGATAAAATTTAAATTTTAAAAAATTGAAGATGATCGTAATTGAATTTTTTGTCATGAAATTATAGTTAGCAATAAATTAAATGGATAATTTATATTTTCTATAATATTGAAATACTAATATTATTATATTATTTTTATATTCAATTATTTACTTTCTAATATTTATAAAAATATTTAAAAATTAATAATAATATAAATGTAAGTGTATATATTTAAAAATAATAGATATCTGATGAGAAAATATTTATTTTTTAAACCTTAATTCTAAAATTTATATATTTTTATACTAATCTTATACCACAGAAAAAGTAAAAACTATAAAATATCTTAATTGATTCTAAAAAAGAGAATAAAATGTTTCTTACACATTGTAGCTTTTACTTTTGGAATGACTTTGCATTATACACTCAATTGAAAAAGGTTGAATTTGTGCCCTGAAAAAAGAGAATAAAATAAAAATAGGAATACTTTTTTCACACATAAATTTTTTATTGATGTTTACTCATAAAATTTGAATACGAGAGTATTGAGAGTATTGAGTTTTCTAAACAATCCCTGCACCCTGAATTAGTGCATAAGTGAGAGCTAATTATATGGGAAACCGGGCGGGGTGAAGTCGACCGTTTCGTGTGGAATCCACCTCCGTTCATGAATTGCCCTCAATGAGAGTGGTGAAGGGAAGTCCTCAGCAGTTGGTTTATTTGTTTGTTTGTTGTTGTCCATGGCTCGTGAGGCAGTTGCAGAGGCAATTTGAGCCATGGCGATGAGGAAATCGAAATTCAAGCAGCAAGATCCCCGGCGAGCCTTGGTTGAGCGGCACGGACTCGCGGCAACTGTTGCTGTGGCCGTTCAAGCTGCTGTTTCTTACCCTCTGGATACATTGAAGTCGCTCCAACAGGTGCACCCCTAAACCCCTAAACCCTGGTTGGGATCAGCCACTATGCTTAAGCTCTCTTGAGATATAGCCGATTGTGATGAAATCCTTTAATTGTGGAAGTTGGTAAGAGCTTTGGTTTTGTTATCATTGTGAATTTCGTGGTCCATGTGATAATCTCTGGGAGCAGGTGTCTGCAAATGCAGGGAACAATGCAGGACTAAACATTGTTGTTGATCCGAAGAAAGGTATAGGCGCAGGGACATTGGCTTCCGGAATCAGGTCAACTGTTGGAGTAACAGGTCAGTGTGATGAGTTGCTCTCTTCATCGTGCTCCAGTGATATGGAACTGAGATTCAGGTGGTGCTTAACATTTTCCACCCTTTACTGCGTGCAGGGTTGTATGGAGGATTAGGGTGGCACGTTTTGGGGAGGTTGCCTGCGCTTGGCACGCGGTTCGGTGTGTACGAGCTATGTTGCGCTTTCGCCACAGGTAGCTCATACCACTACGTCGGAAATGTGTTACCTTGGCACGAAATTTCGTCGCTGCAAATCTCATTTCTTTTCATTTTTATTGATTGTCCACTTTTAAGTCGTTTTTGAATCGAGACCATATACAGTAGAATCATATGTGGAAATGCTGACGGATTTGTGACAATGCTGTTGTTTGTGAGGGTGCTGCAGATGGGCTAGCTTCGAATGAGGTGTCTATCTCTGAAGCGTTCATGGCAGGCCTTTGTGCTGGCTCTGTAGAATCTCTTGTGGCTACTCCATTCGATATCCTCCAATTGCGTGCTCAGGTGTCGGCTGTGACAGCATCTTCAGCAGGGGCAACAATGTCTGGCAGCAAATCCCCGTGGACCCAAGTAGAGCAAAGCCTTGTTGGTTTGCCTCATGCCCATCCAAAAATGATGAATGACATAAGGAGGTTTGCCTGGCTAGAAAATGGAACAGGGCGTCCTCCACTCATAAAGGATGTAGCAGGATTGAAGCGTCTGACGGATGTAGAGGGACTGAACGTGCTTTGGCGTGGCCTACGGCCTGGTTTATTTCGAGACGCTTTGTACGCGGGAGTTTTCTTTGGAAGTTGGCAGTACATGTATGAAATGATGCTGGAGTATAAAGCCTTTCACATGACGACCAAACCCAGGTAAGGTCCTCTTAGGTATTCTTTTTTCAATTTCTGACGTGAGACTGTTGTACCATTTCTGCCGATCTGCAAGGTGTTATGTTCTTTGTTGCAGTAATCTGCTGGATTTTGTTCCATAGTATCGAATTTGAAAAGTGCCTGATGAGAGAAAAAAGTGGTTGTGGGTGAAAGCTAGACAAATCATGGTTAAGAACTCACCTGTAGCCTATATCGTAGGAGAAAGTTCACAGGAATTTAAATCATTACAGGATTCATATGAAGTACTGTAGTTGTCTATTTCTGTGTTAGTTCATAGAGGAGGATTTCTTTTAAAGTAACTCATATTGTAGTTTCTTTCTGTGTTCATGGGTAATAGCTCTGTTGAGGATATCCCTCCATTGAAGCCATGGCAGTTGAGTGTCAGTGCTGGTATCGCTGCCTCTGGTGCAGCAGCTGTCTCCCATGCATTGGACACTGCGAAGACCAGGAGCCAAGCTACGGTCATTCCTAAGGTACTTTCCTGGAAGTTCATACCGAGATCAGTTGTTTTGTGCACGAAGTAATCCTCAGCTTGAGATCAGTTCTTTTAGGTCTTGTACTTGGGTCTTTGATCATGTTTTAGAGGTAAGCAATTGACGGTCATAACACTTGATTGTTTGGAATTCAGCACATCGCTATGGAAAGAAAACTTCTCAAGTGGGTGCAGCCTGGCAATTGGTTGCAAAGAACAGCAGGTTTACTTCCTTATGACCAACCTCTGCTTTGGAGGGGTTTAAAGATTCGAGTCCTTCAACACGGATTGGCTGCTGCTGCATTGGTGGCCTCGTATGAAACAGTTATGCAGTATTTTTTGCAGCACAGCAGACGATAAGGTCAAACTCAAAGCTTGTTTGGCATTGAACGGAAAACTCACGCACAGCTGTGTGTCTCGGTGCATCTTCCCTGTGAAAATATATTGTTTAGCTGTTGGGCTAGTCTTGATTGTCAAGTACGTTGAAAAAGCATGACCTCGGCGGCAAGGATCGGCGCTTTTTTCTCTGTAGTCTGGCAAACGTCTTGCTTTGAACCATTTCTGCGCTCGTCCAACCATTGGAACAAGAGCTTCAGCACTCATGATTTGGTGGACAGAATTGATGTGTCTGCATTTTAGACATGGTGTGCTCTGCATATGATTGAGGACCAAAGAAGCGATATTTGTATCTTCAACCGTAACTATGGCAAGTGTGCTTGAAAATTTTGCAAGCGAGGTGGCCATGTTTAACAGATTATATGCTTTGCACGTCGAAGACGTCGAGAGTTTTATGGTGGTACAACCTCGATAATCTTTGAAGGCTTTTTGTAGCGGTTTTGGCCGTCAGTTATTGAAGTCATTAGCCTTAGTGGGTCCATCAGTTGTTGAATAAACCTATGATTCCATTCCAATTGCATCTTAAAAAAACACACTTTCAGCAGACTTTAATTTAGTCAGCCATCACGCCCTGCTGATGTGAACTAAAGGTTTCAAACCATGGGTCTTTAACGTTGTACCACTCTTTTCCAGAGATCCAGCAGCTGAAATTGGCCATCATGGTAGTGCCCTGGAGACCCATGCTCTGAACTGCTTATTTACGGCTTGTAGTGGAATCCTTTTTGAGGAACTCGGGTACACGATCAGAAATCTTATCGCGGATTCCGGTGATAACTGCTGTCGGCACCGATGACACTCGCAAACTGTCAGGTCATGCATGCGAGAGGGCGCCAACGATCCCCACGCCACAGTGTCGAAGTAAATTAGAAATTCAACATTCCATACTGGTCTTGTCATTCTGACGAACGAAATAGGATCATCGTCCCCCGCCGTCCTTTGGACTCTGTCACGAGAACTGGTGTGACCAATGAGGCTGACTAATCTTTGTCATATCGCTCAGATTGTCCAATGAGATGGTGCCAGGTAGCAACGAAGCTGCACTTCGCTTGGCTCTGTTCCGTCGAAAGTGAATCATCCAGAAGTTTCGAGCTCTGGCTCTAAGTCGAAGGAGCAGAAAGTAGTCGGATTGTGCCTTGCGTAAGCTATTGAATCGTGGTTGCGAAGTTGGGTTAGGGCATGGCAATGGCGAACTTGAGGGCGGCATTGTTGTGGATTGTTGCGTGTTTGGCGATTGCAGCTGTTGTTGATGGAAAAGTTGAGAAAGAAGTGACGGAGCTTCAGATTGGGGTGAAATTTAAACCCAAGAGCTGCGAGTTGAAGGCGCATAAGGGCGACTCCGTTAGTGTGCATTACCGCGGCACGCTCACCGATGGGACATTGTTCGATGAGAGTTATGGTAGAGGCCAGCCACTTGATTTCAAGCTAGGGCAGGGGTCCGTTATTAAGGGCTGGGATCAGGGCATTCTCGGAATGTGTGTTGGGGAGAAGCGGAAGTTGAAGATTCCGGCCAAGCTTGGCTATGGCGCTCAAGGTGCCCCGCCCAAGATCCCAGGTGGTGCAACGCTGATCTTCGAGACTGAACTTATGTCTGTGAATGGCAGAACTGGGACCGGCCCCGAGGATGTTGTGGATCCCCCAATGGATCTGTCTGTCGACGATGAGGAGTTTGGAACCGATGATGACGAGGAATTGTAGATGAGATTTGCCTTCTTCGCAGGGATTCGGGCGCCATTTGTATGGAGCAACTTGATGTGTCGCTTGATCCATTTCATGCAGTTTAGTCATGCTGGATCATGCCCCACTTTAGCGATCAGTTTCTGTAGATGCTTGTGGCGTTGGGACTTTGAACAGGCAGTCTGCGGTTAGGTCGCCGTCTTAAGTTCTTATTCAACAGGCCAAACTGCGATAAAGTTGCAGTTTAATCCTTTCAGTTGTTTTCCAACCTCGTATGTATTTAAAAAAACAGAAAGTAATGTGCGGAAGAGTCGTTGACTACCCTTTTTGAGCGCTCATCGCGCACCGGAGTGACCTAATTGTCATTTATGTCTTCTCCGAGGATCGGTTCACTGAACCTCGCTACTATTTGACGTTCCATGTCGGGGATGTGCATTCCCATAGACTAGGGTTTTTATCTTCTTTCCTCAGTACTCTCATTCGGTAACCACACTAATCATATCGCCTTGCTCTGATCCATTGTCTTACTTAAATTTCCATGTATGTTTCTGATGTTTCCTGTGCATTTTTCAAATCAGTACACTTTGCTTCTTATCTCAACCTTTTTGCAGCTGGAAGTCATGGATTTTAGAAGAGTGCTGGCTGGTGACACAATCTGAGCTTCTCATTCACTGAACCCAGCATGAGATAAACTGAAGATACTCTTGATGTAGCGAGATTGCTGCTGGAAAGCTTGTTCAAGCAAGCATTGTGGGTGATCACGCGACAACGTGGTGATGCAATGTCAACGACCTGGATGGTTCCTATTCCTCCTCCGACTGGTTACCTGCAGGCCACGAGGTGTGCAAATGCTTCACAAATACTTATCATTAAAGTCATGCGTCAGAGATCAAACACTAGAGATCAAACTGACACCTAGTTCAGTAAAAGAAGACTTTTAAATCATGAGGAAATTTATCCTTTTATGATGAAAATTTAGTAAGGATTATCGATAATGGGGTGCAGAGGTGGTTAAATTGCTATTCATCAAGAGTGATGGTGAGGGTTTCTTACATAGAACTGAAGACAATATTATGCCTTCACATGCTTGTAAGAATTTTCGTTTTACAAAGTAATTAAAAGAAATAATATCCAAAAATGTTCTAAAGATATGTATATGTATGTATATATATATATATAAGAATATTCATATGTTTTACTAATTTTTTATATTTTTTTTATTATTTATTTATTTATTATCTTGTGAAATCAACTAAAAAGTTAAAACAGAATTATATATATATATATATATATATATATATATATATAATGAGCTATGAGACTAATAAAGCAATCCAATTTTTTACTTAAGTGATCTATTCTATCTTAACCGTCATTGCATCTTTTCAACCTCCATCCCTATTTCTAATTATTTTTCATTTCAAACCATCATTGCATCTTTGCAACTTCTATCCCTATTTCCAATTATTTTCCATTTCAAACCATCATTGTATCTTTGCAACATCCATCCCTAATTCCAATTATTTTTCATTTCAAACCATTGCCAATGATGCTGTGGGGGTTGATAACATTGAGAACAAGGGTGGGGAGTTGAGAACATCAAGAATAGGGACAACAATTGGGAACAAGAAAATGGTTGGGAATGGAGATAAGGTTTAAAGGATACAATGATGGTTTCAACATGTGGGTTGATTTAGTAAAAATTTGGGTTCATTTATTATTTATATATATATATATATAAATATATATTGGAATTTCATGCTTTGCTTTGAAAGCAATATAATATAATAAATCATTTAAGTGTATTAAAAATAATATTATAATATAAATAGATTTATAATTGTTTGGAATGATGAATATATTTAGATAGATACTTTTTAATCAAATATCACAAAAACAACCTTTTATTTTTTTATAGACAAGAAATAGCAAAATAACATGAAAAAATAATAACGTGAATATTGAAGAGATTTGAATATTTTTAGATAGATGAATAATTAAATAAATATATAAATAGATATTTGGCTCTTTTAATATAAATAAACACCACTATTTTTAATATATCAAATATAATTAATATTTTTTTAAAATATATTTTAAAATTTTAGATAGTTTTAATAATAATATAGAAGCTATAATTTAAGAAAATAAATACACCTATTCATACAAAAATTAACATATATATATATATATATTTATATATATATACATAATTAATAATCTCAATGAATGTTATTTATTTATTTATTTTTATAAATTATTCAAATTTTTATAATTTAAGTGGATTTATTGACACAACAACCAACAATCATATGTAAACTCTTTCATTCTTTTTCATATCCTTATTGTTATTTCTATTTGTCGAATTTTTGTCTATTTTTCATCTTCTACAATGTAACAAGTTTCAACTACTCTATTCAAATTCAAAACTAATGCATAGGAACCTAGATCATGTCCTTTGAAAAAAAGCCTTAGAATTCCCAAACAAACTTCACTAGAAGCATTAGCAATCAAGCCCATATCTATAAGAATTGTCAAATTTGATCAACAGTGTAATTATAAGTAGATATGTGAACTTAATTCAAAAATTCACTCAAAGGTTGCAAACTCTTAGTGCATTGAACAAAAAAAGCATTTTATAAGAGTTACATTCAAGAAGAAAGAAATGTAAGGATTGTTTAATTAAATTGTTGATTTACAAAGCAACATGAGTCCATGGCTAGATTGGAGACAATGGAATAAAAAGCCTTTCTACCCTTCTTTTATTTCTCATTCAATTTTTAAATTTAAATTTTATTTAATTTATTTGCAAAAAGTAAGATCATAAGTTTATGATCTAGGCACAACTTTTATTCTAAAAATTATTATCAAATATGCAATGAGTATTAGTTCAAAAATATAAATTATTTGAGGTACAATTATATATATATATATATATATATATATATATATTTTACTATTATATATTTTGTTACATAAGTAATTTTAACTTTTTTATATATTTTTTATTTTAAATAATACATATATATTAACTATAAATAAAATTTTAAATCATACATATTATTATAATTTTTAATTTTAATTTTGATGATTTTATATTCATAATCAAGCTGAATTAATTCATTTTCTTTTATAAATTTAAATATCATTTAAAATATATTTTTCTACTAATATAATATAAAATAATATTATATCCCTATTACATTTTGTTTAGTCCTTATTTAATAGTCAATGCTTAAATTTTTTTATTTTGTAGTTTTTAAAATAATTTTCTATTAATTTTTATTTGAAGCAAGTATAGTAATAGTATTTGCATGTCATTTGTCTATTATAATTTCTCTCCTTTATATCCTTTAAATAGAGTAATGCAAAATGTTAAACAAGCATGGACCTTCCATGCATCTCTTACTCACAATGTGTCGCGGATATACGCATGTAAGCCAGTAATTACCTATATAAATAGATAGAAGTAAATAGATGTAGATAAAAGTAAATAAATTCTATAATATCTTCTATAAAAGCTTCCTAGAAGCTTCATAGACGTTGCTTTGACTTTATAGGTGTCTTTAATTGACTTTTTGGATTAGAAACATGGTCAACAAGTTGGCCATGTGCCACATATGTTGTTAGCTTGAAGACCAAGCTAACTATGTGGCCCACATATAGAAAAACTTGCCTTGGAAGTCAAGGCATATATCCTACAAAGTCAACACATATTGAAGGTCCTATAGAACATTGCCACGTAGCCCTTAGTTAGATAGTATATTAGGAGTTGCAGACTACCATAACTCTTGTCTCTATATAAGTATATTAGGAGTTGCAGACTACCATCTTTTAAACTGATATTGTTCTTAATATTTTCTTTCTCGTGAAGTCCTTTCTTCTACTTGTCTTCAATGACATTAGATATTTTTTTGAGTATTATTATGACAGAACTTATTGAAATGAAGAGTGCAATGGCACTAATGAAAGAGCAATTGAGAGAGTTGATGCTTGCGATACATCAACTTAACTTACCACCACAAGAATCAATAAAAATGGTAAGAAGTGAGGATATAGAGATGATTAGAATTGCTTCAATATTTGTACCAAATCATGTCCCTCCACTCATAGTGGAACATCTTTCAAGTCTTAGAGAACCAAGAGTTATCCTATCCGAGAAGTTTGATGGTACATAATTCAAATTTTGACGATTTATGAATCAAGTACAACTTGTGATTGAACTTCAACCTCAAAGCTATCCAATTCTAGGATCACAAGTTAGATTTATTGGTACATTTCTTTCAAGTTTAGCACTGTCGTGGTTTTTATATTTTCTTAAACGATGAGATCTAATATTAGATAATTTGGAGGCATTTTTGGTAGAATTTTGGTCTATGTATAGAGAACATGATGCAACTTGTGTTGCAACCAACAAGGTTCGTATTTTGCGATAAGGTAATCGATTTGTAACATTATATGCTTCACACTTTTGACAACTTACAACTGATATCAAGTAGGATGGTGCTGTACTTATTAGCCAATTTTTCTAAGGATTATAATATGAAGTAAAGAAATTGGTGCTCAACTTATTTAATCCTCAAACATTGAGTCAAGTAATTGACTTTGCTGTAAAATATGACAATCAATTTTTTGAATTTTAATCTGATAGTTGTACAAATGGACCTCAACTTTACTATAATTTGATGGCAATACCAACATCTCTTCAAGACATACATTCAAAAAGAGAGGATATGTAAATTGATGCGATATGTTTTAAACCTCTTATCGAGCAAAAAAAGACTTTGCCATCAAAAAAGACTGTGCTTATATTGTGGAGAACCTAAACACACTGCTTAACATTATCCAAAGAAGTGAAAAATTCACAAAATGAGGAGCACATCTATCAAAGAAGACAATGTGTCAAAAAATGAATTTTTCCAGCTAAAATAAAGATCATGCGGTTGGAATCTTATATAATTTCTAATGAAGGTCCTATCCTCTCTTTAGAACCCTCTCCTTGTTTTATAATAGATGTGTATTTATGACCTAATAATTATAAAGCCTCTGTCTTGATAGATTCAAGAGCCTTAGATTGTTTCTTAAACATAAAATTTGTTATAATTCATAAAATATAGTTAGTACAAAAAATCAAAATTATTTATGAAAAAGTTATAGATGGTCATCCATTGTCTTATGGAGATGTTATTCATGAAACATTTCTTATAGATGTAGCAATAAATAGTCATAGTAGTTGCATAATCTTTAATATAATTAGATCTCTTTCTAATCTAATCATTTTAGGTTTATTATGATTAATCATAATCCTTGTATAGATTAGATTTCTTCTATCCATGACTTTTTTAAAAGCATAATTAAGAGTGAAATTAATCCAATAGAAAGTCATAAGTCTAGTGCACTTAAACCTATGTTTATAGGTGCAAGAGCTTTCTTGCATGTAAAAGAAGAATCACCTTCTATCATTTATGCCACACCTGTTTCTAATGATGCGAAGACTTCAAGTGGCATTTCCAACCAATATTAAGAATTTTAAGATGTATTTGAAAAGAAGAATGTAGATACTCTTTTAGAACATTGTAATAATGATTGCTCAATTGACCTTCAAGAAGAAGCACAATCGCTATTTGGACCAATCTATAGTTTATCACAAAATGAATTGATTGAACTCAAGGAATGTATTGAAGAGAATTTGGCCAAAAATTCCATACGCCATTCCAAATCATCAGAAGGAGTTCCAATTTTATTTGTGAAGAAAAAAGATGGATCATTGCAGATGTGTATTGATTATGAAGGACTCAACAAGATCACCATCAAGAATAGGTATCCTCTACCTTTGATATTCGGACTTCTAAATCAATTGAATCAAGCTAAGATCTATACAAAAATAGATCTATAGGGAGTATATATTCTAGTATGTATTAAAAATCGAGATGATTGGAAGATTATATTTCAAACTAGGTGTGGGCATTTTGAATACAACGTCATGCCTTTTGGACTTACAAATGCATTGACAACTTTTCAACATCTAATGAATGATATTTTTTGAGAGTTTTTAGACGATTTTGTTATCTGTTATGTGGATGATATCTTGATCTATTCTAAAAACATAGATGAACATGAATTTCATGTTCGTCATGTGTTACAAAAATTAAGAGATACAAGACTCTATACCAAGATAGAAAAGCAAGTATTCCATACTACGTAAGTCGACTTCTTAGGATACATCATTTCAAATGATGAACTTATGATAGATACTAAGAAAACAGTAAGAAATGTCCAATACTTTTTTGGACTTTGCCAACTATTATCGGATCTTTATCAAAGACTTCTTTCTAGTTGCAACTCCACTTATATGTTTGACTTGCAAAGACAAACTTGAGTGGAGCAAAGGAGCTGAAGCATCTTTGAAATTTTGAAATCAACCTTTATTTCTGTACGAATCTTATATTGCGTCAACTTTTCTAAGGCATTTTTTATGCAAATAGATGCATCAGACTTTGCTTTAGGTGATGTATTATTTTAAATGGGACCAAATGATAAACTTCACTTAGTAGCTTTTCATTCCAAAAAATTTTCAACAACTGAGATTAACTATGAAATCCACGACAAAGAGCTTCTTGCAATCGTAAATTCATTTCAAGAATGGAGTTATCATTTAGAAGGCGCTTTTAATCTAGTCACCATATATATAGATCACAAGAATCTCGAGTATTTCATGTCGAGACGTGTTTTAAATTATCGCCAAGCTTGTTGGAATATTCCAAAATAACCTTGGTCTTTTGTTTCTATAGATTTCATCACAGATCTTCTAATCTGAGGTTCTTATGATTCTATATTTGTGATAGTAGATTGTTTTACTAAGATGGTATATTTTATATCATATAAAAAATCTATCACAGGTAAAGAAATAGCTAAGCTCTTTTTTGACAATATCTATCGCTATTATGGATTACCTAAAGATATTATATTAAATAGGGGAACTCAGTTTGTATCAAGATTTTGGCAGACTCTTTTCATGATTCTAAAAGTAGATATAAAACTATCTTCGGTATTCCATCCTCAAACTGATGGACAAATGGAGCTTGTTAATCAAGTTTTAGAGCAGTATTTAAGATGTACTATCAATTATCAACAAGATAATTGGACAACTCTTTTGCAATTAGCAGAGTTTGCTTATAATAACAGAGTACATTCTTCTACAAAACAAACACCTTTCTTTGCCAATTATGGTTATCATCCATGACTTGATATTTTTGACTTTTCAAAAGCTCATAATGCTGCGGTGAAAGATTTGGCAAATCATTTATCAGAGCTACATGTAACAATGAAGGCACAATTAAAAGAAGCTTAAGAACAATAAAAGATCAATATAGATATCTATGGAAAGGAACAACCACCATTTCACAGGGGTGATAAGGTATGGTTACTTCATCGCAATATCAAGACCACTCGTCCTTGTGATAAGTTGGACTATAGTAGACTTTGACCATTTCCTATTTCTGTACAAATCAATTCAATTATATATTGTTTATACATACTGGATTCAATGAAAATCCATCCAATATTCCACGTATCTCTTCTTCAACCATACAAGGTAGTGGACATACCAAGAAAAAGATAAGCTCCACCTCTTCTTGTAGAAGTGGACAATAGTGAAGAGTTTGAAGTGGAAGAAGTCCTAGGTTGAAGGCGGCGCCAAAATAAATTAGAATATGTCGTCCATTGGCACGGACATGATATTAGTGAATGCACATGGGATCCAGTAAAGAATCTTGCAAATGCAACAAAGGCGACGGAGGCTTTTCATCGACAACATCCATCAAAATCAAGATGAAAATCTTTCTTATAAAAAAAATAAGATCTAAGCAAGATAACATTCTACTTTCAATCTTTTTTTGTAATTTCTTTATAGTTGTAATGCTAAAGAGATGAAGAATCAACAACCAATGGATTTGATTAAAGAGCCTTCATTTGCTGACCTATGAGACGAGACATTACAATTGTCACAACCTTCAAGACGATGCAATCAAGATGAAGATCCTCAAGAACGACATGTTTTTTCTCGAATAGATGGCGAGATACAACGCGTTTTGTATTACGACCTTGGAAGAGACTCCCAATGTTTGGTAATTTTATTAGAAGTAAGAACAACTCTTGACAATGTTTCAAATATTTTATTTGAAGGAAGTTATGAAGGCCTTAACAACGATCAGATAACACGGTGGTCTTCCTGCCTTAATATGTGATACTATCAATGGTTGAGAGGCCCTATCAACCATCTTCGAAGAGAACAAAGATCTGAGTATGTGGCAAATATAATTTGTTGCATCATAGATTTTGTCAATAATATGATGACCGCTCCTTATAGAACTCGTTCCTAGAAGGGGGGATAATGTCACGGACATATTCATGTAAGCTAGTAATTACTTGTATAAATAGGTAGAAGTTAGTAGAAGTAAGTAAAAGTAAGTAAATTCTATAATATTTTCTATAAAAGCTTCCTAAAAGCTTCATAGATGTTGTTTTGACTTTATAGATGTCTTTAATTGACTTTTTGGATTAGAAACATGGTCAACAAGTTGGCCATGTGCAACATATGTTGTTAACTTGAAGACCAAGCTAATTATGTGGCACACACGTAGAAAAACTTGCCTTATAAGTCAAGGCATGTGTCCTATAAAGTCAACATATATTGGAGGTCCTATAGAACATTGCCATGTAACCCTTAGTTAGATAGTATATATAGAGATAAGAGTGAAGCCTTCTTCACTCTTATCAACTCCTTTCTTACTTCTAGTCTAGTTTCAAGAGTCTCAAGTTTTCTTATCTTTTGGCAATAAGCCATTCCAGTTTCTTTTAATATACATATTTCTTTATTATTATTTTGTCACTTTTTCTTTGACACGAATTTCATTGCTTTATGCATCATCTTTTAGTCCATGTCCTTGACATAATGTCATGCTTCATATTGTTTAGCCCTTCTTCATTATATTATGTTTAATAGATTTTTTTATTTTTATATTTCTATACTAAATTATTTTAAAATTTTGGTTTGATTTTAAGGTAATTAGATTTAGATAAGCACATTTAATTATTATGTTTTTATTTATTTATCTAAATTTTTCTTATGTGTTGCTAAACATGACTTTATTCCATGGTGTATATTAATGCATTGTGTAGTAGTATTTTTGCATCTAATTCAAAATGTTGTAGATTTGATTCACAACACATTGCTTTTTTAAAGGATCCTCATTCTATGACAACACTCTAAATTATCAATGTCTTAAGATTGGTATTTTTGCATTTATACTACTTTGCTGTACTTATTTAATATTACAATAAATATAACTTATTTGCTTAACCATCATAAATGATTTAGAGATGAAACCACCTTACCAATAAATCAATATCACTAATAATATATATATATATATATATATATATATATATTGTGAAATATAACATAAATGTGTAAAATATCTTTTAAGCATTAAAATACATTAGAATTTTAAAATATATAGTATATAATATATGGCTATTAAAATATAATTGTAATAACACATGTATTTTGTAATTAAGTTTGTACATAAATAATTACAAGTATTTTAAAACTCACATCTTTTTGGCAATTAATTGAAGTGAGATCAATTTTTTTAATTATAATTATTTGTTTATTCATTTATAAAATTTAAAAACTAACAATACAATTAAACAATTCTTGATTTCATTAATTTTTTTGTTAGTACTCTGTCATTTTTATTAAAAATATTTTAACAAAACTTACAAATGTATCACTAAAGATAGATAGATAAAAGTCTAATATTTATTATTTATACAAACATAATAAATAATACAATCTTAAATTTGATTATTAGAAAAAATTGAAATATGAAAACACTAATTTTCATATTTGAAAAGAATATAACAAACGAATTGTTATTACCTTGAACTACCAATTAAAAAAATAAAAAATAGATGCATTCAAAACATTAACATTCAAATCTTAGCTATGAAATTCCAACCTTAATTCAATACAATACATGTGATGATAAATTACCATTGGTATACAAAAAACAATCAATTAGATTTCACCATCAATTGGATGGTCTTTTAACACTCAACTTCAAGAAATGATGGTCCAGTGGGAAAATAGTCTGTAATCTCTTATTGTTTCTAAACAAAAACAAACAAATAGTAGTTGATTTTTCATTCGTGAAGAAAAATAAAACTTAAATCTGTTGTAAACAATTTCAAAACCTCTTTATTATTTTTATTTTCTTTACTAAAAAACTGTCATTTTTACTACAGACAGAAGGAGAAGACAAAGAAATCTCACCAAAAGTAGCAAACAAACTTCGCTGTCGGTACAATCCGCGCGTCCGCTGGAGCGCCGAGGAATCGAAATCACAGACCTAGTTGCCGATTGTCAACTCCATGTGTGCTGATCTCTACCCAGACGATCGCAGTATTGAAATTCACTCCAGCTACGTACTGCGATTGTTTGATCGCTCTTCGGTTCGTCGCAAGAGCCGCCAAGCTGCTACGACTCGCAACGGTAGAGTGAGTGCGTGCAGATCTGTGGACGGGCATCGAAGGAATTCCGAGAGCTGGGTAATTTCGCTGAAACAGTGGTGGAGTTTACAAGAGTTGGGTTTCTGTAGATTTTGAGTTTTGAGGGGTTGAATTCAGGTTTCGGAGAGACGATGTGTGGAGTGGTGTCATACGTTGTTTGTGGCATTGTTGGATTCGTGCGTAGGGGAGGGGGAGCTTGGGTAGAACGCTGGAGCGTGGAATGTTCGATATTGGACAGGAGTGTTGTAGTTTAGTGAAGGGTGGTGGTAGGGTTTTTGAGGTTCAAGTAGAAGAGGTAGAAGAGGCGATCACTTTTGCGAAATGGGAGACTTCTCGAAGCTGCTGGTGAGATTTTTCTGCATTGGAATTTCACATTGAGGATTGTGTTTACTCATCATTGTTCCGACACCTTTTTGTGTGTGTATTTGTTTTTTTTTGTTTTTTTGTTTTTGGTGTGTTGATGAAATTTGGAGTGACATGACCTCGTCGGATCATAGGTGTCGATTTTTGCATGTTCGTGGTTGCTTTTTTTCCTCTTTTTTGAGTAGCAATTGCTGTTCTGGTGATGCAGGAGGGCGTGGTGTTTACAATTTCTGGGATACAAAACCCTGAAAGAGGACAGCTTCGAACTAAAGGACTTGAAATGGGAGCTCAATATCGCCCGGACTGGACCGCTGACTGTACACTCCTTGTGTGCGCATTTTTGGGCACCCCAAAATTCAAAGAGATTCAAGCAAAAGGTGGATCCATCGTTTCTAAGGTATTCTATTACTGGATACGTGTGGAAAAGCGTCATTAGGAAAAACAAACGATGTGCCTAGTAGTCTCTTACAGAGGGGGCTGCGGGCTTTTGTGTATGAATTGGTCAAGTCTGTATGTGCTGCGTGGATAGATTTTAAGATGATGTCTTAGTTAATGTGTTCTCAAGTTGCTTGCTATGTGAATCTGATTTCGATCGCAGCTCTATGACACATGCAGGATTGGATATTGGAGTGTTACAAGCAGCGGAAGCTCGTGGATTTTGAAAGGTAATTTTCATGCTTGTTTTCAATGGTGTTTTTAATATCAGGACATTTGCGTTGAGGTGCGTCATGTTCAACTTTATGTTATGGCTGTTTGGTGGGTTTCTTTGCAGATTTGTTTTGAACAAGGGCAGGCCATGGAGAGTACTAGGTGAGTTATTTGAGAGCAAAAGGTTTGTTCAAATCATGGCCTTGTTTTGGTGTTAATTTCGTGCTATATTTGAATGAACACGTTAATTTGACATTTAGGTTTTGAAGTAGACTTTGTTCAATTGGACTCGCAACAACAATGGCTACCTGGTGTCTAGTAAACTTCCTGTGTACAGTTCTTTGAAGTAGATACTTGGCAAATTTGGTGCAGTTTACTTGTGAATTATGTGAGGTGTCTGTTCGTAGTAGACCTGTATCTGAGAATTATGTTCTTTATTGAAGCATTTGAAAAAATGATATTGCAGGCGATAGAGGCAGAAGTTTGAAGCAGAAGAAGGTAAACTGTGGAACTGCGCAAGAAATTCAGAAGTGGGCTCAAGATGATTTGAAATTGATAATCAATTGGCTGCAGGAACAAGATGCAAAGGTACTGAACTCTTCATTTCATGAAATTGTTTATGCCAAAATGTAGTATTTTACACGTGATTTAACCAGGATTATTCACCGTCTGTTGCATTGACTCATCTTGTTCTGCCGAGCGGAAGGGTTAGAGTAGCCTCTTTATGAAGATTTTACCTATGTTTCGCCTGCTGTGTGTATTTGTTCAACGGAAGAAAGTGTTTTGAGTTCGAGTCTTCTCTGCTCTTCTACATCGTACAAAGCCTACATTTTATATTGAGTCTTTATGGCTTTTGTTTGTACAGCCAGGACCTGAAGAATTAGAATCTGTAGGTGCGCAAGGTATTTTAGTATGCCTTGAGGATGCCGTCAAAAGTCTTGCTGAGAATCAGGTGAAATGATAGACCACCTACATTGATACGCTTTTCTAACCTGAAGACAAGTTAGAACTTGACTTGTACAAGATCACGGCTTTTGGGGAAATTGATCTAAAATGCCAATTTCAATGCTCAATTACGCTAGGAACTTGATGATGCAGTTGCCTTTAACTGTCCATTTGCAATAAATGCATTGCTGAATTGAATTTGGTGTTATATTTCGCACAGGGATTAAGCAGTGTAATAGAGAATTGGGGTTTCCTACCGAAGGCAGTCAAGGAGTTAGCAGCCATTGAGAAAGGTGTTACTGAAATCTCCTCGTCAACTCTTGAAGAAGCTGAAAGGCTCAAGGGCATCTATGATGAAACACTAAAAGACGTCCTTGGATCAAGGAAATCAGCAAATTCTAGTGAACAAATGAAGGGGTAAATGTTTGAATCATCTTCAATTGGTTTTTGATATATGCCTGAAATATAAATGCTCATTAATCTTTGAAAGACTTCTATATTTTGTTTCGTGATGTTCTGTGCAACACATTTAAGATACCTCACTTTTTGGTAGAATTGAAATAAGATCGGTCTATTTTTTTGTGATATAGGTCGGATGCATTTACCAACTCTGCAGTGGCTGTATAAATAAGTTAGAATACAATTACTTATGAACAGAGGAAAGGAAGAAGCACTAAATTTTTGTTGAATTTATGTGCAGTGGAGTTGAAGAAGGAGAAGTCGACGACGATGCCACAGAGGTTATGTCAGATATCAATTCGCAGGAAACTGTTGACTATAACAGTGATGATACTATAGTAATGGAACCAGAAGCAATTGATGAGTGCACAAAGAAGCTGATGCAAAGATTCGTCGGAAGTAAGTAATCTAGAAGTATTATTGAACCATAGTTGTGCAAGACTACGATTGCATGATTTTCCATACATGGTTTTCTAACCTATGAGATTGGGTCTTGGAATCTGTTCTCTTTTTCCATGGCTTCTATTGTCGTTTGATGCATGGTGCGTGCTTGATGAATTGGATGTAAATCAATGACGATTTGGAGTTTTTCTGTTGCACGTTTCATGTCTTATCTGTATAATGTTTGTTGCAAGGATTATAATTGATTACAATAAGTTTTTCCTGGTCAAGTTTTTATATTTGTGCAGTGACTCGCCTGAGGATTCCGCAATGACTTATTACGTTAAGACAGTTAAATTTTCTGCAAGTTTGGAGGAAGCTTTTGTTGCTCTTCTGTTCCCTTGAGCTCAGGTAGCCTTACCACTCCACACGCTGATTAAGCTGTAATCTAGGACTTCGGTGGCGAGAAAGTATCCCGATTTCTGCTTCTCTAGTCCTCACTGCCCCATCCGGTTTGTTGATAAAACTCTTGACCACCAAAGTGACATAATTATTTTTGATGGAGAACAGTCAAATATAACGTAGTTTGAATGACGGTCTGCAGAAAAGGGGTTGTTCAATTCATCTTTTTAATTATTATGATTTTTATCTTTAATTTGTTGAATATAAAGGTGTGATATTTTTCTTTTTTCTTCAAGTCTTTGAGATTCTCTCCATATTTTTTGATCTTAAGCATTTGATAAGGGATTTAATTTCATTTAGTTTAATTCGTTTATGTATTGATTTAAAAAAATCTCGAGTTATGTTTTGATGCAAAATCGTTGCCCAATTTATCCTTGATTGTTTCTATATAGTACCAAAATTGAAACTTTAGCATCTTATATAATAATCCAATTTGTGCTCTTGCAATTTCTTTTAATTAATATGTGCATTCTATTTATATTTACATTATTTATTCCTAGTTACAATACTTGTTATACCTCCTTTGCAAGTCATGTTTCAAGAATTTACTTTTGAGAGGCTTTTGCATTTACTTTAACATTCTATAATTAAGTTAGTTACAATATATTTATTCTTAAGATTCTTAAGGAATGTTTTTAGACTATTTGGAAGTAGTGTTTTCCAATCTAATTCTAAAACATGAAGATCTTATCTTGGAGATTGTTGTATCACCATCCAACAATTGAACCATCTTGAGATACACTCTTGTGATCAGATATCAGCTTAGATTTGTCGACAGTTATAGATCTGGATCTGGTTGTATAAGAAACAATGACCACATTAAAATAACATCAGGGTGTTTACTTGTACTGGTATTTTGTAACAGTGTATCTTTAATGGTGATCATCGTATCTTGATGGTGTTTTTTTCTTATCATAGTATCAAAGCAGACTATCTAAGAGCTTGGTAGATTCAAAGTAGTTTTGAGTAGTCGTTTTCTTTTTGTATGAAAGTGTTCTTGAATACAATAGCATATCATATGAACTGCTTGAACAATCAATAGAGTCATAGTAGTTGAGTAGATATGGGAACAATGGACCATATAATAGCAGCTTCAAAGATGCTATGTAGGCTTGAGAGCTGTAAGGCCTAAAAAGCATGATTTGCAATGTCTTTGAAAGAGAAGACCTTTGGGAAGTAGTTGATCCAGCATCAAAGTCTACTGCAACACTACACCCAAGACAATAAAACACTACACAAGACAATATCAACTAGTAGTGGAGACTCCTTCAAAGTTCATGATAGTCAACAATCAAGAAATGATGAAGAGGAGAAGATTGAAAATGAAGGAGCATCAAAGAATGAAACACCAAAGAGCTCCACATATGTTATAGTAGTCACAATAACACCTTCAACCCCATAAGAGATCAACTTTGGAAAAGGAAAACCAAAGCAATGGATTTCTTCAAGTTATCTCTTACAAAAATGATGAAACCTTATATATATATCACATCTTAGATCTTGAAATAGGATAGAAAATTTTAGCAAATGTGTATTCAATATACACTATTGTTGATGTTATAGTTACTCTAAACAAGTGGAAAAATTTAAAAATATCTAATGATATGATTGTCTCTTCTTTTATGTAATATGCTTATGAATTAATTAGCGATTTGCAAGAAATCGATGACTTACCTTTAGACATAGTGATAGTTCATAAAATCCTAAAAAATCTACATGCTAGATTTGAAACTTTTGTAAAGACATAAAAAAGGGCCGACTAGGTATATACTCCTTTGGATGCACCTTTCTCTTGTGCCTTCTTTTCTTCTTGTAACATGATGTTGTCCTTGCCAAACAACTACGTATATGCATTGCTTAGAAAAGTGGAGGTTGAGATACAAACATTTGTTCTTTTAGAGGGATATATGGTATAGAGATTGTGCTCAAAGAAGAACAAGATTGGTGACCGTAGAAAAATTTGGCTTGTGATCATGGTGGTGATTAGTAGATCATTCTTTGCTAATAAAATGCATAAAAAGAAGACAAGCACAAGGTGTATTGGTTGCACATGATTTTTTACCATTCAACAACACTTTTTTATTAAGGCCTATAAGAATGACATGGCACTTGTGGTTGACAAAAAATGCATCAATCTTAAAGATGAATGCAACAATGTAATGCAAATTTCTAATGATGTATATGTAGTAGAGTAGAGAATTCAAATAAAAAATATAAAGCACAACCATGAAGGCATAGAAGACTTGTAATCATTTTTGACTATGTCTAAATTATTTTATAATAATCATGAAACAATCAAATAAATTTTGGATGTAGGTGTGACACCTAAATTCATTCTTATAACTTTGAAACAATAGAATGTTAACTCTCGGCTTATATTAAAAGATATCTATAATGAAAGAGCTAATCATTAAAATACAAAGCTCAATGAACAGACACTATTTGAGATATTATTAGATGACTTGCATACCTAAAATGTGTAGTATGTATACTAGCATAATGCCAAAGGACGACTCATGCATCTTTTCTTTGTACCACCTACACCAATAGCATTAACACAAGAATTTTTGCATGCGATCTTTATAGACTCAACTTACAAAACAAATTGATTCAAAATATTGCTATTATACATTGTTAGCATGACTTCAATAAACCAAATATTTATTATTCATTTTTACTTCATATAGCTACAATAGAGAATGATTTTACTTAGGCTTTGACCAAGACCAAGGAAATATTCATTGTAGAATGTCAGATGTAAGTTGTGGTGATAGACAAGACATTTATATAAATGCTAGCTATTTGTCCTTAATTCACAAACTTATTAAGTCTTCTCTATATTGTCATGTAATAATATAACCATTAGATGAAAGAAGAAAGAAAGTATATTATTATAGAAGAACCTAATTAAAAAGATGTAGTAAAAAAAATAAAGATAAAAGATAGTCAAGTAGTAAAATCTTGTGATATTAGAAGTGTCTTTTATGAAAATAGATTCTATTTATTTTGTGTAGCCATATATAAGACAAAATAATATAGATTAGAAAAATAAAGGATATGAATATATATAGGAAGAAATTAGAAGTTGTTTTTAGCAAAAATTACCTCAAGAAAATAAGAATTGATATCCAAAGAGGACTAGTTTCTAATAAGGATTGAAATCAGACCCTAAGGCACAAAGCCAAGTACCTATGACGACTTTAGGACTCTTTTGTAAATCAAATAATGGGAATTGAGAGAAAATTTAAGATTTTTTTTTTGAGAGTTAGTTTCATATAATTTGGATTAATATTGAGATTTTGAAGAATTTTTAAAATTAGTGATGTATTAGGTGAGTTTAGATTTTGAAAAATAAAAATGAGTTTACAAATTTCAAGATATTATGAGTTTTGTCACATATTTACAAATAAAAATTTGGAAGTTCGTTGTTATGCTTGTTGTAAATATTTATAAGAAATTTGAGATCAATTAAGTGGTTAGATTGAAGAGTATAAGAGTTTTTGTGGATTTTGGTTTCAAATAATTAAGATTTAGGATTAGTGAGGGATTTGAAGATTTGGAAATATGTACTAGTTTGATTGAAGCAAAATTGCCATCATTAATAGAAAATTTTATTTGCTCAGACAAATTTTATAATAAATTGAAGAACATCATGAGCATCTTCTGCTGCATCAGTAGTAGATCTTGCAAGAGAAACTTATTACATTATCATAAGAACAAGTGACATATGTCCAAGATCCAATAATCACGTTTTTTTGTATTATGTATGTTCTTGCTTGAGAATGTACTAGGCACCTAATTGTAGAAGGTATATAAAAATGTAGGAACAATCCTACGAAGTCTAATAAAATCTCAAATAAAATTTAAATAAAACTTAATAATTCTAGTCAAACTTTGGCCAATCTAACATAAATTTAAAAGAAGTTATAAATGAAACACAAAGAAGTCCTAAACTAATCTCAAAGAAAAATAACAAGAAGTCTTAAAAAAATAATAAAATTAATCTTTAAAGAAATAACAATAATATTTTAAAAATACTAAAAATAAAATCTTAAATAAATTCTAATTTAAACTTAACTAAAATCTTAGTAAATCTTAATAAAATCTTAAATAAAATCTTAATTAATATCCTAATTGAACCTTAACCAAATCATAGGTCAAACCTTAATAAAACTTTAATGAATCCTAAACCTTAAACAAATCCTAAACCAAACCTTAAGCAAATTTTAAACAAATTCTAAATCTTACATAAACTCTTAATAAACCCTATAGCAGATTAAAAACTCAACAATTAATGATCAAACTATTGATATCAACTCTAATTTAGCATGCTTCTTAGCATCTCAGTTAAAAATAAGTACAAGAAAGATAACATTGATCGCACTTACCAATTGAGAGAAATATAAGATAATCCAATTGGGTATTAGGTGGTCTCCTACTCCAATCTAAATGTTGAACTTTCAATACCAATATCTCTTTTTTGAACTATTGAATTGCTCTCAAATTTCACCTAAATGTTAAAAATTAAATCTAGTATCTATATATATAAAATTTCACTTCAATCTAATTGAAAAATTGCCAAAGGTCTTAAAAACACTCATTAACCCTCAAACTCCAATTTCTAAGATCTCAATCTACAAAAATCTTCATATACTTCAATCTAACTGTTTGATTGATTCCAAAATTTTCATACATATTTACAACTACTACACCAACATATTTTCTAAATTTAACCTATACACACACCACAAAACTCAATAAACCTTCAAATTTGTGAACATATTTTTATTTCTCAAATCCTCATCCTACCAAGAATATTATTAATTTTAAAAATTCTTCAAAATCTCAATATTGATTCAAATGATATGAAATCAATGCCTAAAAATATTTTATCTACTTTCCTTCAAATCCTATTCTTTGATCTACAAAAGAACCTCAGAGATATTGTATGGATGCAAGTTTATGGCTCAAGGTCTGAATTTGATCTTAATTGACAATTAGTCATGCGTGGGTATCTTTTTTTGATAATTTGAGGTAATTTTTGTTTTAATATATTATTAAATCTCTCTTAAATATACCTATATTAATTTCTTATCTCATTTACTTTGATTTGGCTCATTTATGCATCTACAAAGTAAATAGAAGTTCCTTCTTCAAAAGGCAGCATTAAGACTAAATCTTTTACTATCTTTCTATCATTTATCCTTATTTTTCTACTACATCTTTCTACTAGGATCTTCTATAATAAAATCTATATTTTTATTTTTTACTATATGATTGTATTATCACATGATAGTGCATACAAAGAAAGCCTAGAAGAGCATATGGATGTTGTTCCAATAATAGTACATAGAGACAACCATTATCTTTTGAACTTAAGCCATTCATTCTTTATTAAGTTGAACTTGCAATCAATGACAGTTAAAAAATGCCATTTGATTAAAGAAGAGATGTGTACCCAGCAAAAAAGATGTATGTGCTTAATCAACTACTATTAAAAGCTGAGAAGATCACTCCTACCCTAGCTAGCTTAGCCACCAAACTACACATGAAAGAAACTAAAATGAATATATGATTTGATCCTCATGAAAAAGTGTTGGTTTTTTGAATAAAAAATGCTTTAAAAAATTAATAGCTTCCCATTTTTGGATCCAAAAGGTCTAGCTTCATAACATCTTCATTAAGACCATTGAATTATTTTCAAAAAAATTAATATTTTAGGCAAAAAAGATCTAAATTATAAGAAGAGAAAATTTGTCATTATTGTAGAAAACCTAGCTACATAGTAATACATTGTTGAGCCATTGAATCACTTTCTTTTTGACGCTATTAACCAAGAGCCAACTATATGGAAGATATATTTAATGAGCAATACTCCACTCTAGATGATATTCAGATTGAATTGCAAGTATTATTAGTAATATCTTTCTATAATAAAGATTAGATAATAAATAGTAGTACATCAAAACATTTCTCTAGAAATCAAGAAACATTCTTGTCATTAGAAAAGAATATAAATCATGTATCAGTAGCCACGACATTAGAAAAGCACATATTGTACAAGGTAAGGGAGATGTTATTCTACTTAGCTCTATTGAAAGAATAAATAGCATCCAAAATATTTTGTAAGTTCTAAGATTATAAAAAAAATCTTTTACGTATAAAATAATATATTAAAAGCAATGGTCATATTTTTATTTTTAAAAGAGATAAATGTGTTGCTCTAACTAAAACTAATCTACCATAATTAGTTATAATTGGATATTGAGATTGTTTGTCAAAATTATACAAATTAATCCAAAAAAATAGGTTTGAAATTTTGAAGCATAAAGTTGCTTTCAACATAAAAAAAAAATCTTCAAATCAAATAAGAGTCAAGCTCAAGTAATACAAATCACCTTTTCTACTTATGACATTGTTGTTTTGGTCATATTGGTTTTTTAACACATATTGTATTGAATTCAAATGGTTCATTATATGAACTATTAAACTTTGAAGTAGAAAATCAATATGTTGTCATTGCCTTCAAGATAAACAAATAAAAGAACTAATTCCAAAAGGTGGAGCTTTGAGATCGCAAAAGTTATTATAGTTAATCCACTCTAATCTTTGTAGTCTATTGCTTGTGACTTCTCTCTCAGGAACTAGATGACTATACAAAGAAAATCTAGATATATTTTTTCAAAAAAAAAAAACAAAAAATTCTTAGCAAGTTTATTGAATTAAAGAGAATGATAGAAAAATATGGTGGATACTAAATCAAATGTATATAAACAAATAATAGTAGACAATAACTTGAAGCACTTTCAAAGAATTTTATAAATCACATGGAAAAATAAGGTAGCTTATACAAGTTTATATACCTTAATAGAATAGTATTGTTGAGCATCAAAATTAGATAATATTAAAAAAATATAAAGTACGAGCTATTATTTGAAAGAGTATCCAATTCATTATGGCCTAGAGTAGCCAAAATAATAATATATTTAATCAATAAAACTCCAATCAAAGTAAAAAAATATAACATGTTTCCAAAAGAAGCTTTTATTAGAGTCAAGCCAAAAATAGATCATATAGAAGTTTTCAATTATCAATCTCATATGCATATTAGAAGATATGTCAAAAAAAACTTCAATTTAGATCTATCTATAAGACCATGATTGGATATGATGTCTATTTCAAGGCTTATTGCATTTATCTACCTACTTTGAAGAAAATTATAATATCTAAGGAAATTATATTCAATGAGATAAAATTTTATAACTTAGATAATACCAAATCTATTTTAAATTACATTTTTTTTAAAATTAAACAATCACTCTACTCTATTGTTTAATTATAAATAATTTTTATTGACTTTGTTGCTTGCCTCTTCCATGCCACTCACCAAATGTCTATCTTTGCAATGTTGAATCCATCAAAGCTATCAACAAATCCTCATCACGTTATTTCTATGCTCTTCACTTTATTTAATAATAACAATATAATGTCACTTTTTTTAGATTCTTCTTTTTCAAAAACTACTAGCAATATTCAAATTTTGGACTCTACATAATAGAAGCAACTATAATTTGTAGTGTTTCCAATTTTTGAAACATTTATCCTGTTTCTGGAATCACTTATACAAGCATCCTAAGCTTCTTTTTGCTATTTTTTGGACAATGAAAACATAGAGTGGCCAAACTTAGATATTAATAAAAATCTTGGTGTACTAATTGACTATTCTTTTCTATCTAACACCACTCTTTTTTGAACATCCTAATCTACCAAAACCACATTATGGAGAATTCACTCTAGCCTACTAACACTATTGAGGGTTTTTTTGATCAATACATGCCTTCTTTGATGCCTAACTTATAGACATAAAACAATCCACTTATGTCATCTAGCTTGGCAATTTTTCATAGACAAAACTAATGATCACATGATTGAAAAGACATATATGCCATCCCAGTTGGCTTAAGAAGTACTTTGCGGGATTCTTTACTTTGTTGCAAATGGAATCCACCTTATTCTTTAAAGCCATGGCTCAACTTGGATGGATGCCAGCTATGAGTGAAGAAATCAACTCTATTCACAAAAAAAATGTATGGTTTTTAATGCGTCTACTATTAGATAAGTGTGTGATTACAACAAAGTAGGTATATAAGACTAAATTGAACTCCGAAGGAAAATTACAAAAACACAAAGCATGATTGGTTGCATGAGGTTCTAAGCAATGAAAGGGCATAGATTATGAACAAAATTTTGCTCCTTAAGTAAAAAGGGCAATGGCTTCTATTGCTACTCAAAACAGCTAGTTGTTATGTAATATGGATGTCAAAACAACTTTCTTATATAGACTTGAAAAAATAATTTTACATTATTCAACCTTAAGGTTTTGAAGTATCAAGAAAGGAACACTTAGTGAGTAGACTATAAATGGCTATATATAGATTGAAACAAGCACCATACATATGGTATGAAAAGATAGATTCATATCTAAAAAGTGTAGGTTTTCATCAAAGAATAGGTGACTACAATTTATATACTCAAGAGCCGTAGGAGATGTAGTGACTCTTATTGCACTCTATGTAGATGATCTCTTGATGATAGGAAGCTACACAATAAGCATGGAGAGTTTCAAAAAAAATCTTCGTGAGAAATTTGAAATGTCTAAGCTCTTGGAAAGAGCCATCACTATGTATCAAAAGTAGATTGTGTATAAGGTGAGAAAAGAATCTTTATGACCTAAAGATCTTATGCTCAAAACATCTTAGATGCATTTGGAATAGAGAACTATAAGCAAGCATCAACACCAATAGAAGAAAAATAAAAATTAAAACTAGACATGGGAGAAGAAGTTGATTCAATGCATTACAAAAGCATTGTAGAGAAATACTTGCATCTCACATATATTCGACCAGATATACAATTTGCCACTGGAATGGTTGGAAGATTTGTGGCACAATGACAAAATCACATCTACTAGCAGCAAAAAGGATAATGAGGTATATTAAAAATACACAAAATTTTGGTATTTTGTACGGCAATGATTGCAAACCAAAACTTTCAAGATATGTAGACTCAGACTTGGTGGGCAACATAGACCATGCTCGCTCAACAACAAAGCTTGTAATTAGTATTGGAACATCACCAATCTCATGGCTCTTAAAAAAAACAGCCCACTGGGGCAATATCATCATCAGAGGATGAATATAAAGCTCTAGCAGATGCATTGAAAGAAGTGTCATGACTCACTATGCTTCTTCAAGAATTACACATTAATATCAAATGACCTGCCAACATTCACTGTGACAATGTTGGAAGCATTCAGATAGCTACAAATCCAGGTGTTAACCCAGGTGTAATCACTTTTCAAAAAATTCAGAGAAAAACTTAGTGTTGTAAGCACACAAAGTGTTACAAACAAATCACAGATCATCTAGTTAGTGAACTAGCACAGAAAATTTCAGCTTCTTCTCTAGTTCTAAATGCCTTAAATTCTGCTCCCCCGAAGCCTTTTACTTCTTACACTCTCTCCAAGTGAAATAGACTCCAGGATGAAATCCGTATCATACAGCAAAAAATTTACTAGGTTGATGCAACTTTGATCCACGAGATAGAATAGGAAAAGATTGCTCTTGCAATACAATATCAACCAGTACATCAGAACTAGGAACCACCGAAGAAGAAAGCTGATCATTGGAGAAAGTATTCAACACAAAGGCGGGAGCTTGCACCTGCATCAAAGACTGAAACACACGACACTCCAAATAACCTATCAGCCAACCAAAGATGCTAGAGACGAAATTTAAAAGAGCCCAGACTACTAATAAGAAAGCCTAAAACTGCACACAGAAAGATTGCCAATATCAGAAGAAAAGATTACTAGACACAATTTATGTTTCTCCAATGGCTGTGGTCAATGCATAAAGCTTGATGTACTAAGATGTCCAATGCTAACAAAATGGTGTAAGTGGACACAGTTCAATGTGTCATTCAAAACGTATCCGTTCATGGTACAATGTGGGGTAACATGAGATGTCAAACCCTCGACTCCTCAATAATGAACTATGAAGAGTATTTCAATGCTTCACTATTTTACAAAGACTCTCTGCTGAAAATATAAAAACTTTTTGCGGCTTCTGGCGTTATACTCCCGTATTCAACGCCCACATTGTTAAGCTGATTAAGGGCAGTTTCCATAGACAATGCGACAGCCTCCTCATCGGACAAGTATGTAGGCCCTGTGACAGAGTGATAGTCTCTATCGTAGTTGGTTTCAGAAATCAGGGACTCCAGACTTGGTCCCTGCATCACAACCAACTCATTATAAGCATTCCAAATGTGATGGAATCGTCCATGCAAGTGCATATTTAGAATTTGATGAAAACTAGCTAGACATTCTGGACCCAATATTAGGAACTGAATTTAAGAATAAAAAGAGCATAACCGACGAATTGGTCGTACATATAATCCTTGAATCGATCACTTAGGTGTGTCAAACCTTAGTCAAGCTTTGGTGGTGGAACATTGTTTTAGTACACAAAAAAATCCCGCACAAGCTCAAAATGTAGTAGAAAACTCAACACAGTAAAAACCAATATGATGACGTAGAAAAGGAGAAAACCTTGCAGAGTTGAGTGTAATGTCGATTGGCTTCACTATTATCAACTGTTCCTGGAAGGATCCCCGTTCCATACCAGGTGTCGTCTTCTGAGGAACCTTGGAATAGATATCTGCCCAACAAGTAATCGAATTTAATAATCAAACAGCTAAAATTTATCCATTCGAAAATAAGGAGAAAATAAATAAATAAATAAATAAATAAATCAATCAATGGTTTTGTGGCATCTGCTTATGTCTCATTTCAATGAGACTGACAACTATGAATGCATCAGTTTTATACCTATCATATAGCTCCTCGTCTGCAAAAGGGCTGTGAAATGACATCCAATCCAGTCCATCCAATTCTTGTTCTAATGTATCTTCAGATTTGTCTGGGGCTGAGCCAAGTATGGAACTGGGGATTGCTGGAGCAGGATGTTCTTGGTTCTTTGATCCAAATAGCCAGTTTGGACTCTTTAATAATACCTCCCTGAAAATCAACTCCCGAGTTTAGCACGAACTCAGTACAAGTAGCCAACTGAGGTCAGCAACCAACTTGCTTAATATGATATGAAAAGATCTGTGTGACAGCACAGTGCACTTACACAGCGTCAGGTGTAGACCAAGGTGCCGCAAATTGCTCTTTGTTCTCTTGTTGCAACTCTCCACAGGGCTGAATACTTTGTTGGGAAGCACAATTCACCTGCATTGCATGAAGGATCACTAGTCAACCGCTTATGCTGCCTACATTCTTGACAGTATTCGGATACTCAGGCCTATTCACACAGGTAACATGATACCACAAGTGCCAATTTCACCTGAAGAAGCTTATCAAAGGATGTGAGTTTGCTGCAGTGGTAATCATCCGGATGCCGACATGCAACAGGCATTGCCCCTTCCATTTTCCGGGGTGCTTGCAGAGTACCCTTAACACCTGTTACCGGAAGAGGAATCCTTCCCACCACACATCACAATAGGAGACAACCAGTCCCTCAGTAAATCAAGACGATCAGCTCCATATATGCAGCAAATCAAAGGTACATGTAATCTGCAACAACCTCGTCTATCTTATACAATATTGATTGCAGAAAGCATGAGGTCTAATATAGGTTAGACGAAAAATAAATTAGCAGTTCCATGAGTGTCTCCTGGGGATCTAGTCTCCCACGTTAATTTTCCAGATTGCAAAGAGACAACCATGATACTGCTAGTTCATCATTAATGTACTTGAGTTGATATGCAGATCCACAACATAGTAGCGAAGATGCTTACTTATCATCCTTTGACAACTCATCCTCGCAACCGGCCACATGCAGATAATAGTCAGAGTCCAATTCCCACAGAGCTGGTTTTCCCTCCTGCGGTCGGAAGTGGCCAAGGAACCTGGCAAGAAAAGCCCTCAGATAAATCAAACTTAGACATCAAACTTTCAATAAACCATAAACACTGTTATTGACGACCATAAAGATGTTCACTAATTCCTACTTAGGAATGCAAGCGATGCTCCTCAGGCGGGAAAACCAAAATGTGCAATGAGCTCTGTTGAATGTAGCAAACAATATCCCTATTCTAAACATAAAACGATGCCTGGATATCGAGTAAGAGATCCGATAGCTCATTTGGGAGACTCACAAGTTCATTGCATCCTGTTTGTCCCCATCAGTGTAAGTGTTGCTGTAGTAGCGTTTGATTGAATTGAGAATTTCCCTTGACTGAGTTGTAGCTATCCACTTACCCTGCCTCTCTGGAAAGACCTGAGAGATACAACTGGCTTGATGTCAATACTGACATCAGATGACTGCACATAAACTAGCTTCTTTGACAAAGAATAGGCCACGGAAATAAACAACCGAACCAGTAAATTAATTAATAAACAAACAAATAAATAAGCAAACAATAAATAAAATGCAACTGCTAACAATTATGTATTTGAGGAAGTCCCCTAAGTCTAAATTTAAAAACCATTATTACAAAGAAGTCAAATACCAATGAAGTGGGATTAAGTAGTTCTCACAGTGTTGTGAGCGGGAGATCCACCATATTGGAGCGCCAGGACATCTCCCATATTGTGGTACATGACCATCAAGGTTTCTGCTACCTTTCCATTCATATCCACGGCAGTGCTGTCAGATAAGCCAACTGCATGGAGCTGACGGCCTACTGCAGCAAGACCAAATGCATACTGGGCAACATTGGTGCGATCAAGACAATCGATACAATTTGTTCTTAACACCCCACTTTGAAACCTTTGTTCTCTTTTCCTGCCACAAATTGCAGATAGTGATTTCGCCAAAGGTACTGATTCACTGCAAACCAAAAGTTACATTCCAAGAGAGATTGAATAGTCACAAACAGTGAGAATAAACACAAAAAAAAAACAAGAATAAAAGGTTAGATGACAGAAGAAAATAAAAGAGAAGAGAAAAATACATCAAAAGAAAACAAAAAACTTACGTGGAGGCATTTGCAGCACGCTGGGATTGAGCTGACTTAGATAGTGAAGGTACTCCACTATAATACATGTCAGTAAGATCTAAAGTATCATTAGCCACCTTTCCCAAGACTGCGATCACATTTGCCGCCTTGCTGCAATAATAAATAATAATTAGCTGTCTTTGATTTGGAAAGATAAAATGTGCATAGAAAAGAATACTATATTTGTTGAAATATTTAATTATGCATAAAATCACACCAGTTTTCGCTAAGAATCACCTTTTTGCATACTTGTGGAAGTCCCAATGTATAAAATTCAGACGCCTCTCCTTAGGAAGAATTGAATTCAAATATCCTACAGCAGTGGCGAACTCACGACGCAGCATCATTTCTCGAGGCCTCTTCTCCACAGTCTGCAGTATCAATCAGTAATCAAAAATGAAAGTTTCACACACTCTATGTGCATGTTTAGAGGTTCTCGGGATGCCCCATTCATGACCACGAAGAAAAATTTCTGGAAAAAAGAAACATTAAACTCATTAAGATACAACAAACTTGCTGAAAGTGTTGGAATCATACTTTACCTTAATCAAATTCAAAATAGTGATCGGATTCCCATATCTATTCTCTAGATCCTCAAAATGAAGCTTGGTTGCTTGATACATCGGATCAAATCTTTGCACTGCAACAATAACATGGAGAAAATCAATAACTGGACAGAAAATTGAACTGCAAACAGAAGAGAATGAGCCCATAGGCAATGCTGGAATTGCTGAAATTGGCTTACAGTGTATATCAGGCTTTGCATTGAGACGAGAAGCTTCCTGTGACCAGAAAAGGGGTATAGATCCCCGAACTTGCACAGCAGAGCTAATTCGCTCATATCCGGGTCCGGAACCTGTCTCATCTACCACTATTTGTTCGGTCTCAACATCATTTGCAACTCGACCTTTGTCATTGACTCCACGTTTCAAATACCTGTTACCAGATCTACAGTCAGCTACTATATTTGCCAACATACTTGCTTAAGGACACACCACGCATCAGCACAAGGCTTATCCGATTGACATTTTCGAACCTTGTGCCGGCAAAATGCCGGGACCTTCTTGAAATAAGGAAGACGCTGAACAAGCGTCCAAAGCTGCTGAAATTGGCCTGCGGATATTACGGCAAGGTTAACATTGATTTCACAGGAAACCAAGTAAGAAAGTTTCAGAAGTACATTAAGCTTGTGCTGGGTCTGTTGGAGAGAAAACAAACGAACTCATTGCTACAAGAAAGATTACGACCAATTCATCAGAGCTTCAGGAGAGACATCAGTCGCAAAATTTGATAAAAGTCAAAATGAGAGTACCTATTTAAAAAAGAGAATAGTCCAAAGCACCCCTAAACCTGGTGGAAATAAATAAATAAATGCATGGTGTCTTCGATTTACCTGCTCGAAGAAGCCATGCATCAAAGCAACTGTCCAACGTGTGCTTTTAAGATGTTGGCGAATTCCACGTGAGAGAAAAGCGTTCCAAACAAACATATTTTCATACGGCATAGATGGGTCATCTCGCAAGATCTCGTTCCGCTGCACACTCTGCATAATGCGGTAGGTATAACTGAAGAAAAAGTCTTTGTTGAGATCCACCCCCTGGAGCAGCTTCTTGTATCTAATTGAAAACACGCCATTGACGCCATCAGTGCCAACCAGAAAGGAGAATGTTAATTACAGTAGACCTAACGCACATTCGAGAGTGGGAGGACAACCTTAATTCCGTTTTTGAAAGTGCAACCGGTGTCTGGACTGACGGATGCGGGACTGTGATCAGCCGACTCTCGCCAACGGTGTAGATAGCATGTCCACACAGACTTCCAACTTGCCGGCGCTTTGTCACCAAAAGCATGTAATAGCACTCTAGAAAATTTATAAAACCTGATGCACACCAGATTCCCAAATGAAACAATACGTAGCTAACACTCAGCTAGCTGAAATTCACGTAAAAGCGAACACCTAAAGATACTATACAATAACAGCACCTACATGAGAAAAATATCCTCGAGAGCCATCCGCATGATACAATTATGTAAGTTGAGATTGAACTCTCAAATGCACAAAACCACTCTAAAAGGGAAATAAATAAATAAGTAAACCCTGAAAGACCCTGGTTCAAACCAATTACTAGCCAGGTCTAGAGTGACTCGCATAAAAACGCTTCACCAAGCGGCAGCCGTTTGTTGAACCTACCTACAATGCCGTATGCTTTCGTGACCAAGGTCAAGCCTCCAGTGGACTTGTTGCCATCGGCAATTGTTTCCAACAAACTCAAGCTCTCTACTTGTGTATACACCACAGGATCCTCGCATATGCTAAGCTCCGCGGGTTCGGATCTATCGATCTTCAGCACTCGCCAATTCTGCTTGCTTTTGTCCCTTCCAACTAGGTAATACCTCTGGATGGGTAAGTCTCATCAGATAAAATTGGGCATGGTAACGACAACGAAGCGACAAATTCGCAAACTAGATCACAAAGGTTGCGCGGTTTGGCACAGCCGGGCAATCTAGAACCTACCAATCTGGCAGGTGAAATTGTTCACAAAAGTCACAAGTCGAAAGAACATACCGCTCTTGTCTCGTAGAGATAAAATTTCTCGAGAATGTACATGTTGGGATTCAGAGGGGCCCCGGCTGAGCGATATGGGCAAGAGACCCGTGGAGACATCGATTGCTCCCGGATAATTCTCTTAGCACAGCCCTTGAGAAAATTTCGCGGTGAATGGTCCTCCAATCTCATATCACAATTCAATCATGTCCACGACCGACCTCCATAAAAGAAAAAAAAATACACTGCAAGGCCTTAGCCCTTGTAAACCAAATCTCCCCGACTCCACTCTTCAGAAAAAAACAGTGCCTAACACGCCATCCCCAAATACCCCATTTCCCTTTACAACACTTCCATCCCTTCCTTACCCTCTCCCTTCACGTAAGCGGAGTTCCCCACGCACTACCCCATGTCACCCACCTCGCCGGAAAACCCTTCTCCACCTCTAAGCCCACCGTTGCAACGACTAATGCACCTCAAACACGTCGAGTAGGCTCCGCTGTCGACCTTCTCCCTCCCTCCTAGTTTCCTTCACCCCCAACAAAACATAAGCCAAAACACATAAATAAAAATAAAAAAAACAACAAAAATGTAAGTATATGAGGGTGTGGGTATCTGTATAAGTGTGTACAATTAAGAGAATAGAAAAAGGGGAATAAAGCAGCAGCAGCAGCGGAAAAGTGGAAGAGAGAAACCAATGCTGGTGGGTGGGATACATTTCGTCGCCGTCGTCCACGATCCTCCTCGCCGACACCATCCTATCACAACGGCGACGGCGACGACCCCTGCCGCAGCCGACACGGCCTCGCCGCGCGTCGGCGTCTTGCCTCAGCCGCCATCGTAGGTGTATTCGTATGTGAATCGTAAGTACTAGGTATGTGTGTTGTATGTGTACTTCGTTATCTGCGTTCAATCGATGCGTACATTAACTTGCCTGAGAAATGTCTGTAAAATTCATCAATCTTTGTTTTTGTTGAATTTTTTTTCTGTTCAACATTTCTGAACTAATTCTTTTAAATTTTAAAAAAATAGGTTAGATATAATAATTTTTAAAGCATATATCTTGTACTATTATAAAACCTCAAAGATTATAACTCTTTTCTATACTCTAGAGAATTTTATATTGAATTTCTTATTAAAACCATGTTAAAATAATTTATTTTTTATTAATTTTAAAATATTGATAATTGTTTCGATTCGACCTTTCAGAACAAGCACGTTGTCGGTACGAGCTACAAAGCCCGAAGTTGCAAAAATCGTTTGAGGAATTGATTCCAGAAGGACTGATGATCTCACCAGCGCAAACAACTTATGGGTTACACTGGCACTGTGAGATCTTCTACCGCAACAACTGATCGAAAGCTGAACCTTATTCTGTTTAACTTTGAAGTAATAACTGAACCGATCTGGCCGAAGACTGCAGACCAGATGGAGCGACGAGATCTAGCAGGTTTGATGAGAAGACGACTCCACGTAGATCACCTCGTCCAGCGGAACGGAATGAGCACAACTGCTGCAGCATGGTGAGACTAACAACGCTGGACTGACAGGATCAGCTGCTGCTCAGACACTTGCCTTCTTTTTGTGAGTTAACCACTTCTGAATGCCTGGAGTAACTTACTCCATCGCATCCTATGAATCAATCGGTCTCCCTACATTGATGAGCACTGTCCTCACAGTCTGATGTGTTTGTGTGGATTTTAGCGGTTGCAGGCGTGTCAGGAGTGCTTAGACAGGGAGGTCTTGAGGAAACAGTCGATGGCCACAATTGATGCAGGTCAACTAGGGCATGTTCTCCTCTGCGGATGGAACTGAGCCGCAGAGATCAGGGCAGTGCACGAAGCGTACCGAAGCTTCTCCACCCAAGTCTGCCGGCGCTTCGCAGTTTGGTGCATATCGGGAACCCTCGCCATTGCCGCGCACTCGTCGTAATGGGTTGGGTGATGCAAGAGATGACCAGGGATTCAGGGAACCAGGAATTGATGCAAGAGATGAGCAGGGATCCCCATTGCATCAATTCCTGGTTCCCGAGATAACAACCCCATTAACGAGTAGGGAGTTTAGCATGCAGGTTCAAGGACTTGCACTTTGTTCTGTTGGTACCACATTTGGACGTGTGTTCAGTACCAGACTTTGTTTTTAGCTCCAAGTTTCACTACGACGGCCAGCCCTAACGAATTAGACTCATCCAGGTCCTACAGGTTTTTATCAGTATAAAACAATTTCACTGTAAATGTCTTCCAAGTTTGGAAAACCTAAAGAGTGAAGAGTAAAAGTGAATCGAAAAATAACCTTGCAAATGCCTTGTAACTGCTAATACTTCATTTGTAGTTTTAGCACAAAGACGGTTTATTTTATTATTGATGTATGGTTCTTAATCTGAATCTGAATCTGAGACGATCATTGATTTTTTGGTCGGTGACATGCATAACTTCCAATGTAGAGTTTGAGTCGAGGCCCAACAGGTGGCTCACATGACGGTTTTTGCTACAAGTCTTCATTAGATTCTGCTTCAAGCCCAGCAGCAACAATCCAACGGAACCATGTGCCGTCCATTTCCCCCGAGAATCAGTTCGCTGAGGGTTCGACGGCAGGTTGAACATGGATCAGACAAACGATCACCAGAACTGAGTCCACAACTCCCCCCGGATCTTTGACAACCGCAAGATCTGGGGACAGGACTCCACTGGGAAAATCCCCACTAGCAGCCCTTGGCCTTGTCAAAATAAAATGAATGCCATGTCTTCTCATGGTCGACATTGCACTTGAAAAGAAAAACGCAGTTATCTTCCTACTGCCCCACTTCTTGTCTGTCTCTTTTGGGGCTGATATTGATGGCGTCCGTGGTCTATTGAATTACGGTCTAGACGGAAGTGAAAACTAGAAGAGAATCGGGATTAATGCGCTCTGCTGAGCAAGGAGAAGTAACCGTATAGAAAGTTCAATCTGTAAAACCAGTTCCTTTTGAGGTTTCTACTGCATCTGTATGCTCGACGGTCAACCTGATATAATGGAGAACTGGAGTGGAGCTGTAAATGTTTGTACAGAAAGTTAATTTGGAGTACAATCCACTGGATCTTGAAAGAGATTAAACCTCTCAATCTCTCTGGAATCCATTCAAATGAACTCCCTTGTACCATAAACTGGTTTCGTAGATATACATTCGCATATCAAGTTAACTGTCACTTGAGTTTATCACCGTATAGAGGAGATAAATATGGACTGCTGATGTCATACATACGACGTAAGCCAACGATGCTTTGTGATTGCCTTCCTAGATATTCAACACTCCTTTTCAAATACGAGCATCTTTCACTCTTTAATTTGTGCAACTATGTTGCATTTTAGGAGCGAACTCATGCCGTCGGAGGTCGTTGAAAATCTTCGTTCACGAATTGAAACTATGTCTCTTGTAAGTTCTATGTTTTCTTGTATAGATATTCTATCTCCTTTGCAGCTAATTGCTGCCAATTTTAGCTACAGATCTTCATTCTTACGTTTTGGATTTTTCGGCATTGCACTTCACAAAATCTGCAGCATCGTTGTTGGATTTTTGTTTTCTTGATTGATAAAGTCACTTTGGTGTAAGGTGCATCTCAATGAAGGAGCTTTCTTTGACACTGCGACAAGAAAACTAAGGAAAAAAAACCCTACACAGTACATCCGTAGCTTGTCCTAAGAAATTCTATGTTGTTCGTCAGGATTACAAACCAGATGTCTACTTCAGTTGGCGTGATTGTAAGGAAGAAGTAAAAGGTTTTAGTGATTCTAAATATAGAAGTTTAAAATCTTATGAAAAACAAAACTACATTTATTAATAAATTATTCTAGTTCTTGAATTGATGTTTGAACTAGTCGGAGTTTCATGGTACTCTTGTAGTCTCCCAAGTCTTTGCAACTTGTTGTGATAGAATGTTGACAAACGTTTTGACAATACATCAGCTAATTGAGCTTCAGTTGGAATAAAACTTATCTTTGTTGGGCCATCTGTGATTTTTTCTCAAATATATTGGTATTTGAGTTGGATGTGTTTTGTTCTTCCATGCATGACTGGGTTATTTACCAACTTAATGCAGTTTATGTTGTCACTTAGAATTGTGGTAGGAGTATTGGTATTTATTTGTAACTCTTTATGTAACCTTTGCAATTATGTGAGGTCACAAGCTGCTTCAGAGACAACTCAATATTTTGCTTCTGTTGTTGATAGAGCTATTATGTCTTATAGACTGCACCTCCGAATTGATGTATAATTCCAGCAACTGATTGTCTAGTATCCGGATCTCGCCCAAAATCAGCATCTGTGAATGTGAGTAGTCCTTCTTGTCTTCCAATGGAATGTAAAATACCATAATTCATAGTTTTCTTTAAAGATCTCAAAATATTTCTTGCTGCCTATAAATGCGCCTCATGTGGTTTATTCATAAACCGTGAGCAGTTAAAAACTGCAAACGTAACATTCCATCTTACAATATTCAGATGGATTAAGCTCTCTACCAATGAACAATAATGAGTTGCATATATTTCAAGAAAATTCATATTCACTTGTTTTACTCTCGGATTCATTGGCATTATTAAAAGATTATAATTTTCCATATTGAATTTCGAATAATCTTTCTCGATATATTGTGATTTACTAGAACATTACTGTTAGTAAATCAATTTTCCATATCGAATAGTCTTTCTCGATAGATGTTGAATGTGGATGGATATTACATCCAATATCTATTCCTGTGACCTACTTGTCCCCTCGTGTAACTATACAGGCTTTGAGTTTTGCTTTCTCGTTGGTGCTGTTCCGTTTCAATTTAAAAATCCACTTAGAATGTATGGTATGTATTTTGAGCGGTCTATTCACCAATTTCCAAGTTTGATTCTTGTTCACAGCGTCAATTCCTTGTTGAACCGCATTTTTCCAACCTTTGTGTATAATAGCTTTAGCATACGTTTGAGGATTTTAGTCAGGGCTTTCTGTAGATAGAATGTGGTAGTCGCACAGATTCATGTTTGGTCTACGAAGTTGTGTTGACTTTTGGATTGCCACAGAACCTTGTTGATGAAAGCTTCTTGGTTCATAACTTGCTTGTGTATCATTACCAAAAGACAAATTCTCATGTTTCTCACTTTCCCAAGGTGATATTGATCCCGTTGCATCATCCGTTAGGAATTCAATATTACCTTGATGCTGTTTGTTGACCACAGTTTCAAATTCACATTCCTCATTGCTTACAAGTAATGGATCAGTAGGCTTTGTTTGTAAGTGTTCAGTTGGAGCTACATGTTGATATCATACTTGCATTTCATCAAAAACATCCCTGCTCAAAATTATCTTTTTGTCTAATAGATCATATAATTAATACATCTTACTCTTGTCATCATATCCGACAAATATGCATTTGTTTGTCTTAGAATCTAGTTTGTATCTATTGTCCTTTGATATATGAATAAAAGCAACTGATCTTATAATTCACTATTGGTTTCCTTTTTGTATACTTTTGTTCTAGAATAAGACCATAATATGCTTTTGTTGGAATGCAATTTAATAAATAATTAGTTTTGTTAATTAATTCAATCTAGAAAAATATTGGTAGTCTACTTTTATCCAAAATTATATGCTTTTTTGACTGTTGAGTAATTTCGTCTTTTAGCTACCTCATTTTGAGCAATCCATTT